GGGAGGGAGGGAGGGAGGGAGGGAGGGAGGGAGTCGGAAGGGAGGGGAAGAGTCCGGTTCAGGGTTGTGCTCTCTCTCTCTCTCAGTCTCTCTCTTCTTCCTAGAGGGAGGGTTCCTGGCATTTACTGTTTTCTGTTTTTGTTGTTTTGGTCTCCTGACATCTTTTGGGGTTCCTGGTACGTTTCATCGACCTCACCCTTTTCATCATTTTCCAGAGTGATAGTGATGATGAGAGCTTCTCGCCATCACAATCCACGCTTGGAGGTCAAACAGACAGGACAGGACAGGACTGGTCCGTTGGGTAGGTCATCACACAAAAGACTTCCCAATGTTGGTATACCAGAGCAAAGTATAAAATTTGCGAATTCTTTGTGCTGAGAAAATTAGCCCGCTGGCCTCTTACATGCCTCTTACATGCCTCCTCTACTGTACATGCTTTGCCCTAATATTGATACATGTCAGTGAGGGATTAATAGCCTGCCTTTTTCATGCACGTACCTCCTATGTACACCAAGTTTGACCTTGGCAATCGCCCAACAGCAGTAATAAGAGGTCAGGGAGAGGTATATTCCGGCTTTTTTACTTTCCAACTTTCCAAGAGGCGCATCTACCGATCCATACAATACAAATACATGCATGTCACACCAGATCTCGGAGAGTTTTTTTTTTCCTCTTTTTCCTTTTCTCGCGTGCATGATTGCATCCATCATCCCTGCAAGGGTGCTGCCGTGTCACAATGTCAGCCAAACCTAGCAAGCTGTCACAATGTGAAAATTTGATTTTTGATAAAAAAGAACCCGGGACTTGTCGTGATCTCCCTTCCTTTCTTGCTTTCTTTCTTCCTTCCTATCTTTCTCCTAGACTTCTAGTAAGGTAGTAGTAGTAAGTAGTATTACATGTAGTAGTGATGATATTAATAATAACAAGGTCATGTCCCCACCCATCTATCTAGAACCGTATTCCGAAACTACAGGTACCTAGGTACTCAAGAAGCTGCATAGGTCCTGCTAGCAACTTCTTCTTCTTCTTCTTCTTCTCCTCCTTCTTCTTCCTCTTCTTCTTGGCGACTATCTGTTCATTGCAACTTGGAAGAAGAAGACGATGATGATAATCCATTGTCCTTCTTATAATTCGGTAATTTCGACGCTTTCTTTTTGAGTGTATACATTGGTGCGGGAGAGTCTCTGCAGTCTCCTATAAGAAAAAAAGTATATCGTATTAGTAAATATGGTTCAAGAGAGAGAGAAAGCGAGAGGAAAAAAAGAAGAAGAAAAAAGAAACACTACTTACCACATCGTTCATCGAGACGATATTCGACTGCTACCACATTTGCCGGACACCGCTGAATAGGAAGTAGAAGAGTAAATCAGCATCCATTGTTTATTTCCAAACAACATAGCTACCTGAGGTAACCAGCAATAATCCCCAAAAATATGGCGAAAGAAAGGGAGGAAAGGAAAAAAAAAAGTCAAGGTAAGGTAGGTAGGTACCTTATGTGTCTCCTGGTACTTGACGCCTAAAAACACACATATCGAAAGCGTCAGCCGTGCCGTGGACATTGAGATATATGGGCAAAAAGAAAGAAGAAAAAGAAAAAAAGAAAAAAAAAAGAAAAGAAAAGGGTGACCAGAAAAATAGGTAGATTTACACCATGCGCGAACTGTATATCGCAGATGATAGCATGCATACTCCACTTTTGTGTAATCACACATAGTGGTTTGGTTTCCAAGTCGCGCAGTTCACGGTTCGGCGGTTCGCAGTCGCCGGTTCGTGATAAGGTAAGGCAGGTAGGTATGTAGGTAGTTCTTGTCGCAGCCTTTTGTTTCCGTGACCAAAAAAGAAAGAAAAAAAAAAGTCGTCCCCAAAAACTTTCGCCCTCTCTTGTTGCTTGCTTGCTTGCCTGGTAGTCCTGCTTGAATGCGCTGTATAGGTAGGGGAACAAATGGATAGAGGGGGGGAACAGCAGCGCGAAAAGATAAATGTAGGATGTAATACTCGATGATGTATGTATGTTCTCGTAGGTAGCAAGCAAACTGAGCAGACTTATTTGTCTTTTGGTGCTGTGCGTCCATCCATGTCGGCAGTTGGAAGGAATCCCGACAGGTCGGATTTATGGTCGTTCAGAGTGGCCTTTAGATGATACAGATGGGCGAGGATGATGGTGATGGTGATGATGATGATGAACAAGTCGGTCGGTACTCAGGTCGGTAGGAGAAGAAGAAGAAGAAGAAGAAGAAGAAGAAGAAGAGCGGAGTCATTAGACTACGTTCCAAGTTATTCTCAGGGTGAGGGAGAGGGAGGATCAATCAGGCAGCACAGTACGATAAAGCCCACGAATAAGGGCACAGCGGCTGGCGCAGCTTTGCGATTCGTCCGTCAGAGTCCCCAACATGTTACATCAGGTATGAGGGAGCGAAACGATATTCTTTACGCGAGGAAGTGAGGAAAAAGAGTTTTAATAAGAGCCTGCCTGTAACCGTGAACGTGGGAGTAAGGTACCAGGTACAGGTAGTGTCTCGCTTCCTCATAATAATCATATCACAGTGATATTGTTGTACAAGACGGGATCATGGCGCAGACGGCATCACATTTCTGAAACCGGGACTCCCACAAACGGTCCCGCCACAAAAGGCCCCCAAGGATTGAAGGATCGCACACCAGAGTGTGAAAAGAGAAAAAAGAGAGAGAAAATGAAAAAAGACCCACAAATCACATTCTTCTGAATTGATCGATCCGTGCTTCTAGCGTCCGTTCGGGACAAATGGCACACAGATCACGTCGCTTGGAAACTTGTAAGTTAAACCCCCCCCCATGACCGTGTGACAATAGTGTGCCTGCGCGACGCCTGTTTGGGGAATTAAAAGTCGTCTGCCCAGACCGAGAGGCCGAGAGAACGAGTTCATTCAAAGAGGTACCTTTTAGGAAGCTCTAAACCTGGTAAAGTCTGTCCTATGCTCTCGCGAGAAGAAAAAATACCTCCTAGGAAGATCGATGAAGAACATGAAAAGACTCACAGTAACTACTAACGGACAATAAAAAACTACATACCTTACACAAGGTATTATTATTATATCCCGCTCACACAAACTAGAAAAGACGGCCGGCCGGGTGGGGTAGTGTTTCCACCTACCTCCTCTTACTTCCACTATACCTTTGTCAGGTACCCGTACCTACTAGGAGTTAGGTCAAACAACATGTAACTACCTTACCCTATGCATACCTTTGTCGGCCAGCTTCTCTCGACTTCACCTCTGTAGGACTGATACCTACAGGTACCCGGTACATTCTGGCGCATAAAAAGAAAAAAACAGGGACAACAATAACAAATCTTCACCAACACGACACTTGGTAGGCTGATCCATCATCATTAAGTCTTTTAAGTCTTTACGTCTTCAAGTCTTTACATCGTCACATTACCACATTCTCTGCGTGAAACATCATCATCATCATTAGTGCTCCTCAAATTCACCCCCAGCCTCGTCAGGATCTAACCACCCTCTCGACATCTCCACCGCCCGACTCCACTTCTTGAACATCTTCTTCGACACCTCCGGAGTACAGTCCGGACTAAATATCACACGATCCTTTTGATTAATCGCCTTGAGCTCTTCAAATTCTTTCCATATATCAACTGCAAAACCAGCAGCAATGGCTGCACCCAAAGCCGTGGTTTCACGCATAGCAGGCCGATCAACAGAGATGCCAATAATGTTGGCTTGTGCTTGCATACACAGGTTGGAATTGGACATTCCGCCATCGACCGCCAAGGCCGAAAGTTTGTGGCCGCTGTCCTTCTCCATGGCGTCTAGAATGGCTCGGGTTTGGAAACATGTCGCTTCCAACGTAGCTCGGGCAATGTGTCCGCGTTGAGTATGTTGCGTGATGCCAAAGATGGTTCCCTTGGCGTCGTCGATCCAATAAGGGGCGAAGAGACCAGAGAAAGCCGTGACAAACACGCAGCCACCATTGTCTTCGACCGTTGCCGCCAAGTCGGAAATCTTATGTGAATGCGTAATGAATCCCATATTATTCATGAGAAACTTGACGCCTGATCCCGCTACAGCTACGGAGCCCTCGAGCGCATACACGGGCTTTCGTTTGCCTCCAAAGTCGTATGCGATTGTGGCCAGCAAACCATGTGTCGACACGACAGGCGTCTCACCGACATTGTACAACAGGAAACATCCTGTACCGTACGTGTTCTTCGCCGATCCGGGCGTGAAACCTTGCTGTCCCACCAAAGCTGCAGACTGATCTCCGAGACAGCCAGCAATCTTCATGCCAGCCAAGGGACCTGAAGCGATACGACCATAAGCCTGGGCATCTGATGAAGGCACGATGCGAGGGAGGTTGAGTTTGCCAATGTCAATGTCAAAGAACTCCAACAGCTTCGGGTCATATTTTACGGTGTGCAAATTCATGAACATGGTGCGGGATGCATTCGTAGAATCCGTGACAAAGTAGTCCTTATTCTTCCCGTTCAGATTATAGAGCAGCCAGGTATCGACAGTGCCAAAAGCCAATCGCCCAGCATCGTATGCTTCCCTCACCTTTGGAACGTGTCGCAGCAGCCACACCAACTTGACGGCAGAAGGATAGGTCGAGATGGGCATGCCTGTCAGCTCGGAGAACTTCAATCCAAGCTCTTCCTCTTTCTTCTGAAGCTCTCTGACGAGACCTTTCGTTCGCGTGTCTGGCCAGGCAATTGCGTTGTGCAGCGCTTCTCCAGTCTCCACGTCCCATACGAGGGTGGTCTCCCGCTGATTGGTGATTCCTACTGCTCGAATGTCGCTAATGTTGTGGCCGAGGTCTGTGAACGTTGCCGTGGCTCTCTTCATGCAATTCTCGACACTGGCAATGAGCTCCGCAGGGTCGTGTTCATGCCATCCCGACTGAGGATAGTGCTGTGTAAATTCGTGCTGATGGCTGGCAACTGGAGAACCGGTGCCATCGAATATGATAAATCGGGTGCTGGTCGTTCCCTGGTCAATGGCACCTATGAAGAACTGCGCTAGAACATTTTCTTTGCTGGTTGTGAATCGTGGAAGTCCAGGTCGTTCCGCCTTTGGCTGTCCTCCTCCATTTGGATCTTTCTGCGCTGGCACAGTACCCGCATCGGCACCCTTCATCACGCTCGCCACATCGTCGGGTGTATGTGTTGGCAGAGCTTGTACGCAGTCTTCCAACGAAGGCATCACAAGAAAATTGAATCGAAAGAACTAGAAGCTTGGAAAGATTGAGGGTTGCGGCGGGGAAAGAGAGGATGTGTTGCAGCAGCAGAGAAGTGGAAAGAGGGCAGTCACGATGGAGGAGTGGAAGGTCAGGTCAGGTAGTTGCCGGTCCTTTTCAACAAACCCAATGGCGGTCGGGTCCTAATGTGGAAACAGAAACCCGTCGTACGCGCTCTCAGCACATGCGCGTGATAGGGTAAGTAGGTAAGTAGGAGGTAAGGTAGGGTAGGAAGGTAGTCACGATGGAGGGCGCTGCCAGAAAACCGGGTCCGTGTTCCTCACTGATGTAAGGATGCCGTGTCCCAGGTCCACTGGCACCCTGAACTTACTGAGCTTCACTGTCTTTCCCGTCTGGCGCATGTTGTCAGTGGGGGGTCAACTACCTCACTGTAGCTTGTCTCTCTGCTCTGTCGTCTTTTTCACATTCGCGTTCCTGTAGCTACCTTGTGAATTCCGTCTCGCACAGAAAGTCGGAAGTCAGAAGTCTGGAACATCTGCAAGAGATGCAGGAAAAGCGCCGTAGTATGTTCGGCATAATAGAAATAGGCAATAATGGAATCTTGGTAGAAGGGCTTGGGTTACGCGTCGTCCCTCGGTCGCTGCCCGACCAACCCTCCACAATCCGATCAAGTGGGCATTCTCGGTCCATCCACAGTAGTCAGGGAGATCATCACATGGCTGTGGAGGGGTAATTCTTCTGTATGCCTGCCGCATGTGCCGAAAGGTGCCGAAGGAGATAGGAGGTGGTATATCGCCCACTTGCCAGCAGTTGTGCAACAAACAGATGGAAGATGGAATTGGAGAGCCCGGGGCGAGAAGAGAAAGGTCAGAAAGCTACCCTGTCGGAAGGCGGAAGGCAGATCCCGTTGCCAAGCTACAGCTTCCGCTTCCCCTCACCACAAGCCTCAAGCCTCAACGTACCTCCACACCCCCACCCGACTCAAAGATGGTACTATCTGAGGCTACCTTACCTACTTGCCGTGCGCTGCTATCAGAGACGCTGGGTGATGATTATAGATGATACTTGGGGCTTGCTGACTCATCTTGCTATGGCACTTTGGTATGGTTATCTTTCCGGACTGCCTTCAGATCATGCACTAACTGTGCCACAGGCGGAGTGGTTAACGCGCTGGCCTGCTATTGGAACTGTACGATTCAATCGTACTCAACTGTATAGCCAGTTCCTTCGGGAGCGTGTGTTCGAATCACACAGGTGTCGAGACATCAAGCTCATTCGTTTTGCATTCCTTGTATGATTGGAAAGAGTCCGGTCTACCTGTAGCTCTTTTGCTCTGTTCCTCTATCCGATCAGACATTCCTACTTTGGATCCTACAATTGACGTGTCATCCCCTTCCTGAACTTCGCAGGCTGGCATCTGCAGAGCTACATGTATTTACCATATACTACCTAAGACTACAGTCTATAAAGGTAATTTACTTCACTCGAGACTAGGCAACAAGTGCTTACGCTATTCGGCCAACCCTCAATCATGAATGCTATTCCAGAGTCCGAACATACCGGCGAGCTTGTTCCCACTGGCCCCACAGATCTTCAGGACCACAGTTCTGCAATCTTCAATACCAATCAGTTCCACCTTCCTTGCACACGTTTGATCCCACTTCTCGACCAAGCTCAGGCATTACCTCTCACCTATACGGCTCCTTGGTCGAACATCCTCTCATACGAGTGAGAGTTCAGTGATAGATTTTAGCACATACTCTGTATACCTGTTCATGCAATATATAATGTAGCGCTGTACGCTGTGGGATAGCCAGCCAAGGTCCCGGATTTCCCGGATCGCGTTCGAAAATTGGGTGTCTAGAGGAACACGTCTGCGGCAGCGTCTTCCATTTTCGTTGGAGTGTTAGTCTCTCTCAAATCACGAATCGTGGCAGATGTCTCGGCCGTCCCAAATGAGACAGTAATCCAGAGATATACAATCCCTGCTAGCATGGCTTTCTGATTGACAGAATTTTGATCGGAAAAGCTTTTTGATAGAACAGAGACGTCTGCTGTTCGATAGACTTGGGATGAAAGTCAATTTCCACCACCTCGAACTTGTTGCGTACTGCCAATATCTGTCAGTTGTGTCGGATGGGCATGAGCGTTATTTCTTCCACATACAACAAGCATGTCGGAAGGTTTCGAAGGTATCCAGGTTCCTGACCACTCCCGAAATGAGCACATGGAGTTTTGGTCTCATGTCAAATAGGAGACGCAAAGTAGCGACCAGAGCCGAGATGGCGGCTTTGTCATATGTCTATAAGATGTAAGTGTGGCGCTCCCATATAGACTTGAAGACGGCTTACAATATCAGTGCCAAGAATCACATCGTAAGGATACGCATCACAGTCCTCTTCCACCCAGGTGCCTATTAATCCCCATCCCCAGCGCAACACGCTGGTCAGAACTTTCTTCTCGTCATCGAGATTGTTCAGGAAGAGGTTCTCTTTAAGCGCTTCTACCACACCTTCATCGCCATCTGTAGTCGTGACATGGTTCGCCTCCAGATGTTTCGCTGCGAGAATCGCTAGGAATCCAGTACCTTCATGTCATCCATCAGTAGGCGGCTCAGGCGCAATTATGCTTATGGAGACCGACCTGCTCCAAGCTCAAGAACATTTTTGCCTCTGATTAAATCACGATTCTCTGGCAGCAGTAAATACGAGCCCAGGTGGAGAGCGGCCTCCCACGTTCTAAAGCCTGTAGTGAGCGAGCCAGATAATAGCTGGGGCCTTTCTAGTAATGTGATTGTGGGCTCGTCTCGATAGTCCTCGGTGATGGTAGCAGTAGGCGGCAGACATGTAAATGTTACATAGGTTTTTTGTTGCACTGCTGTGGCTTCTTCAGGCAAATCTGCTGATATAAGCGCACCCAAGTGGTTCATGAGATCATCAGATATCTCCTGCAAGGGAAGAAGGAATCAGAATAGGACGAAAGGAAACAGTTGGAACTGATTTGGACTGAAATTGCCTACATCTTCTTCTGGATCTTCGATGGACTTCTCAATCTTGGCAAGGAGCGGTTTGAGCACTCGCAGCTGATATCGCGGCGGTGGTAGATACCGGTTCTTCTCGCAGTCAAAAAGGTGTTTGTAGAGCCACGCTTGGACTGCCGAATCTCGTAGTAATTGCTTTGGTGGCCAGGCGAGAAAGTCGGGCTCGAACAGCTGAAGGTATTGCCTTCTGAAGAGGAGAAGTTGAGCGTCCATCCTGTTCTTCTTCTTCCATCAATATCAACGCCTTCCCGTGGTACACGTGCGTGCGGGTGTTAGATGGCAGAGATGGAGTGAGGGCAAAGTCAAATGAGGCAGAAAGGAAAAGCTTGGCCACGAGCCACGACGGCTCTTCCCGCAACAGAAATTCCTCAAACTCACACTGGGGCTTGGCTTTCCACCTCTCGACTTCGAAGCGCTCCTCACCCACCGCTCCCCCGACAGCCTCTCGCCCATTGACAGTCGAGACGATACACATCCACCATGTCGGAATCCCAGGTCACTCTGCGCACGCGCAAGTTCATCCGCAACCCACTGCTTGGCCGCAAGCAGATGGTCGTGTCCGTCTGCCCTCTTCCTCAGTCTATGACCAATATCGACACCGAACAGCATATCTGACAGGTTATGAATAACAGTGACGTCCTCCACCCATCGCGCCCCAACGTCTCTAAGGATGAGCTCCGCGAGAAGCTCGCCGGTCTCTACAAGATGAACAAGGACCAAGTCTCCGTCTTTGGTTTCCGCACCCAGTTCGGTGGTGGCAAGAGCACTGGTTTCGCCCTCCTCTACGACTCCGCCGAGGCTATGAAGAAGTTCGAGCCACACTACCGACTGGTGCGCTACGGACAAGCCACCAAGATCGAGAAGGCCAGCAGACAGCAGCGTACGTCGCACCCATACACATACACATACCCTCACCTGCTTCGGCGGTGGCAGATGCATTCTTTGGTGAGCATCATGCGAGAAGGATCTCGGACTGACATGTTGGTCCACAGGCAAGCAACGCAAGAACCGCAGCAAGGAGTTCCGTGGTACCGCAAAGACCAAGGGCCCATCCAAGGACAAGAAGAAATAAACGAATCGCACATAGGGAATCGGCACTGCCGCAATGGGTACAGTCTTGTATCGTATGCCTGCTGCACAGCGCGATGGTATACTCTGGCCTTGATGATCAGACTAGAGATGCACAGCAGCACTGGCTCGGCGTTGACCTGCTTAGAGCATAGTTATACCCAGGCAATAAAAAGCTTCTTCCATCACTTCCATCTTCTCTTCTCTTTTGCCGACTATGTCTCAACAATGCCACACCAACGACTCTAGCACGTGCTCATCCAAGCATGATTTCATCTCTCACGGTCGGCTGAGGATACACTGCCAACAGACAAATCACTAGAATCATCCCATCAACCTCAGGCTTCGACACCGTCCTGCCCTACCTTTTCTCTCAGCGAATCAAATCACATGGCAGGGTCTCCAGTAATCCAGCTTCACAAAGACAAAAATCTACCATCCATGATCGAACCACACCAGCAAGAAAGCAAAAATTCCCTGGAGTACATACAGCAGTATTGAACCTGGCTTTGGGGGATATTCTTCGGTAGCTACAACGTGTGATCTCTTATCGGACGTTTGTGCTTCACTTGTGATGCTTACTTACCTATACTTAGTTTATGTATACCTTGGGCTAGCAGATGAATTTTCGTTCAAAGAAAACTTCGTTGTGGTGTATTTGTTGCTTGCTTGCTTGCTTGCGTATACTACCTACCTTGATTGGTGTAAAAGGTAGAAAAAAGTGATGTTATGGATCACAGTCGAGGTGGAAATGCATAATGTGCTTGGTAGTAGATAATCGGTCGTATACCTAGGTACTGACAAAATATATACTTTCCATTCTTCCTCTCCAACCACAAATACTAGCTTTCACCTCTCTCTCTCACACACTCTAACCACTACTCCTCCCCCTCCTCCTTCTCCTCCTCCTCCTCCTCCCACTATCAAATAATACCACCACCACCACCCAACAACCCCCTACGAAAAAGCCGTCAAAGCATCTCCCAGCGCCTTATTAATCCGATCCACAGCATCCTGGCCCCCATTATCCTTATAAGCCGGATTCTTATCCAACAACATCTGACCCAACTGCATAGCCAAATCCGAAATAGTCTGCAAATCCTGCTTCACGAGCACCGAAGCACCCGCAGCATCGAATGCATCTTTTTTCCCCACCAAAGCCGTTGCACAAGCTTCCACATGAGGCGCCAAAACCTCCGTAGCAAATTTAACGGCTGCTTGAGCTTCGGCGTCGTCTGCAAACGTTCCGGGCCCCGTGGAGGCGGATTGGAGAGTTGTTGTGAGAGTGTCTGAGGCGGATTGGATTGGGAGGGCTTCGGTGAGACCGCCGGTGTAGGCGTTGATGGCGTCGGTGAGGGCGAGGGTGTTGGAGTCGATGGTGTTGAGGTCGTCGGTTGTGGTGAGTTCTTCTCGGGGACGGAGGGGGGTCGGGGAGGTGGTTGTGAGGGTTGCGAGGGCGAGGAGGGTGGTGAGGGACCAGTGGAGGGGATTCATCTTGGATATGTGGTTTGGTGGGAGATGGGGTTTCTTTTTTGTTTTTGGTCTTTTGCTCTTGAAGGGTTGTTTTCTTTTGATCTGGTTTGTGGGAGCTAGAAGTGAGTCGCAAGGAAATCAGGGTGCTCTAGTCACATATATATATATAAGGAGAGATATGCATATACTCAACACTCGTTCAGGAGGTCACCAGAGTTTCCTCCTGAGAAACCACTACTGTGATATCATGGATGACATGAAAATCCGAGGCACCTGGAGCAGAGAGCATGGAACGCTGGCGCAATGCGTGCATGAAATACGACGTGGGCTCGAGGGTCCCGCGGTGCGATCGATTTACCAGCACGCCGCTATCCTTTCACAGTGACTGAGTGACATTTCACAGCTTGTTGACATCGTGCGAATGAGATCCATCGTAATATTGTCTGGCCTGTGCGGGCCCGAATGGCCTGTCCCCAGACAGGCTGGTCCCTTGCCCAGGGAACAACATTCAATGCTTGATGCTTGTGGGGTTATCCTAGACACAAACAGGCGCCCCCAACGACCCAGCCAATCGCTGGCCGGAATGAGCTCGAGTTCATGCGGAGAAGTTGTCAAACGACATGTCAAAGTGCATGTCGACGATGATGGAGACTGTGGAGTTTCATCATCACCAGGTGCTTTGCGCGCCCTACTGAAAATCTTCGACAAACCACATTTCTGCGGGGATGAGGTGGACAAAGCTGTATGTTTGTAGATCTCAAGTGGCATTGGGAATCATGCCTGGTCATGTGGCCACACTCTACTGTCGTCTCGATCTGGGGTTATCAGCTTCGCTCTGTCGGAACGCTCTCTGCTCTTTGGTTCCAAAGCTTCCATTCCCCCCTTCGCCCCTTCGTTCCCAGCCGCCCAGCCGAACGACCAGTGCCGTCGCGTTATCCGCATCTTCCGCTGTTTCCACAGCAAAGCTGACCAGGTCTCGAGACGCCTGTTCAGGAGTCTTTGCCTCCTTCACAATGTCGACAATCTCCTGATCTTCGAGATGGCCGGAGACACCATCTGACATGAGCACGAGGAACGAGTAGCCCGCTGATGGAAGATGAACCGTGGTGATTTGTGGTTCTGCTGAAACGCCGATACGCTTGCTGCCAATGTCACCAAACGCTCGGGTGTTGGCCAGACCCAGTATGCGCTCTTCTCCGAAACTGTCTGTCACGAAAGAGGTGGCGTATCTCCGGAGGCGCCGCGCTTCGACTGGCATCGATGGGTGATGGTTTTGGGTCACGGGCACCGCCTGACCATCGTCGGTCTTGCAGAGGAGGATGCGAGTGTCTCCCACATGTGCTGCAGTCAAGGTGCTCGGACTGTTCGGATGCCAAAACGGAGTGGGCGTAGGGGTGGAGATGAGCGCGATCGAAGCTGTAGAGCCACCTTGAAAGCGCTTCTTCCCACCAATCGCGTCGTCGAGGTTTGGTGATGAGCCTCGAGGAGCGGGTCGAGTGCTTAGATTCTGCGAAGCTTCTCGTTCGGGATGGAATAGCATATCTCCGTCATTGAGAGGTCTGTCTCCCATGACTGGGTCATCGCTGGAAGAAGCCTTTTCCCGAAGTGCTTTCAGCGCATCTTGTTCCTCCACGCTTGCCTCTTCGCTCTGCTTCTTCGCTTGTGCGGTTGTAAAGTCCAAATCAGCTTTAAGGAAAGCATAAGTGAGCACCGTCTCAATGGTATTGCTGCTCGCTGCTGGGTCGTCGTCGCTTGCCACCGCGGGGAAGTATTCTGGTCGAAATCTCTTAAAATACCCTCCGACTGTCTCTTTCCACGAAGTGACCAGACTTCTTTGTAGATCCTCTGCATCCTGCTCTCCCATGATACCAGGTTCCTCGATGGGGTCTCCATCGGCATTCTCCTTGCGCAGTGTGCTCTGAAGGCCGAACAGCAATGCTGCTTCTTCTATGTAGCCATGCAGTCGATCGCGCAGGAACTCTGAGCACTCACTCCCGCCGTGGCCATCAAAGACGCCGAAATAGAAGACCTGAGGGTCGCCGGTGGCCCTCGTAGAACCTGCATTTTGACCAATGTCCCGCTTTCCAATGCTCACAGGCTGCTTTTTGGCGAAGGCAGGGATCTCGACAGTCCCGGCCTGGAAGGTGTCCTCATTATAGGGTCGACTGCCTCTACTCACACCGGCGCCAAAGTGATGCTTCGCGCTTCTCAAGGGGATCCGTACGACAGTCGTCTCGCGATCGCTAGGAGGGCGTGATATGCGGTCCGAGGGTCCCGAGTGCGGTGTCGAGTGGGAACGAGGAAGCTTGTGGTCTGACGGATTCCTCTTGTCCGGTGACAATGAGGAGGAGGGAAGATGGGTCACGAAGTAGTCGTGGAAGTCTCGTCGGCGTTGAGGAGGAGGGTATGTCTGTGTCTGCGTTGTCCATGAGCTGGTTCGAGCCTCTGCAAAGACATTCTGTATGGCGGTTCGAATGGAATAGGGCACTCCTCTGTGCTGCATCGTCGTCACCAGCACCACCAGCACCAGCACCAGCACCAGCACCAGCACCAGCGGGAGTCTGCGTCTCTCTGTGTGCGTGTGACTTGCGTGACTACCTAGGTAGGTAGCTGTAGAGGAGAACAATCAACGACACAGCGAAGAGGAGAGAGTCTGCGCACCAAGGCGCAGATGGCAAACTTCTTCTTCTTCTTCTTCTTCAACTATCTCCTACAGCATGACGTTGCGGTTGAGGTTGAGGTCGAGGTACTCAGGTACATGGCACTACAAGGGCTGTATACACGATAATAATAATAATAATAATACACCTCGCCTCGCCTCGCCTCGGATAAACGCCTAGATTGGTGAGATCGATCCCGCACGTGTCGCGAACTACTGTATTCCGGAGCCGAGCCCGCAGTTGTACGCTACCTAGTCACTAGTGAATAATTACCTAAAGTTACCTAAAGTAGTTTCACATAGTAAACATCCGCTTCACAGTTCAGTTTCACACACATCGACGATTATTGACACCGTCTCTGCAGTGCCATGACTCCAACGGGCTTCCTCCATCCGCGCAGACAATGGACCGCCGAAACCAGATCTTTCAACGCCTGAAACCGCCATGCGTCGCCCTCAGCCAAGCCGCACTCGCCCTGAATGGACCTCAGGGAAATGTTCAGCAGATCACTGAGAAGCTGGACGAGTTGAAGAAGACATTGCAATCCATCATCAGCACCAATGGAAGACCTGCTTCACTGGACAGCAAACTTGCCGACTATGTTTTTTTCCCCCTCTCACAGGTCCTCAAGGCCAGCCAGCGAGTGTCGATTCGCTCTCTCGAGCTGGCCTTGCAGTGCCTCGCTGTCTTGCTGGAACATGGCTGGCGCTCCCACATTCCGCCTCCGCTGGCTATCCAGGTCACCATACTGTGCACTTTGATGGCCGAGGAGAAGCCGAAAGGCCTGGTATCAGCAGAGTCCACGGATGAGCTACGGGCGAGTGCGCTCCACTGCCTTCGCCATTTGTTCGAGGCTGCAGGTCACACAGTCGATCTGAAGGACGCCATTACAGCAGAAGCCAATGTGCCGCAGCTCGGTCAGACCATTAGCACCATTCTGGACGCCATCCTTGCCGGCGCCTCTGTCGAGACTCAAACTGCAGGCAGCGATGCTCTTCGAGCTTTGATGCAGCGGGTCGCAACTCGAGACATTCAGGCAGGATTCCTGCCAGGAATCGTGTCCAAACTAACCAAGATACTTACTCCAAGAACAACGCAGCGCCGCAACCACAATGTGTTGATTCTAGCGCTCAACACTCTCGACTCATTGTTCAAGAACGTGCTTAATGATACCTTCACTGCACAGATCCTCGCGCCCACTGCGGCGCCGAATGGAGAAGTGTCCCAATCATTATCAAAGGTGGTGGACCAGAAATGGCTTGGGACTGCAGCTTCGCAACTCAAACCGGCCATCACAAGTATTGTCAAGCTTCGAGGGCACGACAGATATGATGTGAAAAAGGCTCTGGCTCAGTGGTGTATCACCCTCCTCCATTGCCGCGAAACGCTGCACGACTCTGCATCTACGTGTCTGGATACTCTGTTGATCCTGTCGTCCCATGATGCTGAAGGTACGATAAAGCTTCAACTCGAAGCGCTGATCAGCCAGGAATCTTCACTCTTGGCACTGCTACAGAGCACGCTGCATGAATGGCTCACATCACTGCCGATAAGCATGCAAGCAGCTGGTGAAGAAATGAAGATACAGCGCGTGCAACAGGTCCGCACCGCATATAGTATCATCGCGAGCAGCGGGGCCAATACCAGCCTCATTGACAAGCTGTTGGCCGGAGTCTTAAGAGACAGCGTGGTGGTTGCATTACAGGCTCCGACTGCGCAAATATCGGATGCGCCCGTTGTCTCGCAAGTGCAATCGCTGGAACTTGCTGTGCTCGACAGTGCTCGTCAAAGTACAGTGTTCCCGTCTCCGCTGGTCAGATACCGAGCTCAGGAGAACACGATGAAAACTATCGAGCACCTCGTGCAAAATATAAGTATTTCTTCTGCATTCAGTGACGACTTGTCTCGATCGCTGCGTCAGACAGTTGGTGATGCACAGATTGCAACGTTCTGGCTCCTTTTGAATGTCACGCAGACTTCTTTGCAAGGCAGAGAGGGCATGGATGACTTTCTTGAATTGGATACCAATGATCCCGTCCTGGCTGCCGAACTTCTGGAAGATATGTACTCGTTTTCGCTCGAGGTACTGACCGACTCATCAGACGATCCAGTGGATCCACGCCTGCAGGCTTTGGCTCTTCGAGCTCTAGCATTGCGATCGCAAACTGCAGGTGAAGACTTCCGTCACGAGCTCATCGATGCTCTATATCCTGTGCTCCACAGTCTTGCCACGCCTGATGCATCCCTGCAACAAGATAGCATTACGACGCTGAACATATTCACCTCCTCGTGTGCCTACAGCTCCGTGCAGAACCTGATCGTGGAGAATGTCGATTATCTGACCAATGCCGTGTCGCTGAGGCTGAATGCGTTTGATGTCAGTCCTCAAGCTCCTCAAGTTCTGCTCATGATGGTGAGACTAGCCGGAGCAAGTCTGTTGCCGTATCTGGAGGACACGATCGACAGCATCTTTGCCGCTCTACAAGACTACCATGGCTACCCGCTCCTAGTAGAGCTCATGTTCAGAGTTCTGAGCGTGGTGGCAGAGGAGGGAGCCAAGGCGCCACAGCTTGCCATTGCCGAGGGCACGAGGCGTGAATTGGCAAATTACTACGATGACAGATGGCAGCCAACTACGATCGATCGTCTGGCGACAATGCTTCGTGAACAAGTCGACGAACAAGCGCGTCTCGCAGAAGAAGTCAGGTCACCGCCTACATGTCATCCACGCCGACCATGGAAGCAGTCAGAAGGTGGCGAGGATGAGCAAGATGATATGCAGGACGAGCAGGAAGCACCACCGGTTGATGTACCTGACCCTCCGCCGCCTGCTCCCAAGACATACAATCTGCTGTTACGCATCTCGGAACTGACGCAACATTTCCTGCCTTCGGCTTCGGCATCATTGAGAGCCTCACTCCTCTCACTGATCAAGACCACAACACCTGCAATTGCTCGCCATGAAAATTCATTCTTGCCACTCGTCAATACGCTATGGCCTGAGATTGTTTCGAGGCTCGACGATGAGGAACCGCACGTCGTGGCTACAGCTCTTGATATCATTGCATCTCTATGCGAACACGCTGGTGGTTTCATGCGCACTCGTATACAGCAGCTCTGGCCGGAATTGCAGAACATTCACCGCAGAGTAACGAAGGAAATCCTACAAAGCTCGCAACACCCCAGCCAAGTTGTGGCACGAAGGCAGCGCCAGATGGCAACGGTCACGAGTGCAGAACTCAGCCTGGCACTGAACCGCATGCGCCTTGCTCCTGCGGACTACAGTGATACCTCCACAAGACTACTTTGGACGGCGCTGGTGAGAGTAACGGTGTCCATCACCAAGCACGTTTCACAGACACCAGAAATGTTTGACGATACGCTTCAAATGCTCGAGCCCATGCTGGACGATGAGGAGGTCCGCACCGTGCTCGAAGAAGAGAATGCTGACGCAGTGTGGCTGGTGATGATCAGGAACGGGATGAAGAATCCCCCGACAATGCCGGAGCGGCATCATGCGATCAGTCTCCCTTATGCACTGGAAAAGGGCTACGAGATATCCACAGGGACTCCCATCTCGGTATAGGAGCTGCGAGCATCCCGCCGGTCAACCAATGGCGGGGAGTGCCAACACTCCGAGTGGAAAAAGCAGATCATTTGCCTCAGAAACCGCTGGACGCACCGCTTCCAGTCCAATCGTCTTTTCTTCCAGCGACCAGCAAGCATTGTGACACTTTTCCCAGCATACTGCTGTCATTGTAAATTGTTCGGATGCCGAGGTATAATCTGTTCGAAAAGCAAGAAGCGATATGTTTGCGGCGTGTTTGTCGTACCCATGTCTCCCAACGCGGTGATTACATATGCACAAACAGCAATGGTGCAGGGACCTCCAGAGCACCAAACATCCAAACATCTCCCGCGATGCACACAGATACAAGTAGCAGGCCTCGCTTCTTTGTGAATGGTTTTACTGTCCTGCCATTTCACAATACTATTACGATAACGACGACAACGACGACCTTGAAAGTCACCATTGTTCCCTATTCCTCGGGTCCTTACCTCACGAACCACTGCGAACTACACGTGGCAGCCGTATCCAAGACTCACTGCAGGATATACCGCTTGTCATACGAACCACACCACTCATCCCTCTGCCCCTCTGTCAACACCACACGGAAAAACATATTCTACCAGACGGACCACTCTCCGAACCATTCAATCATCGATCCTGGCTAGCTGATCAACATGTGCTACCACAAATACACCCACTACACGCACTGTGGCGAACACATTCCCATGCACACGCACATGTGTCCCAAGAACATCACCGAAGACCAAACGCGAGTCATATTCTGCGAAGACTATCAAGCAGTCCGCGTCGAAGCGAATGCCGATTGTCCCCATTGCGAACCTCTTTCTCATCCTCATCATCAATACCAACATCGTCATCATCATCATCATCATCATCATCATCGAGCCGGATCTTCTCCTTCTTCGTCTTCTTCTTCTTCTGTTGTCGTTGTCCCCGTCACCACACCCATAATCTCGGGACGACAACGACAACAACAACAACAACGACAACAACAACAAGGAGGAGGAGGAGGACACTATCCCACTCCGCCAAAGACCGCTACTCCCGGATCAACGAGATGAAGAAAACCAATAACAGAAGAGGACAGAGGAGGTGATTGGTGATGGGGATGGTGATAATGGTAGAAGAGGAGAAAGGAGTGGAGGAGGAGGAGGAGGAAAGACCAAAAAAGAATTCAATCAAAAATTCAATCAAGAAACGAAAGCAAGACTTGATTGAGCGCAACAGTCCGTCCATCCTTTCTTCAATGAGAGCAGAGCAGAGCAAAGCAAAGCAAAGCCATGTAGTTAGTATCCATCAAAAATCAACAACCAAGCTAAAAGCACAACTTTTTATTTTTCTTCTTCTTTTCCATTTCTTCGCTGTCTGTCACTTGCATTTCCCATCCCGTCCTACCCAGTCCGAGGGTAGCTGTAAAGTACATAAGTATATGATCCAAGTACAACAAGAAGAAGAAAAATAAATTTACCATGATATAATAAACTTCCAAGACTTACAGGTAGGTGGTACATGTAGATAGTCGATAAGGGAGAGAGGTATCGTCGTCGTCGTCGTCCCTGTTATGAGGGAGGCATGCAGGCAGGCAGGCAGGCAGACAGACAGACAAAGCAAAGGGAAAGAAAAGAAAAGAAGGGAAGAAAAAAGAAGAAAATATCAATCAGCCCCCCAAAATACGGAGAGCTTCTTGCTTTGCTTTGCTGTACCTTCTATACTCTCTCTCTCTCTCTCCCTACTACCTAACACTCATGCCTTTTTCTTTTGGTGTTGATGATACAAGTTTTGCCCCGTTTTTTGATTGACCATGTGAAGAAGGCCGTCTCCTGCCAAGGCTGCTTTCCAACTTTCCAACTTTCCAAAAAAACGAAGAAGAACAAGGAGAGGAAAATACAAAAACACAAGTAGCAACAAAAAAACGGTGGGTGCCACAAAATGGGGTATCATGACCCTCCCACTCCCCCCATCTTCACAAATCCAGCCCCAGCCCCAGCCCCAGCCTCGGCTTCCAGGCGCGCGTGATGAATCGCATGCATGTATCCCTTTCGCACCGGAGGATCCCGTCTTCACCAATCTTTCTCCTCTGCCTTGCCCCCCAGTGAAGGTGATGTTGTTGATGTTGTTGCAACAAAGGAAAATTGAACACAATAATTGTAAATGCATTTTGCCTGCTATGCATCGCCGTAACGCAGTAAAAGTAGTAGCAGTAGTACTAGTAAGAGTAGGAGTAGTAGTAGTAGTAGAAGTAGAAGTAGTAGTTTTACTTGTCGCTATCGGCCGCATCCGCGCAGACCAAAACTCCAGACGCCGTTCCGCTCACTTTGAGGTTTGCTATGTCAAGAAAGTCGACGCTCTTCGGGTATAATGTCGTTTCACTTGTGGACCTCATGAGCCCAGGCCGATGCAATGGCGTCGGCGAGCGAGGTCCGACTATGCTGCTGTACATTGTTGTGTCGGTGATTTCTGTAACAAGGGGGCCTGTGTCTGTTCCCAACCCATGTCTGGTGAAGTCCGCTAAGGTGATCTGGTATCACATTATTCTAATTACGCATGCTTCGCCGCGTCGTGTATAGAAGTCAAAAGGGTATCTGAAGCGGCCATTCCATGCGAGCCGCATGACAACCATATTCCATTGTACCCGACCCGTTCGAGGTTCGGTATCAAGCAGGAGGTAGGATTTTCATGTGCTCGATTTCATCATCACAAAGCAACATCGAGCACCAAACTCACGTCCGAGACTTGATCGCCCGCGAGATCTTCCAGTACCGGAATGAGGTCCAGAAGCTCGTTGTCGTGTGCATCACTGAACCAGCTGCTAATGGGCACCGCGTGTTGTGGATGGAAGATGTAGCTGGTGGGCGAATTGTCGATGATGATGGTTTCCTTCAAGTCTCGTCCCACCTGACTCAGGTCCTTGACATAATTGCCTTGGTGGTTGTAGCAGCTTTCCCGGAAGAGCCGATGGTGGACGACGTTGTGTATATCCAGCTGGTCGAGGAGCGGGTCACCGTACTTGGACACCGAGGCGGTGAAGACCACCACTTCGTATATCTCGCCCACTCGCTTGAGAAATGCATCGACGCCGGGCCGTTTTATGACATAGACGTTGTGGTACTGGCCTTCGATCTCGACGGGAATAGTAAAATCTGCTTGGTGGAGGATCTGTACACAGTAGTCAGTGGCAGTGTACTAGGGAAGAAAAGAGCAGATATAAACACCCACCTTGAAACTGCTGTGAACCAGTGTTTCGTCCAGATCGAGTACGAGACATTTGCGTCCCTTGTGCTCTGGTCGTGTTGCAGGCAGAAGCCACTTGGATGTCCCCTCGGGAGTCGATACCATGGATGTCGCGGCGCTGGGGTAATTTGCATCGGAAGCAGGAGGAGGACCAGGCGGGGGAGGTAGTCCCGTGGTGGTGATTGGGGCCACCGGTGCTTCCTCTTGGTGAGCATGGGCCATGTCATCGATCTCCTTTTGCGCCTCCTTTTCCGTGAGAACATTGGACTCCTTCATTTCAATGTCCTCGTCACGATGCTGTTGCTCCGCAGTCCGATCCGATATGGGGTTGTCATCTTCGTGATGCTGCACAGTGGGAGTGGGAGCCTGCACCTGTACCGAAGGATTGCTTCCAGCCGCAAGTAAAGTCGCTCCACCGACCATCGCTCCGCCTGTCACGATGGGGGTCACAGCTGAAGGCGAGCCGTCGGTGGCTCTGGGCAGCGTCGCAGGATCGACTTCTTCCGAACCGGGAACGGCAGGCGGCGAAGTGGTTGCAAAGCCATCGCCGGAGACCTTTTCCGGGCCTGGAGCTGACGTGCGTGGCTCGCCATTTGACACATTGGCGTAGACGGGTTGTGGGACGGCCTTTTCGTCGACGACTTCTTTGGACTCCTCGGCGCTGGTGTTGTCGGTGTTGCTGACGCCTGCTGGCGTGGCTGTCTGCGCCGTCGGTTGCGTTCTTGCGGGCACAGGCTTGCTAACGGGCTTTGCTGGCTGTGCGGCATCGAGCGCTTCTCCCCCAGCGTGGTTGTCGGAGGAGCCACAACACAGTAAGGCGAACAAACCGGACTTCTTCCTTGGTGGTTTGGACTCATCGGCGAGGTTGGTCTGGCTGCTCGAGGCAGGGCGCGCGGTCTTCTCATCTGCAGACTCTCCGCGACGCCCAGGACGTCGACTGCCGGTGCTATGGTCTCGTTTCCGTCGTCCAAAGCTTCGCTTTGAATGTTGTCCAATGCTCTCTGCTCGAATCCCAGCAGCAGCAGCGGGAGCAGTCGAGGTTGTGTCCTGCGAGGCTAACGCTGGATTCGTAGCGGATGACGGTACATCCTCGACACCACCGGCGGTCATGGCGGCATTTTGTAGGCTGCGATGGGCAGTTAGCGAGACTATTTCCGTGGTGGATGGCAGCGCGTGGCGAGCAGGCAGGGAGTACGTACGGTGGTGGAGCTTCTGTAGAGGATGATGCAGCTATAACAACAACAACCACAACACGTATGTTAGCGCAGTGACTTGAAGCGGCAATGCGCAGCGGCGGTGCAGCGTGGTTTTCGCTGGCCAGCTGACGGGGCTTTCATATGACACGCATGTGACACGACACGCCGATGCGCAGATGTCAAGCAACGCACCTTGTCCTGATTCTCCCAGAAAGGGCTGCGCGCCCGGTTGACTCATTGGAAGGCCCCAGGGAGTCGCGGTGTGTGCATGTACGAGCGCAAGCTGGTATGGGGGTACAGGGTGGAGGGTGTGAAGATGGCGCTCGGCGGTAGGCGGTAGGCGGTCGGCGGTAACGGTGGTAGGCGATGCGCTCGGGCAAAGTGCGCACTGCAGTGACGGAGCGGAGAAGCGAGTGTATGGAGCAGCAGCAGCAACGGCGGCGACGGCGGCGGCGGCGGGCGGGCGGACGGGGAGGACAGTGGTAAGGGATGGCCAGGCGCGTTGCGGAGCGAAGCAGTGGGCGCGGTGTTGTGGGTGAGTGAGGGCGGTGAGGGTGTGTGCAGTGGTGGTGGTGGGTGGTGGTAGTAAGGTAGGTCGAGGTGGGTCGGCAGCGAATGGCCAAGGTGCAGTGGTGTGGTGCAGTCCAGTCCACTGGTGCTGTGATGTGATGTGCTGTGCTGGAGTTGCTCAGTGCTGGAAGGTCGAACAAGCGTGCGACTGTGAGAGAGCCTGTGCTTGTCCTGTCCTGTCCTTGTGCTGGCTGGCTGTGGGAGTGTCAGTGAGCTGGCAACGCGGGCGAGGCAAGCGCTTCTCTCTCTCTCTCCCTTGTCTCTCCCTCTTCCTCTCCACTGTCTCTTGACTCTCTTCTCTTCTCTTCTCTCACCCTCTCCAACTCACTCTCAGCCTCTCTCGGTTTCTCACTTTCTTATTACTATACAAACTCTCGCACTCTCGCACTCTCGTTCCCAGCCCGTCAGCCAACCAGTCAGAAGCAGTCAGAGCCAGCCAGCCAGTCCGAATGCCGAAAAGTCCAAAGAAATCCAGATGCGTCCAATCCAGCCCCCAAAAACGATGCATTGACCACGCAATCTCCCACAGCTTTCACGCGGCAAATCAATGCATGCATGCTCCATACACTCGTTAGAGTCGTCACTCACTCACAGTCTCACAATCTCACTCACAGTCTCACTAACTCACTAACTCACTTACTCACTCTCTCCCGTCTCTCTCCCGTCTCTCTCTCATCATAATTGTATCGTCAAGCGCTTCCCTTACGTGTCACGTGTTCCCAAACCCCAGATTCGATTACCTCCTACATAGATCCAATCAGATAGGTAGATTCCTTATAGGCTGTATGTACGGGCATGTAATAATGAATGCTCACATTTGGACCAATGAAAAAGGCCAAAAGCACCTCTTCGCTTAAAGAAATCAAGAATCGAGAATCGAGAATCAAGCGCCCGTTGGCGGCAAGTCGGCAACCCTGCCGTTGTCTAGTAGGCTCGCTACGAGGTACCTATCATGATGATATATACCGTAGACAGCATTATCCGAATTCGTACTGCCGCGATACATACTCAGATACTCTTGTAGATATATATTTGTATCTGTGGCTGATCCACAAACAAAATCATTCATCGTCCTGTACTTCATGTATATATAATAATGCCATACATGTACTCTCTCCAACAAAAAAAGGTACATGTAATCATCAATCCATCCCCTGCTGTACTCGAGCAGCAACAGCAGCAGCTCTCCCCGCCCGTCTCCCAAAAACGCCCCCCGCAGTCAAACCCGCGCCACCAGGATAATTATGATAAAACAACCCGCCGACCATTTCCCCGACGCAGTACAACCCTTCCATCTCCGATCTGCCGTCATCGTCGTGGTCGTGGTCGTGGTCGTGGTCCGCACGCAAGACAGCGCCATTTTCCGGATTAATCGCCAACCCGCCAAACGTGAACGTAATACCCGACGTGACCACCACCGCAAGAAAAGGCGGCGTGCGAATAGGGACTGCCCAATTCGATTTGGGCAATTCCAGTTGCACCGACGTCGATTGTGTGGAGAGCTGGTCTCGGACTGCGGGATTCAATTGGGCATGCGGGTATTCTGCGCGATGAGCGGCGACGGCAGAATTGTATTCGTGGATAGTTTGGACGAATTCGCCTGCGTTCTGCAGACCGTGATGGTCGTCGTGGAGTTTGCGCGCCAGCTCTTCAATCGAGTCTGCTGTCACTTTCTGTACAATCTCGTCGCGGTACTCTTCCGCTCGTAGCCATTGCTGACCTTCGCGGTCCCAGACTTGAAAGGCAATGCTCTGTGGCTGCTCGAGGATGGCGCGGCCGAATTTGGCGTATGTGTAATTTCGCAAATCGACTCCTTCGTCGACAAAGCGCCTCCCATGAGTGTTGAGCATCAGACCTAATGGGTAGCCGGACTTGGTGAATTCATTCGTCTTCTCCCGATCACCTCCGTTCTTGGGTGAGTCGGCATCCCAGGCGACACTGTGGCAGCCAGTCGGACTGAAGTCTCCTACTCTCTTGGCTCCGACGTCCAAAGCAGCTAACAACATATCGCCCGTATTGTACGGTGTACCTCTGGTATGCGCCCGTTCCCAACCGGGACCCATCCATTTCTTCCTCAGTTCCGGACTGGCTTCAAACCCCCCAGCGGCAAGTATCACATTCCTCGTCTGGACCTGATACCTCCTCCCACCCATTTCCACTTCCACTCCTTTGATTTTCGCCCCCGAATCATCATCAACGACCAACTTCTTCACCTCACTCCCAAAACAAATCTCACACCCTTTCTGTCTCTTTACCGCTCCCAACAAATCCCGAATCAAACCTTTTCCCCCCTCCTTGACAGTCAAACACAACCCTCCCCAAAATTTCCACCTACCATCAATCTGATACGCCTGTCGACGAAATGAGAGCCACCAATCCACTCCCCCAACTCGTTTCAACCACTGTACCAATTCCAAACTCTCTCGAATGACAATGTCGCCCAGTGCGGCATCACTCTGACCTTGTGTGACTCGTTGTAAATCGTGCTGGAAGTCCGAGGCCGAGTAAGGTGGGAGGTCGATTTTGTTGCTGGAGACTTTTTCGACTGTTTCATCATCTTCTTTGTGTCTCTTTGGAACTTCCTCATCTTCATCTTCTGCTCTTACATTGGAAACCAATGGCAGAATATCTCGCAACCCCGAATGTTGCGTGCGATATGCTGCTGCCGTGAAATATCCATTTCCGCCTGCTCCCCACTCTAAAGGAGCTTTTTCGAGGAGCAGGATGCGGAGAGGTCTTTTTTGTTTCTGTTCTCCTTGTTGTTGAGGTGTTGATCCAGTAGTCGCCGCTTCAAGCGCAGCCGTCAACCCTGCTGCTCCCGTTCCAACAATGACAATATCCCATGATTGCTGTAATAGCTCTGAAGGTGATGATTTCTCTTTTCCTTTTTCTTCTTCCTCTTCCTCTTCCACTTCTCGTTTTACTTGTTCTTGTTCTCGTTGTTCTTGTCCCACTTTCTGTTGTTGTCCTCCTCCTTCCCCTCCCTCTTTCCCTTTTTCCTCTTCTTCTCTTTCTCTCTCCCGACCCATCATCACCACACCCCGAATCTCCACATCCAAATCAGCTATGAGATGTCAGACGTCAATATAATTTCAAATCACCAACTCATCAAAAAAATTGAAAAATTCAATAAAAAAAGGAAAAATTGAAACACGTCCGTCTCATCAATCACTCAGTCCAAAAAAAAGCAACCTCCACAAATATTTCTACACCAATTTCCAATCTTCAATCATCAATCATTCCTTTTTTCCTTTCCAAATCCGATCACACGTACGTAACAAGACAACACTTGTTGCATGTCTAGGTACATGCATGATAGACAGGACCCCCCCAAAAACCCAAGAAAAAAACAAGAAAAAAAAAACAAATACGTACTTCCCTGAAAAATCACCGCAGCATGCCCCTCCTCCTCATTCACCTTCTCCTCATTCCCCTCTTTTTCAACACATGTATGCTCCTCCATCTCCATCTCCCTCTTCATCTCCCCCTCCCCCATCAAGCCGTCGCAACCCGTCCTCCTGCAACTTCTATCAACAATAATAGAGTTTCCCATACTTTCCATCCCCATCCTCACATCCATATCCATATCCCTATCCGGCAGGTAGATACCTCATATGTGTCAATACACACCTAATCAATATACCTTACTCCAAGGTACATGTAGCCTGTACCTAGGTACCCGAATATATTATCCCCCCCTTTTTGTTTTTCCACCTCAATCAATGGAAGATAAGCAGTCGAGATAGAAAAAGGAAGGTGGTAAGTAACCAAGACGTTAGGTCCCTTTCAAAAACAAAGTTTACCTCCACCTACAAGTTTCTTGATTTAGGTAGTCGCTAGCGTGTATACATATATACCTCTTATATACCTCAGGTAGCTTCTAATATAGGTCGTGCTTTGTCGCAACACAAGAAAAGGAAAAAAAAAGTCAATTGCTGTATTCTGAGTGTGTATTATTAACCTCATGAGTCGTGATATAATGGCTTCTAGAACATGTACATGTACCTACTCCTACCTCCATCCGATACTGTACCAACATGACGTCAAATCGCAAATATATGTGTGTGTGCATCTGGTAGAATTCGCTCGATATTTGCGGCCGTGTATTGCAACTCCCCATGCTTACGAGCTGTATCATCATCAACAACGATAATGCCGGGCTCGTGCCGCGCAGCGACAGAACAATTCAAGCAATAGCCTTCCATTAAACGCCATCGCTCCCACAATAAACAACCAATGCCCCCTCTAATCCCTGCCAACCATATCTAGGCCGTTCTTTCCGCCTGTTCGCAGTTCCATCCACAAGGTCCGATGCAGAAATCATCACAACGACACATGGCCCCAACCGAACAAATAACAACTTTTCCCATGCGTTTCCCGCCAGAAGTCCTGCGTGCCATGTGGCACCGACTGGCAACACGCACCCCATTCTCAGGATTAAACAGATCTATGCCAGAACGCCATGCATTAAAAAAATTCGTACCCGCTAAAAGTGCAAAAACTAAAACAACAGCCCCAGGAACCGCCACCCGACAAAGGCGGCCCCATGATGACATCTCTCAAATCCTGCTGTGCAGTCCTGTTCACCGGAAATGTGGGACGAGCGAAGAAAGTCTCCGCCAGTATTCGTATATCGTCAAGTCGTGATCGTCATGATAGCCTCGCTGCGTGCTTCGGTTTCGAGGTATGAAGTCGAGCGGATGCAGGATGCAGAAAGACCGTCGAAACGATCAGGCGAGCTTTCAACCGCGTATCGCGGTAGGTGTGGAGTGGTCAGAAAGGTATCCATCGCGATGGGTGTGATTATAAGGATAGCCAAAAGAGGTCGATGTAGAGCGAGTAGCAAGCCCTTGGCCAGTCATCGAGGCCCCTGGAGATTGTGAGCGCGCGACGAAGGGACCAGGAGTAGAAGACTGCTTTACTCCATCGTGGGGGGCTTCGAGCTCTTTAGTGGGGGTATTACTTCCAGATGAAGAGCTTGAAGAGGAGGAAGAGGAGGAGGAAGAGGAAGATGATTCGGAATCGTTGGCGCCATCGGTCTCGGCAGCAGATGATTCCTGCGGAGGAGGAGCAGACTTCGTAGCACTCGTTGAAGCCGAGCCCACTCCCTTGCCAGGGCCAGGAGTGTACTGGAGAGGCAGTCAGCTCTGTGTGGAGGGATATCCTAGACCTTGGAGGAAACCGAGGGACTCGTGCGGGCAGAACCTACGTAGCAGAACTTCTGGACCAAGTCCTTGTACTGATCGGACCCCATGGCTGGTCGGTCCGTTGTGATAGCATCTGGACGTTCAGTGGGCATAGGAGCCTTATCAGGCTCGGTGCGATCAACAGGGCCGAAGTAGCCTGCACTAATCTTCGCCTGGGCAGCGTGGCCGCTCATCATAAGACCGCTACGTTGTCCAAGCTTGTCTTGTGCAGTTCCGAGTGCAGCAGACAATGATGAGCTGAAATCGTACCTGCTACCAAGGCCATGTTGAGGCTGGTCCAGGCCGTTCAGGGCAAACATGGGAGTGCGTTTCGGCTTCTGCTTGAGCTTGATAGACCCAGTAGATACTCCCAGTAGATCATCCGCGGAGCCAAACGAGTATGCAGAGCTCGAGTCGAAGCGAGATGCGAAGTCTTCATCACCCGACTCACGGTCCTGTCGCCCACGAGTGGAGGGAGCGTTGTGGCGACTGCGTGGAATGGCATTGAGTGGCCGTTGACTCAGTGGACTAGACTTGATCGTGACCTTCTTAGCAGACTTCTTCGGCTCAGCACGAGTGAAGTCAATTTGGTAGTTCATGCAGTTGTTGCTGTCCCAAAAGTCTTGGCCGGCCACATTGTACCTGACGCACAATAGCAGAGTCTTGTTGTCGATGTTGGCTTGATCAGATAGCTTGATGTGGAAGTTAAAGCGGTCGCAACCATCAGTCGGTGGACTCCGAATGTCATTGCTATATTCAGCAACGACTTCGGAGGTAGTCTTCCAATAGTCGAGTGTAAATCGAGCGACGACGAACTTGTGAAAAGCAATATTCTGAACGGCGCAGACGCCGACGAGAGTAGTCTTGTCTGCAGACAAGAAGATACGCTCCACACGAATGGGCATGGCACGTCGCTCTGCAGTATCTTGAGGGAAGTTGGCGACCTTGATTTCAAGCTCGGGCTTCTTGCCGTCGTCCTCGTTGAATGGAAACTCCGACTCGCTGTCGTACGTTTCCACGGGAGATGTGCCTGCGCTGACGGCGATGGGCTTATCCACCTGCAAGAAGTGTCGAGTTTGGTTGTCGCTGTCGTTGAAGTGTACGGACTTGTGGTATGTCGGTGTGCCAGGCATGCTCGAATAACGCCGCCTGGATGACGGCCTCAACGCCGGCTTCACGAGCTCGCCGGACTTTTTCCGTACCAGAGCCGGCTTCGACATCATATCATCATCCTCATCGCTCTCGTCAGACGTGTGCGATGGTGATTCGGCGAAGGTGGTTTTCAGAAGCACTTTCGATTCTGTCGATGATCGGGAGTGCGATATCTTGCGAGCCTCTGCTGATAGAGCCGGTCTCGTCAACGCTGTCGGTGAGGTCGACTGTGATGTCGGCTCAGACACAGAGTGCTGAATATGTTGACCAGCCCTGTCAGGCGATCCCTCTCTCCTCACATTGATCTGTCGGACTGCCTGCTGCAGCTGGTCCCAATTCATCTCAAGTTCCCTGCCTCGAGCACTGTTGGCGCTGTCATCTCCGTCTGAGTTCTCCGACGAGTCTGGTGGCGACATTACCGCGCCCGGGGGAATCCGCAGATTATTAACCGGCGGGGGTGACTGCCGCAGGCTGCCATGGTGAGCGAAGTCGGTCGTGCTGACTTTCGAGTCGGAGGCATCAGTCGGCGTCGGTGGTGCACCGTCCGTGGACGTTCTCGATCCCCACGAGGGCGACCTCCGATGCTTATGCAGGTAAGACGAGGAATGTGATCGGGGAGGTTGCGGTCGAGTGCTCGCGGGAGATCGGGGAATGTGGGCATCATCTTGGTGATAAGATGGGCTTCTGCTCATCACTGGTGAGTTGGACTTGGACGAGGCAGGGGATTGCTGCGATGGCGGAGTGTACGGCATCGTGTGCTCTCGCGAAGGTGGGCCTGGAGTGTGGTAGGGGAGTCTCTCAAGCCAGACAATGCATTAAAAGGTGCAAGTTCCGGTATCAGTAGACTAGGAAGCGCGCGAGAGAGGATGTGTCAGCGGGGACGCATGCTCGACGACTAGGAACGCGGGAGTTGCAAGGGTAGTGGCTTACAGAATGATACAAGAGCGGCGTCAGTGTCGAGACGAGACACCGGCGGCGGCAGCAGAAGAAGAAGAAGAAGAAGAAGCAGAAGACGAAGAAGCGGTGCAGTAGGTTCCGGTAGTCGATTGGGGGAGACGAGCAAGTCGACAGGTGCAGTGGACCAGTAGGCGCAGCTAGTGAAAGCCGGCGGTCGTGAGATCCGTGGACGCAGTGGGGATGCTGCTGCGAGTTCAAGTAGTGCGGTGGGTGGGTGAGTAAGGTAGGTAGGTAGGTAGGTAGGTAGATGAGGTAGGTAGGTAGGTGGGTGGTGAAGAGAGAGGTGCGGAGCGGTCCAAGTTGTTGCTGACTTGACCGACGCACACTCGTGCAGATCGCGCGATCTGTCTGGCGACGATGAGGCAGGTTGAGGAGACCGCTCCTGCTGATGAGGATAATAAACAGGATGCGGTATGCCCAGGCGTGTCTCAAGCCAGGTAGGTCCTGCTAGAAATTGACGTGGGGTGGCAACCAGATCCAAGGCAGTCCAGGCACGCGTTGGGGCGCTCCGACCACTCAAGGCGTCCAGGAGCAATGGCAGCAATGGTGGCAGCAATGGCAGCGAAAGCAGCCAAAGCAGCAACAATGGCTTCGTCCCGCGAGTCGTTTCGGGGCCAATGCTCGCGCGAGAACAAAGCAATGGCTCGACGTAGCAATTCCGGGCGGCGGGCAAATCGGGAGAGGGCTCGAGGATAGTATCAAAGAGAACGTTCGTACGTGCGAGATTGGAGGGAAAGGGTCCCGTCTGTCTCGTCTGATCAGGAAGCAAGCAGGTCGGTGGTAGGTAGCAGGTAGTAGAGTTCAATGTTGTGAGGGTGGGATTCCAAGGACCGGACTAGAACTACCTTACTGGACGGGCAGTTGTACGCTACGACAGGTAGGCACTAGGATGATTCCGAGACGGACGACAAGTGTGAAGGTGTGTTGACTCTGTTGAGCGACGTGCGGGAGGCTGCTGCACTGGCCACCAGGATCGCGAGCATCAAGCAACGCGCAACACGCAGGCAGGCAAGCGGGCAGGCGGGCGTCGGTAGTAAGTAGGTCAGGTAGGGTTAGGTAGTCTGGCCTTCTTCTCCACAGCATGTACGGAGGTACTGTAAATAACACTTGAAGCGGGCACTGATGAGCAAGCGAGCGCTTCGATATGCATTATCATTATTGTGCACGCTCCACTCCAAGAACCATCTGTTGGGGACCCAGCTAACCTTTTTGCAGCTCGCCAAGGGCCTGCGATAGCGGACGCGCCGGCCTCCCTCTGCCATCGATGTACTTCGATGGTACCTCCGGCGACTAGACCGGGAACGTGCAGACAATCGTTTCGTTGAAGCCACCGCCCGTGCCCTCAGCTACATGAATAAGACAGGCCTACCTACCACTGCACCCTCCGGCACAACCACGCGATGATATTCACTCGCAAAGGTAGTAGTAGGGCCCTATATGTGCGTCCGACATGTCTTGCAGTGACCAGTACGCGCGCGTCTCATTGTATACCACTGACTGCTCTGCGCACTGCTGCCATGTCCACCATCCAGCATCATCGCGGCCGCCAATCATGTCCATGTCCATGTCGACGGTGTTGCACCGATGGCGTCCATGGTCCATCTCCAATGCCTTCACCAGCAAGAGTACAGACTAGAGAGAGAGAGACAGCATCGTGAGGTGCCGTGTACATGAGTGGGATCCTGGCTGTGGCGCTGAGATGCATGGAAGAAGCTGCCCGCCTGAATAATAATACAGTATGCCATCATGGCCCTGCCACACCAGGGCACGCACCATCCGACGAGGGCCACGGCAAGCGCGGCCACAACTGTTCGAATTAAGCTTCCACCTGTTCCGTGCTGTTGGTTTGTGTACATCCTGGTCGTGCTTGTGCTGTCGTCCAGCCTGTCCAGAAGCCACCATAATCACTGTATGAGGTATTGCTGAGGACGACCTACTACTCATGTTGGTACCTAAGGTACCTACCTGTACCTACCTACTGTACGTACTTTTGTTGCTTGGACAGACCTTACCTCTTTTCTACACGACCAGCGCAACTCCTCATGCTGACCGCTCTTGTGGCCACTGGCACAACCTGTGTTGTCCTGCCGTCGCCGCCGCCGCCGTCGCCTCCTCCTCCTCCTCCTCCCCCCCTCCTCGTACGTCTGACATTTGTGATGTGCCCGCGGCGTTGTCGCACTGCCTTGCCTGCCGAACACCCGCCATCGGCTCTGCGTGTCCCACACAGTGCGTAACGTAAGGTAGTAGTAACCATCATGAGGCGACTCAATCGAGCAGAGCGCCTGGTCAAGCCGCATTGGCCCTCCGAACTCATCTCTATTGCACCGCAGCCACACCCTGATTTGTCCTATGCTACCTATGATCCATTACCTGTATCTACCTGACCTAGTAGGTATCCACCCTCTCCAGATCATCACCATCCCCGACCGACATACCGCCTGAACATCAACGCGGAGAGCGTTTGGACTCCACCGTCTGAGCACCTGCTGCCTCCGGACGCCGTGCATGGTTGACCTACTTACTATACAGGACATTATACGTACTGCGAATTTGCGAGATGGATGCGAGGACCAGTGCGCGGAGCTTGCGTGATTCTCACGCCATTTCCTTTTGGTCAAGAGCTTGGCTCCGCGGGAACACGACCTGCCCATGCCCAATGATCGTGTGCTGCGCGCTACACAATGTCATTGCGCATCTCTCTGTGTCTGAGCATCCACCCGCCCCGTGCAACGCGTGGACAAAAGTACGAACTGCAGCATACCTACACGGCTTTGTCACACTATATCGCAGCCCACCTCCGTGAGGGATTCCTGCTGACGCCGATGCACTCCGTCCGTGGCACTCCTACTGGCCTTTTCTGCGTACGCCCGCCTTCTCATCCCGTCCCTCCATGCCGTCTACTCATCTCAGCTGGCTCTCCATCGGGCGTCTCCAGCGCGATTGCCATGCTCGGCATATTATTTCACGATTTCCGTTCGTTGAGTGAGCTATAATTATGACTAGACACGGTCTCCTTGCAAGTTCGAAAATGCACACTACACTGGGGTGTGGATACATCATACCTACATACATCTCGATTTGCAAGTTGAAAGCGGAGGTCCATGGTTCGTCCTAGCGCCGCGGTCTGAGCCAACAGAACCAAGTCATCATCTCTTGGTAGGGAGTAGGCAGTTGGCTTCGTGCAAAACACCCCTCCCATTTAATATAATAAAGGTATTTCATGTCCTCCGCGGCATTCTATCGACCTGGCTTCACAACATCGGACGATGTCCTCGACCAGCCCCAGTCGAGGCGCTACGGCGAATACCCCCTGGTCGCACACCCTGGAGCCTGTCCCTGCTCGCCAATCTAGCATCTGAAATTCTGAACCTCATCATGGTTGCGACGCCGAGCAGCTCAAGGTTCGCGCAAGCATCAGCCCATGTCAATTCGGGTCGGCTTCCGAGGGGAGGTCCAGCCTCATGATACCTGCCTTCCCGTTACTATACAGTGTACCCATAGCTGTCAAAGCCCATGTACCGGACGGGAGGGTGAGGGCACACCACCTCGTTTTGATGGTGGCTTCTCAACGTCTCACGCAACTTCTTACTATCCCATCGACTCATCTCATGGGAATTTTCTTTCCGCCGCTCCAGAGAGACGGTCACTAACAGGTCAACTGACCACGATCCTGGAGCTTCCTGTCTTGGAGAGCACCTACCTATCTTAACCTATCTACACCTCAGTCTCTAATTCTCTCGCATTTTCACGCCCTAAGACTGTCAGTCATCATCACGTGACAACGTGTTCAACGTGAGAGCTCCGGGACTTATTCATGCCCGACTCCACTTGGCGTGTCAGGTAATGCACTGTGCGAGTTCGCGTTCGTCTTCGCCTGCCTTAGCGGGAAAGATGATCTGCGATGATCTTCGGTCTTCTCGAACTGCCCAGTGCCCACTGTTGGCTCCATTATGGCAAAAAAAGAGACTCCTCAGGATGACTGCATAAGCGTCAATACACCGCCAACTCGCAGTCCAAACCTTACCTGATCTTTCTTCTCGCCCCCTGCCGTTCACCGTTACTGTACTGAATACATACGAATCGTGCAGATATAGTACTACCTCTCATCTCTATCTGACAGTGTCAGGTAGTGTATGTATGTATGTACGTATGTATGTATGTACACCAAGACCGAACACGCCATAATGCGGGGTGTTGCAGGAGTGATATATAGGTACCTTGTGTGTGTATCTCGCAGGGTCATGATTCATACATACCTGGATGGGAGAGTCAGGTATAGCTGGAGGTACATGTAGTCCGGGGAGTGTACCAGTATAAGCTGAAGACCCGGCGACAAGATGGCGGTCTGTCTGTCTGTTTGTGATGATTGTTGAACAACAACGACAACGACGACAACAACAACGACAACAACAACGACAACAACAACGACAACAACAACGACAACAACGACGAGGACAAAAAACCAGACACATGTGTCACAAGAAGGAAAAAGAGAATACAACGCCAAGCCTCAAACTCTCTCCTTCCTGAATTCTATTCTGCATCTGCATCTACAAAAGAAAGATGTTCGAGACTCTTCCAGGTTCCTCTCTCTTCCTTCAACGGTGTTGCATAAGGTATACATTAGGGGCCCAACGTCGCCGAACCGCTTGAGACGTTCGAATTCGGTACAGCCAAGACTTGTATATATCTGTTCTAGATGCGATTGGACTATTGTAGGCTTGTTTTGTAACCAAATCTGCTTATCTAACGATAAGTATATCTATACCTGAAAAAAAAGCTCGGCGGACTACGATAGATAGATACCTAAGATATACATGTACCTTTTATCTTTTTTTCTTTAGTACCTAAGGAGAGAGAGGGAGGGAGGGAGGGAGGGAGGGAGGGAGGTAGAAAGAAAGAAAGAGAACTATCTTACCTCTACCGGACTCCTCGGAGATGCACTACCTTGTTGAAGTTGTTGTTATGTAGGTACTTGTACTTTATTGTTGTGTGATAAAAACATGCACCGCCACAGGAGGGAAGTACATGCAACATGTACGGTAAAAGAAAGAAAAGATTTTTCTTCTTATCAAGACCCCTAGCAGATCTATTCCACAAATGTCACTTCGATGTACCTTTGTTGTACCTCCCAAGTCAGGTACCTTCCCCAAAGTACCTCCCTCTCTCCTCTCCCTTCCGAATGAGGCGTGCTCAGCAAACTCTGCCTTTTATAAGACTCAATCTGATTAGGTATCTCACCTCTGTCACTCTGTGATAGGAAGGAGTAGGAGATCCCTCACACCTCCTCATCCCACAGTTCATGTGTGGGGAGGGGAGAGCGGGGGTGGCATTTCCCCCAAGACGAGAATGGATACCTCTTCCTCCTCCTCACGTAGGAGGTACACCAAGCAAGTCTTTCTAGGTACAGTTGGTCATGCAAGGCAAACCTTATTGTTGCATCAAATCAGTTCGTATTCAATTCAATTCAATTCATTTATACTTACCTCTACCCTTAGTCTAGCGAAAACACAACACTTCCTCTTGTCAGGTATGTATGTATACCCTCTAACCTGTACATACAGGTTTCACAACACCTCATGCACTCCGCATTTTCCTTTGCTGCCTGCTTGCTGTCTGCGGTGTGATAGGCGCGCGAACGATTCGGCGATTATGTGATACGATGCCTACCTGTATGCAATATGCGTGCGTATGTGTGATCGCCGTTGCCACATACATGTACCTTAAGGGTGTCCTTGCTACACTACATATTTAAGGTAGGGACCTGGTACATACATACAGTATATAGTACAGAAGTACCTCCTACAGAAAGAGGAACATGACATGATTCGTGAAAGCGGAGTTGCGTCGTGCTCGTGCGGTCGTGCAGGTCGTGCTTTGCTGCTGTATCTAAATTACCTCCAGTCCCACCTGTACTGTACAGACAATGTATGTGAGACGGCGTACAGGCGCCTCTTGTGTTTTTGGGGGAGGGGAGGGGGGGATAGGGGGCCTTGCATTCGGCCGATATCGCGACTCGCCGTTCGGGCCTTTTCTCTTTTCCTTTTCCCTCCATCTCTTCTATCTCTTGCTTCTTCTTCCTTTCTACGAATGGAAAGCCGTTTCATGATCACTGCGTACCTTAGGTGTATGTACTCAGGTCACAACGGCTCGGCTCCACGACAGACCGGCTGGAGCTACCACCTACCTGATCGTTGTGTGAAAAGATTTTTTTTTCTTGGGCCAAGAAACAAAGGAACACGCGGGTGCATGGTGCCCTTTCCTGGTTGAGGAAACCCTACTGCCCCGCAGGCGGCGGCCGCGAAGGTTGAGAAGGGGGATTCTTGCGCCGGGTAAGGTATCCTTGCGACATAGAAAAAAAAAGGGTCTGGAAGCTCACTGCCAAGGCCCTGTATTTCTGCGAATACAGTCCGGGACTCCGGGTACAACACATGTCTCATCATCACATTCACAGCACAGCACGATTATCAATATCAACGGGAAGTGGGCAACATGCGCATCCGAATGCTCTCTCGCGGTGGCGTGGTTGTGACATCCTCTCTCACCACATTGCGTAATGTATACCGTGACACCAACGCACCCCAGATACATACATGGAGGTAGCCACCGTGCGCCTATGCGGACGCGCAACATAGTTCTAGATGCGCAGGCAGGATAGGTGGTATGTGGCTGTTTTTCGTTGGGGACGGATCGGCCTGGTCGTCCTGCAGGGTTGTCATGTACCAAGGTTTACCACCTGGACAACCTCAGATTCGAGACTCTGATAAGACAGCAGACTGTGTTTATCAGAGCCTGAACTTATCTTCTGGTGCTCCAAATGGTCGCCCATAACTTATTGCGGCGCCCCATGTGTAGCACCAAGAATGCACCACATGTCTCCAAAGTAGGTATTCAAACGTGGAGTGACCTGGAACAACAGACGCATCCTTCGGCGCTACTTCTGGTTGTACCATAGCTCTCCTGATGTTGATCGTGGTGTCTCGTCAGTCCGCCCCGCCCTCGCCTACCAGTCTCTCACTTCGGGAACACAATCATCTTCCCGGCCCGAAGGCCTGATATGAACAGCAGCACGATGAGAGCGGGGGATTCTCTTACCCGAATGAGCTTGCGCAAGCGACCACCGGGAACTTCAGGGTCCTTCAGGGAGTCGTGGAAGCATGCGAGGAGTGCGAAGGGTCGGGCAATGTGGTAGCTACTGCTTGAATCAACAACAAGGTGCTTTGGTTGGTCGGTAGACCTGGTGCTGACGCTTCTCCCTGATGCTCCTCTGCATTATCATCTCAGAACCTAACCATCGACATCCGCAGCAGGGACCCGTGCCGCTGATCGTGGTGCGGCACGACCTCGAAAGAGTGAAGTACTTCGAGGGTTGCAAATGCAGGTGTCGTCGATAGACGCAGATGGCCTACTCCCTATTGCCATCGAAGAGATACATACTGTACCTCTGACGACCTGCCCGGTAGAAGACCCTGTGGCAGTCACACAGCATGCAGTTCGTAGGTTCGTACGTATCTATGTGTCGCCGTCGTGGTCGTGGTCGTGGTGGCGGTCGCCGTTGCAGTTGCAGTTGCATTTGCCATCAAGAGCTTTGGGCTATTCTTGATGAGCTCGTTATGAAGTTGATAGCATGAGCAGACGGGGCATTTCCCCAGTGCTAGGCCAGTTGGGCATGTCCAGTGGTGAAAAGGTATTGTCGCTGAAAGTTGGTGTCGAATGAGGCTCTGCGGCTCAGAATGGTCGCGTTTCTGCTGACTCGGCACACCCGAGGTGATGTCAGTTCCAATGGGAAATTCTTATGATCCATCACCAGCACAACACCAACCAGCCATTGCATGTAGCCTCTTGTGATAGCGAATCCATCACAAAAAACTACAGCAAAGATGGCATCACGAAGACTCATCACCCAGCTCATCCGCACCGCTCCACGCTTGGCCTTCCCACAACCAGCTGCATTCTCGCCCGTTTCAGCCCGAATTCGCAGAACACCCTTTTCCACAACTTCGCACCGTCGCGAAGACATCCCATCAGCATCAGCGGCCGCGTCACCCACACCGCCTGGTTATCTCAACGACACCGAACGCCGCATCTTCGACATCTTGGCCAGAGACCTCAAACCAACCGAGCTCGAAGTCCAAGACATCTCCGGTGGCTGCGGATCCATGTTCGCGCTCAATATCGTGTCGGAGCAGTTCACAGGCCTTCCCGTCATCAAACAACACAGACTGGTAAACCAAGTGCTCGGCGAGGAGATCAAGAAATGGCATGGAGTTCAATTGAGGACGAGCGCGCCAAAAGCGCCATAAGCGCCCAAGAACGGGAGAGCCAGCAGGCCCAGCAGACCCTACCCCCCAAAAACACGTGTCGGGGTGGAACGAGTCATGGTCACCAGTACCAGACGTGAGAGCTGAACAGGGGGGAAAGAAGAAGGAAAAAAAGATAAAAACAAATGCGGGGTGTGACGAACAAGCAACAGGCCACCACATATAGGCGGTATGTGTCAACGAACCAGCAAGTATTGCCAAAAAGACAAAGAAAGCTACGCGTCGGAGCCGATCCATTGCATGACCAGTACCGACTACGACTACCTACCTACCTACCTACCTTACCTCCTACTACTGGCAACGATCAAAGCTTTCTACTCGGCGCGAAGCCTACCTCACTTGCACCCACGCACCCACTCACCCCCCGTGTTTCGTACCGACTCTAGCAGCGGTCGGTACCTTTATGCTAGCTCCGGCTTTTCTTGTCTTCATCCCACATCTGCGGCAAAGTAGGTGGGTAGTAATAGTAGAAGTAGTAGTATATAGGTAGCGTGCACGACACGAGAGAGAAAGGCGGCGTCCGCGTCCGCGCTACCGGCAGTTGACCCGAGATAGCGGATGCGGCAGCGGTGAAGCAACTTGCTTGCTGTTTCTCCTAGGAGGTACTACTGCCCGTTGGTAGTTCATCATGACGATGATGATGACGATGATGATGCTCGCGATCTGGTGGCATCATAGCAGGAAGGAGATAAGACAAAAAAAAAAATAAACAACAAAGCATTACGAAGCTCATCGCCGCGATCGAGCAAGCGAGCTCATAAGGTGTACATATATGCAGTATGCCTACCTACCTTGATGCTCGAGATAGGTATAACTAGGTAGTTTACCTATGTATACTCAGGTATGCTCTGGGAAGCCCAATAATAACAATAATTGTAATCAACAAAACAAAACAAAAAAACAGCCGGGCATGAAAGAAAGCTGGTTTGAATAGGTAAGGTATTATAATCAGGCGAAGAAGTGCTGCCGGTTGCTAGGTAGGTGGGTAGCTACTCGTGCTATCTCAGCCGTATGCCAGCCATTAACGGTTCCTCTCTATCGTGATTTCCTGCAAAATCAATGCTGGCGAATACATTTGTGTCTCGTTTTGAGATAGATGCTTCGGCCAATGGGCCAGTAGTAGGTACAGGTAGGTGAGGTAAGGTAGTGGTTGGTACAATGACCCTCCTATCTACCTACCTACTTTGACCTGTACCTACTGAAATGACACAGTTCATTATCGTTATAACCTTTCCTTCCTTCCTTCTGTCGTCGACACAGCTGACTGGCATACAGGTGCGCGAAGACAAAAAGTTCCCATCATCATCATCAAGAAAAAGGACGTGAACAAGACGTTGCTGCTGTGCACCGGTTAGAGCCCTCTGACTTCAATCTTGTTGATTTCCATCTTTGCCTTTTGCCACTCGTCGAGGCTGCGCTTCGACCACTCGATATGGGCTTTGGCAAAGTTGAGCTGTCGAATTGGTCAGTCTTGAATCAACTTCATATAATCACTTGCTTGCCAGTCCCAAACTTACCATGTACATTCGCAGGTCATCCTCTTTGGTCCCCTGGAACCTGCGGAGGTCTTGCAGCACACCCTGACTGGCGTCCTTAACATCCTTTTGGGAGACGTCGAGCGCTTGCTCCAGCTGGACAAGACTCTCCTTGGTCTTGCCCAGGTCATCCCGTCGTGCACGCTCTGGATCTTGGTCGGTGACTCCTTGTATCGTGTGCGTGACACGACCAAAGATCTTGTTGACGATGCCGCTAGAGCCCCGTTTATGTCCACCATTGCTCGCAGACCTGGCGGGTGGGCTGCCGTATGGCTCCTGAGGGGTGTCATGCTCTGCCGCAGACGCAGGCTCACCTCCACTGGGCGGGAAGTCACTGTCGACCGACGCATTGTCACCATCGCTGGTGCTCGGTCTATTGCGATTGCTGCCACTGCTCGCACTTCGTCGGGGTATGTTATGGATCCCGGAAGACGTCATGTATTGCTCAATGCGCTTCGCTTCAATCTCACTCTGCTCCAACTGTGCAAGCTTCGACTTCTTCCTCTCCAGCTCGTCCCGTGTCATCTCTTCCTGTACGCGCTTCAACACCCGATACTTGAGCACGCTTCGCACTACACTTGCGAACTGCGCGCTTTCTCGCATTGGCTCAGCGAAGCCTGCGCTCAGTGCAGAGTTCAGATCACGCGATTGTATGTACGTGAAATCGCACGCCTGACCAGCTTTTTCAATCGCATGTGCTACGCTCGTAGACTGCTCGGAGAGAGAAAAGGCATTGTATCGAGCTCCGAGGTCCATCAAATCATCTCCGAGACTGGCAAGATGTCGCAGCAGGCGGGCGTTGACCTTCTCCATGGATCCGGTCAGGAGAGTTTCCAGTTCTTTGGAGCTGTTTTCAAAAGAAGAGAAATACGGATCGAGCTCGCCTTCACTCAAGTTCTGATTGAGCGGCGGGAAGCGAGCATACTGTATCTGAGGTGTCGAGTGTGCAGCTGCCGAAGGGGTGGCTGCAACACGGGGCGGAGATGTGGGTGTTCCTGAAGCCGACGAGCCAGAAGAAGAGCGCAACTTGGCGTTTGCCGAGGGGACCGGCAGCCACTGGTGGGCGGTAGTTGGGTTGGCCGGATCAAGAGGAGGCGCTTTGAGGTTGTTCTTGGGTATGCTGGCGGCTGGATGCGAGTGCAGTACTTCGCTCCAGCTCACATTGGGGTCCAGGAATCTCCACCATACCCCATCCTCTCGCACTTCCTTCATGCGCCTGCACCTGTTCAAGAACGTCGCCAGCATTCGCATTCGTAGCTCTATGATGCCAGCATCCTCCTTGGCCTTGGTCGGCTTCGCGGCATAGTCTGCTATGCTGTGTTTCTCGGGAATCGGTGGAATGACGAGCGTTGGATGTAGGTTGACCAGTGTTTGCCGTAACGAAGCGAACTCAGAGTAGCGCCTACGCACCACGACCTCGCCAGTCCGAATCGTGTAAGTGATGTAGCCGCCGCCGCCCTCAGTATTCTTGCCTGCCTGGACGATCTCGATCTGTAGTTCGGGGTGTTCGTACAGGATCTGTTCGATCCTGCTGTCGTAGCCACCCTCCTTGGGCTGTACCTTCACCCCGGACCGTCGGTCATCGTTCAGATCTTCGTCGCTCAGGTCGGTCGATCTCGACATGAAGTGTGGTGTTTGCTCCGGCGAGGAGTGGCCGGACGGTGGGGTTGACGGTCGGTGATAGCCTGGTAAGTGAACTTGTCAGTTCGCATGGCCTACCGGCGTCCATACCGCAGCGACTCACGCTCTGTGGGCGATAGTATCTCGCTTGTTTCCGAGTCGCGACGCTCGAAAGCGCCGTACGGATTGTTGTCCTCGTCGTCCCACATGCTGCCTAGCTGTCGCGGTGGACTCGCCGCCGATGAACAGTCTTGCGTGTCTTCGAGAGGTGCTTCTGCTGGTCAGCTTGCCGTTGTGCTGGAGTGGTGGATTCTCAAGCTGTGCCTGTTGCGCCTGTTCGGATCCGTTGTCCCCGTTGTTGTTTACTACCAAAGAATCTCACGTCTGGAGTAGAACTAGTGGAGTCTGGAGCTCGTGCAGGACAGCCTAAGCTTCCGCCCACGATGATGACGATGCCAAGGACGTCCTGGGGGTACCCATACATGATATCTTAGGTACCTGTATATACAGATATTGACTTAAGCCACTACACTGACCTCCTTCCCCTTTGCTATGGGTGAATACTGATGCTGTCTGCCACACATTACAGTCATCCATCTCCTGTCAAAGTGAGGTTCGCTCTGGTCGTTCCAGGGGTAAAGTCGTTGCTCAAGGTGGGTGGAAACAGGAGCTAGCAAGAACAGTCTTCAAAGGAGAACAAATAGTCGTAACCCTCACCTCATTTGATCAAGATCGGTCCGCTCTGCGTGGATCCATCAAACCGATCTTGAGACGCGTCAGTTATATATCCATGGCCCATCGTTTGCTGGGTATTGCACGCCGCCCTTGTTTCTTTTCACCACACGCAAAGCAGGAACTTATCTCTTCCATTCGTCGAACCTCTACGCAAACAACAGGGAAGTGTATCGGAACGTACTGCACCATCAATACGGAATCGAGGAAATCAAGGGACATGTCTCAGTCAAGCGAGCCGTTCGTTGTTCGCTTCTATAGCAGCGGTGCTCGCGATGATGAAGGTCGCGATCTGGACGACATTCTGAAATCCTCCGATGAAGCTCTCGAGCAATGTCATGATTACATACAGCTCATCTTCCCCGTAAGTCACTCATGTCTCTTGCCAGCCATTGGCAAGCCCTCCTGTCACCAGCTATACAGGTTGGCAGTCTGTACTACGCTTGACCACGATGGCAAGAAAGGTGATACCACGTCTCTAACTAATCGTGCCTTCAGCTGCCTGAGCGCTCGCCATACAACCCTGGCGCACCCATCCTCTCCAAAGAAATCCGCGATGCATTTCTGGGAAACGAACATCTCCGCAAGCAACTCTCCAGAGCCTTCGCCCGCATGGCCAGCTTTTACGCCTTCGATGTCTCTGGAGACCCGCTCGATCCTGCACTGAAACCGAAGGACTGCTTTCATCGACTTTCCGCCCAGACCTGGCGTACGCGAATGGATCACAACCACCTTCGCATCACGCGGATCATCAGATCCATGCGTATTTTGGGCCTCGAGAACGCGGCTTCAAACTTTTACAGCGCTCTCGTAGCGAACGAAAATGGGGTGGTCGCCAAAAGCAGCTTAATGTATTGGAACCGTGCTGCGAAACGTCCACTCCACCTTCCACCCAATGAATCGAATGAGGATGCTGCAGGGATCACGTGGCTGAAGTAGGTCGCTGTGATCACATGGGGATCACCGGTATTCCGGCGCAGAGTGCAGAGCCCTGAGCGCAGAGAGAAGAGGAAACGTCGACACAAAACCAGCCGATCTCAATGGCAAGAGTATTAGAAGATGAGTCAAGTCCTCATCTTGGCTGTTCTATGGGCAGGGCATTGGACAGAGGAAATCGGCCAGGTTGAGCAGAGTACGACAACCCAGAGTCGTGACATTGTCTCCTCGACAGCCGTCAAAGTCTACAAGGACGTCTTGCTAGCGGACGTCTCTCAATAGAATAGTGGAGAAGAAGTATCACTCATTCCTCCGCCATTCACTCCTCGTCCTCCCAGCCCTCGTCAGAACTGGAGGTTCGAATCGACTATGGCCCAGACTGCCTGGCTAGGTCCGCCTCAAGCGCTGCCAGAGCACCACTCGTGACCTCCGCATTCGTTCCACGGGGCACATCTCTGATAACCCTCGCAGGATTTCCCGCCACCACTTTATAAGGAGGAACATCCTGCTCGCCAACACTCAGTCCATTAGCTTCCGACTCAAATCGAGTTCGAACTTGATACATCTCCAATGGGTAAAATTCCACCTACCTTAGTAACCACACTTCCCGCACCAATAGTACATCCTCGTCCAATAGTGACACCAGGCAACACAATCACATTGCCCCCCAACCAACAATCCTCACCAATATGAATCTCCCCTCCCATCTCCGGCCCTTGTGTCCCATTTCGCACGTCGGGATCCAAGGGGTGCGTTCCACTGTACAGTGACACGTTCGAAGCAAGCAAGGTTCTGGCTCCAATTGTTACTTTGCACGTGTCCAGAATTGTGCAATTGAAATTGATAAAGACGTTTTTTCCCAGCTCGAGATTCGTTCCGTAGTCGATGTGAATCGGTGCTTCGACCCATGCGTCTTGAGCGAAGAGCTCTTCGTCTGCTTCTGAGGTTGCTGCTGGTGGAGGAAGGGGGGTTGGGTCGCCTGTGATACTAGCCGGATAAAAAATGAAATAAGTATTGTATGTTTTTAATATATGTATTTCTAACTGAGAGGAAAGGTAGGGTAAGATATGTGTAGAGGCAGGCTTGTGAAGCACGTCGTCTTGCTTGGACGAGTTCTGGGGTAAAGGCGTAGTAGAGCTCGCCGCGTAGGGCGCGGGCTTTGTTTTCAGAAGTGGCCATTTCCTCAACGAAATTTTGATCAAGTTCTTGAGAGATAGGTGTATACCTATTGTTTTATTCGAGGACTCGACAGAAGGTAGCTCGTAGTGGAACTTCCTAGAAGGTATACCAGCTCATGAGTAATAGAATGCCAAGGGAGGGTGAGGACTGACTCGAGTGAGGGATCGGTAAAGTCTCGGCGTATAACTGGGGCGCGCTTTCTTCGCAACATGTCGGTCGGTGAACAACATATTTTGTATATCTGGTGGACCAGTCGCGACGACGACCACATATAGTGCCAAGACACGAAGAGATGGCCGTACTCCTCGACCAGGGCGGGTAGCACAGATACAATGGGTCAACTCCCTCCAAACCAGGCCGGATGCGCAAATCTCAAGACAGACATCATCAAAGTTCAAAGCAAAAGAAGAAGTGGAGCAATATACATGGTAATTTTTCAATATCCTACATTCACTATACTTCCGTCAATCATTCGACGAATTTTGATTTTGCCCGGCAGAAATGGCGACAGTATGGTTCTACCACACAGCCAACGAAAGAAAATGAGTGCATCCTCCAGATGCATCTTTGAGATCCAAGAGCTTTCACGCTGCCTTCGGCATCGCTAAGCAGCGTTTCTGACCCAAAGGCTAGCTCTAGATCAAAGTTGAGCTTGTTTGCGGTGGGTTTCCAGGGATAGGAACCAGTCCTTTGAGACCACCAGATGTCAACCCGCCAGCGAGACCTTGGACTGGTTGGAGCGCACCACCCAAGTTGCCTGTAAGGCCTTGGACTGGCGTAAGAAGACTGTTCAGTTGTCGTGCTGGGCAGAGTTAGCATGATCATTTACCCGGGGCAAGGTGAAGTAGAGCGGCGATAACATACCCTTGAGACCTTGGACGAGACCTTCAACGGGAGCTGCCTCGCTCAAGACTGGAGCTGTCTCGCTCAAGACGGGAGCTGCCTCGTTCAAGACGGGAGCTGCCTCGCTCAAGACGGGAGCTGCCTCGCCCGTGACGGGTGCGAGCAGGCCAGTAACACTGTCCAGTTGGCGTGCTTTTTGCAATGTTAACAGAGTCCAAGTGAATGATGGGCTACGTCGAAGATCACATACGATCAATCTCATTGATTCTTTCAGTGAGAGTGCTTGCTTCTGCGAGCTCGTTCATAAGGCTGTTGTCGATAGGTGCAGCGACTGCGATCGAGCTGATGAGCGCAATCGCCATTGAGATGATGCAGGAGGTCTTCATAGCTGCGAGTGTAATGAATGAAGGAAGGTTCAAGGTGATACAGAGTGAACAAAGTCTGAAGTGGTGTGATGGTGAAGTGGTAGGCAGATATTGCTAGTAGAAACGATTCAAAGGAACTGACGAGAAACCTCAAAAATGAACAAAGTCTGAAAGGATGTGGGTGTGAAGTGGTAGGTAGATATTGCTGCTATCCAAAGAACACGGACGAGAAGCCTATTGATATAGAAGATTCACAGTAGAAGTACACCTCCTCTCAGCATAGGTACCTAACGATCAATCTCCACAAGCACTCATCACGTCACCTTCCATTTGCCCATGTGCCTCACCCACGACACTTCCTCGCGTTTGAGACTCTGCACATCTCACCATCATCGAGGGCTACATCTCTGACGATCGAAAGCAGCATTCCTGTCGTATTGTCAAAAGAGTCACAAACCACTAACACTACCTCACCTAGCCTAGCCCTAGGAGGTACCTCCTGCGGCTCTAGTCTGATACATCTCGAGTATCAGCATCGATGCAGGAACTTGCGCCATGAGTTATTTGTACCTGCAAAACAGATAAAGTCTCACCGTTATGATCGTCGTCATCATCATCACCATCACCATCACCAACACCAACACCATGTACAATGACGGGCCCTGCATGCGCGCACTCTGAAGAAAGGAGGTATGCATGTCCGTTGTTGTTAGGAGGTATGCCTACCTAGCTTAAGATGGTCCTCTTGACTCGAAAGATTTGTTGCTTCTTGACTCAGGGTCCATTACTATATATATTCTCTACGCTACCTAACCTGTACCTGAGTCGTTGATTTGAGTACTACCACATGTACCTTAGTACTACCTACCTTTACTTACCTACTGTAAAGCGAGAACCATGGCCCAGAACAGACGAGACTGGACTAGATCACATACTTAGACTGTGCAGTATATAGATTGGAGGAAAGTGGACAGGTTGCGGCGATCGCGAGGTCCGTTCTGTTGTTCGAGGAGGGCTGTCAAGTCAGCATCTCTGAGGGGTCCATGTTTCACGATGCCAGAAATCTCCAGCGTTGTCCCAGTCGAGACTGATCAGTGAAGATTGTACAGCAGGGTGGATATGTGCTTCACTTCATCCTGTTTACCGATTTACGCTCGCTCGTGCTGCATTGGAAGTTGAGGACGAAAAAGATGATGAACAATGGAAGGACATGGCTGACCGAGCCAGCTTGAAGCAAAGACAAGAAGATACTATGGGCTGAAGAGGAGAACGGGCATTGAAGCTTGCAATCACTGGGCAAATTGCACTGCCTTCACAGCGTAGCCGATGCAATCCTCATCGCTGAATCAAACACTTTGGGTTTCTGCGCATGCTCTTGAGGGCCATCACATTGCCAATGCAGTCCTGCAGATAACATGCAAGCGAGGTGGTAGGCTCCTTTCCAGCGCCCATCATTCGCCGATCTTGTCGTTGTATGCCTGCTTCGCTAGCATCTCCTCTTGCCCACACGCGCCACTCGGGAGCTCGACGGGATACACACCATCACCACTAACGACTTCCGGGCCAGGATCAGGATACTTCAGTTCAGCTGTGGAGCGCGGGGTCTCGCAGTCATTGCCATTATCCGCCACGAACATCAGCGGCCGCTCGGCGAAAGCCATGGAAGTCGGGTTATCCGTGTCGCGAGCGTAGCCAGCAGTTTCAGATGCCTCATCACAGTCTGTGCAAACGCAGGTAGAGATGTTGACAGGGGCAGCGCAAAGACAGTCGCAGCCGTTCGCGGTCTCATAGGAAGTGGCGGATGGGATTGGTTCGTGATTGGCGACAGTCGAGCTCGGGTAGTTCATGATGCTGCTGCTGGAGACAGGAGGCGTCGGTGATACGATCTCTACAGCAGCGCAGTTCATGTTGAACTCCTGCTCGCGGTTGTACCAGATCCACGCGAACAACCGGACGCCCTGCTTGAGATCCCTCGGGACCTGAAACTCGAAGCTCTGTCCGTCTGGCCCATTGCCATTGTTGCGATGTGGGCAATTTCCCTCGTAGGATGTAGCCACATGGAAGGAGCGAGCACTGTCGGTCGAGAATCCAACTTGACACGAGCCTCCGTAATGATTGCCTCCTAGTTCGCCGGGCGCCCACAAGGTGAAATTCACAGTGCTGCCAGCTTCCCAGGTCGCTGTGGGGGCTCCATCAGGCGAGCCTAGCAGGCTCTCATAACCGCGACCTACGGGCACGCCAATCAGTAACGTCTTGGGGAGAAGGTCGAGTGTGCTGTGCAGATGGACGTACACGGATAGACCCAACGATCGTTTTCGCCGCAACAGTCGTAGGGAAACTCCAGATATGGATCGGCAGTGGCAGTGGTGCGGTGCGGGTTGTTGGAGGCGTTGAAGGGGGCTGGGTAGAAGAGCTGCATGTGGGCAGAGGCGCCGGCAGCAGAGAGCGCGAGACCAGCGACGGCGTTGACGAAACGCATCTTGTTGGTGTGTGGCGGATTGTTCTTCGTCGTTTTCGAGGCTTGCAGAGCTCAAGTGAAGGGAGTTTGTGATACGGCTTTCTATAGGACCAGACAGAAGCAGGTTTTGTATGGAATTCGTGAAGCGAGAAAGCGGTAACTCATACTAGACCGCTGAGTGCTACCTTGGGCAGCCCATCACGACGTGGCTGACATACTTACGGTACTATACCATATTGCGAAGACACGAAATCCAGACTGTGCGGGCATTGTATGCAGGATTTACTACTGTACTGACTGTAGCGTCAGTAGCAGCAAGCAAGTGACTCGCTGGGAGTGACGGACGACGAGAGAAATTGTGAAGCTACACAGCAAATGTCCATGTCGATGTCCATATCGATGTCCATGTCCATATCGACGGAATCACGAAGAACATTGAAGGTGAGAAGTGGAGGGGAGAAAGGAGGAGGAGGAAAGTAGTCCCGTTCCGGCTAGTTCTAGTTCTAGCTTGCTGACATAATCATCCATGGTGATGTGGTCACCTCACCAATCATCCACGACAACAGACTACATGTATCTTCACATATTCCATCACGTTCACGACACCACACACTCTCTTTACGAGACAACATGGCGGCGACTAACGGTGTAGTGAGCCGGAAGGGTGTGTCGCGCGCTCGTCTTCTGCTTTGCCTGCTCAGCGCATCTAACCTGCACAGCAGCGCCCGCCGCGAAGCCGATCAAGAACGAACATGTACTCTCGCTTGACACCATCTTCGACGACCTCGAAAACGAGACTGCGCCGAAGCTCGTCCCGGAAGTCAAGGAAAAGCTGCCCAAGATCAAGAATGGAGGCGCATGGACGACCGAGGTCAATACAGGCAGCAAGCCCAAGGACACCGCGCGCCCAAAGTGTATTAGCAAGATCCCGATGACAATCGCGCGAGCCTTCCCTAACCGTGCGCCCATGAAGGATAGACCGGAACAAATGCGATGCACTCATTGCAAACGCCCCGTCGCAAAGCACGTTATGACCAGGCACGTCGAGAGCTGTCTGAACAAGAAGCAGGAGAAACAGCGCAAGAAGAAGGAAGCCAAGGACGCCAGAGACGCTGCCGCGCGGAAGGAGCGAGCAGGTAGCAGCGATGAAGAGGAAGATGGCTCCAAGAAGACTGCCACCAAGACGGGCGGTATGACAGCAAGCAAGAAGCGCAAGGCTGCCGACGAGGGCGACGATGGTGCGCCGAAAAAGAAGAAGAAGAAAGACGACCTCAAAGCCAAGGCGCCTCGGCCCAAAGCTCCGGTGGATGTCGAAAAGCAGTGCGGCGTTGAGCTACCACAAGGCGGCCAGTGTGCTCGTAGTCTGACATGCAAAAGCCACAGTATGGGAGCGAAGCGTGCAGTGCCAGGCCGAAGCGCGCCCTATGACAAGTTGCTCATGGAGTACCAGCGCAAAAACGCTGCCAAGCAGCAGAAAGCCCAGTTCGATGCAAATGCGCCCAATCCGGACGACTATGACCTGCCATCAGGACCTGTGGACAGCGACGAGGAGAGAGATGCAGTCATGTCTAGCATCAACACCAACTGGGGCGGCCAGCCACTCTACCAACCTGTGCACGTTCCATTGCGACAGAAATACGATTATAACAGGATGAAGGGCATGTTGTCATCTGCTTTTGCTGGCAATCGATCAGGCATGTTTGGCAGTGCCCCAACGACGGGCGGTTTCTTCAGCTCTGCACCAATCGGTCCCACGATTGATGCAGATGGCATGATTCGTGCTCGAAAGGGGAGTGTGATTCCAGGGGCGCGCAGCATGATTGCACCGGCTGTCAATCGAAAGATGAGCACTGCTACTGGATCTTGAGAGTCGTCCGATCCGTAAGGCGCCCAGCCCACTTTTCATGGCGGCAGCCCTCTCACGCGCGTTTCCAGCATACATACCTCTTGTGTCTCTGCTCCAAAGAATGAAGCTATCAGAGCTCTTGCGCCCAAATCAACAGCGATGGGCCGATCTGGCAGGAAGGAGGAGTTCTACACACTCAGATTGGCGTCCCGGTTTTTTTGATTTTATGATACCCATGGATCATGAGTTTTTGGGCTTCTTACATACATGTCCCTACTCAAATAGTCCCACCATAGTTCCACGATGAAGCCTCGCTTCGCAAGCACGCAAATGCATTTGAATCATCCCAACCATGTCCATTATTTTCCGCCCCCTCTTCTCGCGAGCCGCATATGCCCTCTCTCTCTCTCTCTCTCATGACAGCTCCGTGACGTAATCTCGATTTGATTTGCTATGGGCAGGACTCGAGAAATACAGGTACTCTCTCCATTTGGCGGCGACTGTGCTTGCTTGATGGAACACCTTCAATAATACATCTGCGCGCTTGCAATCGCCAGCGCTCCCTACTGCCGTTGTCCTCGTCCTCCTTTACTGTTGTGGTCAACGCCACCCGATGAAAATGAGCACTGTCGCAGTCAGCATACTTACCACATGTCAAGGTATACACTGGCAAAGAACGAAATCTGGTCGAATTTCTAGTTATTATCATGTCCATACGAATACAAACATAATTACGTAGCGTCCCAATAGTGGTCAGCCTCCATTTCTTTTCATTCCTTCCCCCTCTGATGTCTGGGGTACGCTGTATGTGCCTGACGATTCCAACAATGGTCTCTCTCTCCTTCTCTTTGCTTCTTTCCTCTTGCCATTCGTCAAAATGAGTGCAAATCTTGTGCTTCCAACAAATTGTAAAGTGGTATGTGGCAGTCCATACAGACTGCGATACCGTTCAGAACTGAACCATGCGCGAGCAGATGAACACACATCTCCGCTTCTGTTTCCCAAACGCCTTCGCTATGTGCATTCATCATGTAAATCGATATTTGGAAGGAAAAATAATAACGTGGTCGTCGTGGTCCGGTCCCATGCAAGCTCTATCAGGCCTTACTGATCCTCGACTCGAAGCTCGGGCGCGGGTCGGGGTTCATGACTCCCAACGGTCGACTGTAGTCCTGCTGGTCTTGCATGGATATTCGACTTCCATTGGCTTCTGCGTTTGCAAAGAGTGCCGATGGATTCAGACGCTGATCGTACACCATGGGTTTACTCATCCGCCGCGTCTGGTCGCTGCCGTGGCTACTACCGAGCGGACTCGCAGGATCTACGCCATGGGCCATACCAGACCCAAACATCATGGAATGTCTGACGCTGGTCTGTCCCGCAGGTTGCGACGCATAGTAATCGTCTCGAGCCTCACCCATGCTCGGGCGAGTACCTGTGAGGAGCCCAGCCTTACTAAGCACGCTCACGTTGCGACCCAGACGGCTGCTGCCCGCAGATGTTGGTGGTCCTCCAGCCTCACTCTGTTCGGAAGCCTTCCGTCTCCGCCAGAGCAAGAAAGCTGCAGCGGCGATAGCAGCGAGCGCTGCCAAGACTCCGATCACGACCCCGGCAATGGCGCCTCCGGACATGCCATCGTCTCTGTCCAATGGTTGCTGGGCGCTCTCATTGGATTGCGGTGCAGGCAGGGGCGTGCTGGTGACGGTCTGTGTCACGACGGCGCCCGAGATGGTGGTCATTATCACGCTCGTGACCGGTTCGACAGTCGATTCGGTCGTCGATTCGGTTGTACTCGAGCTGGGCGATGATGGTGTCGTGCTCGATTGTGAAGATGTCTGTGAACAAGATGCATTGTCAGCACGTGTCATGAGGCAGTGATAACTAGTTGGTTGTCATGTACGGGCTCCGTATGCGGCGGTACGGTGGTGCATGATGAAATGTGTCGAAGCATACAGTTGTCGTACTGCTCGGCGGCATACTCTCCTCTGGCGAACTACTGGGCGGAGGAGGCGGAGGAGGAGGAGGAAGTACGGTTGATATCAAGACGGCGCTCTGTGTTACTGTTATACTCACATAACTCGTCTCTGGTTCTTGTGTTGATGGTGGTGGTGCTGTTGTTGGTGTTGACTGTGGTTCCCATCTGTCAACATGATTGCCGGAGGTGAAGGAATGCGTACACTGATGGGACAACAACGGATCCCGAGTGGATGAAGGCGAGCCTCACAACTGACGGGGGAAGACTGGGAACTACCCCTCCAGACTGCACTGTGAGGGTGACTGTGATGGATGATGTGCAATGAACAAGATGGACTCACCTGCCGTGTTGATGTGGGGGGCGGTGTGCTGCTGGACGAACCGCCTGCTGTCCCAGACGGGCTGTTGTTGAGGGCAATGTATCCAAAAAGGCCAGAGTCCGAGTTGCCACACTTCTCGGCTGGGTATCCAGGGCAGTCCTCGTTGCAATTGCCTACTGATGTGGTAGTGCCCGGGGCGATATTCGTACACCAGCATGACTGGTACTGAACGACGGCGAATGCGTACTCGGCTGAGCACGTATCATGGCAGGCCCCGTTGGACTGGTATATATTGGTCACTGAGGGCCGCGTTAGTCTATGTTCATCCACTGTCCGATCTTTCATGCAGCGTCATGCTTGGATGATGAGGGATTTGCAATAGTACACAAAAACGAGGGAAGGAGCGGAGCGGAGCCCAAGCCAAGCGCACTCACCGACACCGAAGCTCGAGCCAGTATTCTGGCTCGAGCAGTATTGCTGCACCAGGCCATCGACCTGGGCTGTCATGGCCAGAGCTAGAACGGCAGCCCGGAAGCAGAAGCCTCGGAAGGGGAGCATGTTGTGCATCTTCTTCATATCACCAGGTGGTATCTGTGGGAGCGCGAGAGCAACAGCAGCAGCAGGCGAGGAGCCGCGTAACAATACCGCTCCTTCTCCAGCCTACTGCGCGCGTTCTGAGGGCATGCAGAGGGCAGTTGCAATGGGGGGTGGTTTCGAATCGGCAGGCGGAAGGGAGGATATCGGTGTCGTCGAGGTGTAGTAGGAGGCGCGCGGGCGCGACGGAGATCTGTTCAGGGGAGCGGAGGCGGAGCGGAGGGAGGCGACAGGGGTGGGTGGCGATGGTATTATACTGTCGGTCAACAGCGTGGTAGTAGTTCTTGTCCAGCAAGTCGGGGTGAGGTGGCAGTAGAGAGGGTAGACATGCGGCAAAATGGAGTAGGTGTGGAGGAGAGGTTGGTAGGTTGGTACAGGTAGGCAGTTGAATGTGCGGAGTGTGGATGAGTGGATGGGTGTTTCCAGAGCCGCACGCCAATACCGCTAATGCCGCCGGCGTCAGACCAGAGCAATAGGCGAGGCAGGTAGGTAAGGTAGGTAAGGTAGATAGGCAGGCAGGCAGGCAGGCAGGCAACACAAGGAAAGAGCGTGTCCCGGTGGTGTAAGGTAGGTAGGTAGGTAATGTACCCAGTAGCCTGGTGGATAGGCTCAGGTAGATAAGGGAGGGAATCCGGCAGAAGGAGGAAGAAAGAAGGAAGAAGCCGTGGAGGAGGAGAAGGAGGAGGAGGAGGAGGAGGAGGAGGAGAAAAGGAAGAAGCCGTCAGTCTCCCTCCTACGAGGAGAGACTACACTGTAGTAGGGACTGGCTGTGCGGGAGGGAGGGAGGGAGAGGAGAGAGAGTGGAGTGTGTGGAGAGTAGAGAGCAGAGAGTAGAGAAGGCAGGAGCAGAGCAGGGCAGGGCAGGCAGGAGCAGGGCAGGAAAACGGCAGGACGCGGAGTCAGCTTCAGCGGCGGCGCTTGTGCTTTTGCTGCCTTGGCTCAGTATGTGGCTGCTTGGTGGGCGACAAAGTCCAAGAATTCGAAGATTGGACGAGCTCCACCGTCCAAAGTCTAACGCGTGACAATCCAATGGACTGCGGGTTGCTTGCACGAGCACACCCACTGGTGGCTCGTGGGCCACTGGACGTTTCGAACTTTCGACGATCGGAAATCGGCCTGCTGTAAAACGTCGGCTGGTAGACTCGTGCGTGTGGGTGATGATGACGATGTCCGCAATGTGTCCTGATTCGTGTCTCTGCGAGCACGTAACGGACGCGTCGTGTGTGTTGTTGTTGTTGTTGTTGATGCCGTTGTTGTTGTTGTTGTTGTTGTCGTTGTTGTTATTGTTGTTGTGGCGTCGCCTCCCGTCTGGTTTCTCTTCTTCCTCTTCTTCTACCCCTTCTGATTATATATATTGCTTCCAGTCGGCGTTTCCAGTGGAAACTGGTGCGCTCTCACTAACCTTGCTGCTGGCCATCCATGTCCACTCGACCTGGCGCACGCAGCCCCGGCAATAATCTTCGTTCACCCCGTCGCCACACGAGCGGGCGAACGAGCGAGCGAGCGAGACAGAGAGCGAGCTCAAGAGAGAGACAGCCTCAGACAGGAACCTTCGCGCGCACTTTGCAACTACTGTGCAGGTACTCTATCTGAACAGAGCTGGTTCGATATAATAAAAAAAATTATATCCAACTTCACCCACTGACCGGCCCGCTGCCCGCTGCCTCGAATAATCATCTCAGATCTTGTTTGACCCTCGCACCGCCTGCACCGCCCTCTGAGACCTGCCCACTCATCACAAACGACACTGGGCCATGTTGCTGCTAGGAGGTAGGTAGGAGGGACTGCACGGGAAACGGGGTGCGTGGACCAAGCGACAAGCTCACTCCTGGGATGCACGCACGCCTCTCAACCACCCCGCGCGCTCTGCGACCTGCAGTCCTGCACCTGCAACCTGCAACCTGCACATGCTCACCTCTACCTGCAGTCTGAATGAGTTTCTGCGGGAACCTATTGCTCGCTCGCTGCACGATAAGGTACGTAGATGTAGATTTTCCCCAGCGACAGCAGGACAGCCGCGAAAGCGAGTAGTGGTGGTGGTGGGGGATCTGTCTCTCTGTCGGTCTATCTGTCGGTCTCTCTGTCGGTCTATCCGTGATGCATCATCCATCCATCGGGTGCAGCTGCAGGTCAGCTCCAGCTGTTCCGCACACTCCTGTCGTATTGCATATACTATATATGCGTGCACGATCTATAGGAGGATAATTGAGAGGGCGGACGATTGGGGGTAGGGGGGGGGGGAGGACTTCCAGGTACTGTATGTACATGGACCAGGTGCATGCCAGCAGCTGTGAAGAACAGGCGTTGCTGGGTATTTACGTACGGTGAATGATGAGAAGGGACAAGATCAAACAAAAAATGCCTCCCTCTCAACAAGACCTGGCATCTCCATATAGAAATCTATTCCCGGCTGTAAGCGGAACTCAGGTATGCACATGTACATGTAGGTAGGTAGGGTAGGTAACACCACATTGTACCCTACCCTAGGTCCCTCTCTCTCTCTCTCCTCTACACCCGACAGTAAGGTACACAACAAAAAGACTTTTTTATATTTTCGTAACGCATCGAAACTAGATAATGCAATGCAATGTCCAAGTTCGATCAACTCTTGATCTCCTCCTGATTGTTTTCCTAGCGGCTGCAGTAACATGTACATATACCTTATAGTATACTTTACCTACCTAAGGTACCTACCTAGCTCGAGGTAAATACAGTCCCTATACCTCCCAAACAAAAAAATCGAATTAGGTATCTGTATAGGTACCTATGTATGTACCTACCGATTTGAAGAGCAGCCAGCACGATCGCTGTGGCTGAACGGGACTAGGAGGTATACCCTACACCCTACACACACAACTACAGTACATCTACAACCCCGGGGACCCGGGGGTTCATACAGCATCTGATTCTGCCATTTGATCTATTGTGAGCGTCACTGCATCGTCTACCTAATACCAGTTGGCAGTACCTTACCAGTAGTCTATCCAGACATTTCAACTAGGAGGTAGCTGTCAAGCATCAAACTCTCTCTCCCTCTCTCTCTCCCTCTCTCTCTTCTCTTTTAAAGTTTTTTTCAGCTGAGAAGTTTCTGCAGTAATCTTACCCCCGTACATGTAAGGTATGACTATGTAATCTCGATGAAGAGGTATATTGACGAGGGGGGTTCTTGATCGGATTTTATGTACTGTGTGTATATATATATAGGGTACCTAGGTACATGGGTAATGTGGTTTTTGAAAGCCTCGTGTGGCTGAGTACGGTATGTATGGGTATGGGATGTACGGTACGGGCATGGATGTATACATGGATGTATTCAAGGGCTCAGGTAGGTAGGTATTCATGCGCCACATAATTGATGGTGCAATCCGAATGTCAATGAATTCATACCCGGGTACATTCGATCGGGATGAGGTATAAGCTGTCTACAAGCATTATATCGATCGCTACCTACCTACTGATGCTCAATTCCTCATCATCGTTTCAGAGATTCAGGTAGTGTTCTCGAGCACCTCAGATTTTTATCACCTGGCATACATACGCCAGTCGGGTAGGATCGAAGGACAGCAACTATGTACAGAAATTCTACAACCTACCTAGGTGTACCTGTAGGTATATACATACTCCCCTCCCCACGAACCAGGTCTCTTACACCTTTTTCTTTTAGCCTTTGTTGGTAAGTATCGTACAGGAGGTACATGTAGAACTTCGGGATCGATGTTGTGACTTTTTCTAGGCCGCGTGGATGTTGAACACTACATGTACAGTAGTAGCAGCAGCACTACAGGTACATAGGTAATTATACATGTATCTCAGCACATCATTATCATCATATTCGTACATCGTGATACATCATCGTCATTACGTATCTTTTCATCTTTGCTATCTGCATTATCTATACGATCCGCCATCATACGAATTCCACCTCTCACCTTCCTGTTGGTGGTCATAGTCATGTTGTGATGAAGGTGGCTGTGGACTTTGGCCTCGATATGCCGGGTGTACACTCTGCTCTTGAGTAGAGATACCACCCCCATGAGAAGGAGGAGGATGATTCTGATGAGGATATGTGGAGCCCACTACAGGATGATAGCCCGTATCCTCATCTTGCCATATCGACGAAGGCTTGAAATCCAGACCCGTAGGCTCCGAGGGGTAAGCAGCATGTGTCCTTGCGGGTGCTTGAGCACCTCCGAGGAGTCCGGTGCTATCGTTCTCTTCATGTGTCATTGTTTGTCCTGATTGGCCGTATAATCTCTCGTGATTGTTGTGACGATTATTCCCGGGAAGGTAGAGTTCAGTTGCAGCTTCGCCTGTACCAGCGAAAACAGGCCCGGACGATGCAGAATTATATTCAACAGATTCGCCAAGCTTGTTGGCTGGCATGTAATAACTGGGATCGTTGTGTCTTTTTCTCGAGCCCACAAACAGCCATCTAAATCCTCGGGCACTAGCGGTAACAATGTCCCAAGGATTGAAAGCATCGAGAATAGCTTTCCAGCCCATAAAGCCACCAGAGTATCGTGAAATCTCGCCATCGTACGTCGGCGTGGTGGAAAATCGCGCATTGTGTTTAAGTGAATATGGCTTCCAGGGGTATGCAAAGATGTGCAAGCAGGCGAAGATTGCCATTTCAATGCAGAGTAGTACGCTGGGGATGCCAATTTGTATGTCGGAGTATGCCATTTTGTCCGTGGGTTTCAAGACTCCGACTTTGGCGGAGGAGAGGAGGCTGATGACAATGGTTTGCCAAAAGGAGAAGAAGATGACCAGTTTGATGCTGACAACTTTGAGGAATGGCTTGTGTTCGGCGATGTTCGTCTTGAGTTGGATGTAGAATTGGATCACGAAGAACATGGCAAAGGTCACGGAAAGAGCCTCGAATGCCAGGACCCAAATGTGGGCGAATGCGGGCGATAAGGATGCTTCGCAGTACTTGTCAAAAGATTCTGTGATGACAGAGACAATGGTGAAGAAGACCCGGATGAAACAGTATTGAAAGATGCCTATCAGAGTCCATCAGCTTGCCAATGGCATCCACCAGTACGAGCGAGTGATCACGACTTACCGACCCATATCACGTTGAACCACGTCAGTCCGCTTCTCGGCCTCCTCAAAATCCCCTTATCCTCACCTCCCGTACACTTTTGCAGACCAAACACGCCCCAAAACCAGTTCTGCGGTACGACTCGACGAAAATACTCCTTCTGGTCGTGCAGAGTGGGAGCACAATAATGACAAAGCAATGCAAAGAAGGAACTGATAGCAAAAGCCTCGTAGCAATCCCGCAGCACGTCAAAATACACTGCATGGCGATAGTAGGCATAGCTCAAGAAACTGACGATGGAATAGACGGGAACCATGAACAGAATTCGGATAATGTGTTTTTGTTCGCCCGGTACCAGGTAATGTGTCGCGTGTCGCCATATGAGGTATAGTGACACCAGTACAGATATCAGACCGAAGATGGCAGATATCAGCAGGCCAAGCTGGTGGAAGGTTATGCCTATGCTGAGAGGCGTCTCCTCGATGCGGGCATCTTGGAGGGTGGAGTTGCAAATCGCCATATCGAGCTAGGGTCGCGCCCACTTCGTCCTGTGGCTCCCTTGAAGTCGCGCAGTCCTGCAGTATCCTCGCTTGCTCGTCTCGACTCTTCTGGTGTCTTCGCGTCCAACCAACTTTGATTCCCCTCCCCACTCCTCGCGATCACCAAATCGTACTTCTGTCTTGCCGTCGCAGTGCAGGTGCGCGTCCAATGCACGATGCGAATAAAGCCTCACTCCGCCTCGTCCTTTTGATGGTAACTCCTCCTAGCGCCGTGCAACACGCGTGGACAAGATAAGACAAGACAAGCCTCGCGACAAGAAAGTCTCGGCGGCGCTTGCGCTGCTTGTCTCTGGCCTGTGGTCTCGGCGGTGAGCTGCGGTGGCTGATGTGCTCGTGGTATCGGGACGCGTGGCGATGGAGAAGAACGAGAACTGTGTGTGAGTGCGTGAGTGTGTGTCAGAGGGAGAGATTGTGTGTGTGTTAGAGAGAGTGGGTGAGTGTGTGAAGGAGTGTATGTGAGTGAGGCTGTGCAGAGTAGAGCAGAGCAGAGCAGTGCAGTGTAGTGCAGTCTCCAGTGTCCACTGCACGTGCGTCTGTCTGTCGCTAACCGAAGGCGCGTGTGAGTAGAATCACTCCCGTCCCGTCCTCACTCCCGTCAAACCTTCACTGTTCTCCAGTTCCAGTCTCTGAGTCTCCCATGGTCTTAACCTCCCGTCCACACCTCTCTTTGGTGATATTCTGGTCTTCGGGAAGCCCCATGAATGCCCCATGACGACATGACGTGACCGGAGCGGGCGTGGTTGGACTGACCTCCGCATCACGTGCGATATAAGTGATCGACAGGCACAGTCGCTTCACGCCATGGTTTCAGGACACGTACTATAACACGTTTCACACACAGCACTAAGGTAGGACGCAGGAGTGAAAATGAATGTGCCTTTGTCAATGAAATTCAAAAAAACAATGGAATGGGATGGCATCATCACGTGTGTTTCACGTGTCATGGTATCTGAGGGTCAAAAAGAGTACAACGCCTTTGCAGCTTTCAATAGCTGCCCCGTCACAAACAAACCGACGCTAACTTCATATCAATCTTGTCAACCCCCCTATGCCGACGCGTGAGGAGACACGTTTGGCGACACGCCAACACGCTCCTTGGCAAGCAAGTCCACCAAGAGTGGACTGGGTCTGTTGTCTTTGCCTCCTTTGAGCGTGTCGTTCTGAGCCTTGTATTGCTGCACACTGTTCAGGTAGGCATCGAACAAGTAGCTGCTGTCGAGTGGGCCTCCCTTCGCCTCTGGGTGGAATTGGGTGCTGAAAATGGGTCGGCTCTTGTGGATCATGCCCTCGTTCGAGCCATCGTTGAGGTTGGAGAAGTACTCCTTGAACTCGTCGGGCAGAGTGGTAGGATCAACCGCGTATCCGTGGTTCTGCGAAGTGATGTGGCACTTGCCAGTCATCAAGTCCAGAGCGGGGATGTTGTGGGCACGGTTACCGTACTTCATCTTGATCGTCTTGGCACCTGCGGCAGTGGCAAGAAGCTGATGTCCGAGACAGATACCCATGATGGGGATGTTGCTGGTATCCATGAGCTTCTTCAGGTTGTCGCTCGTCTGGCGGCAGTGGGTTGGGTCACCAGGTCCGTTGGAGATGAAGACACCGTCAAAGTGGTGCGCAGTCTTGTGGATGGGGTAGTCCCATGGCAGGCAGGTCACGCTGGCACCGCGGCCCACAATAGAACGGATGATGTTCTCCTTGACGCCACAGTCGATGAGAGCAACGTGCGCATTGCCTTTGGGCGAAGGTACGTGGAATGGTGCCTTGGTGGAGACTTTGGCGACCAGGTTGATAGCCGACGGGTCGTCGTATGCCTCGTCCTCATCCGCGTCGTACTCCTCGCCCACAGAAATCTTGCCGAGCGAAGAACCTTGCTCTCGCAGGTACGTCACAATAGCACGGGTGTCGACGCCGGTGATGGCCGGGACACCTTCGCGAGCACACCAGTCCGAGAGACTCTCTACGGCGGTCCAGTGAGAGTACTTGAGTGCAGCATCTGCCACAACGATACCACACGCCTGAATGTTTGGGCTCTCGAAGTACTTGAGCAGTCCGTACTCGTCACGAGCATCGGATGGCACACCGTAGTTGCCAATGAGGGGTTGAGTGAAGACCAAAATCTGTCCACGGTAGGACGGATCAGTCATCGACTCGGGATATCCCACCAAAGATGTGGTGAACACAGCCTCTCCACTGATGCTTGTCTTGGCACCGAAGCTCTTTCCGTGGAAGATGGGGCCATCGCGGATGGTGAAGGTGGCTCGGTCAAAGGATGGCTTGGTCGAGCGCTTGAAGGCGTGTGGAGGGGCAGCACCAATGCGAGTCTCTGGTGCTACAGTGGCATTGTGCCGGGCGAATGCCTTGCTGAGGCTGGTCTTAGGCAGGCCAGCAGGCTTGAAGGATCGGGACAGGATAGCAGATGCCATGGCGGAGGTTGTTGGTGGTCTGAAGAGCGTGCGGGCTTCTTAACCACTGAAGGCTTTCCACAAGTGGTCACTGATGTAGTCTGCCATGTCTGTCAGCCTCTTGCATCCCGCGTCTCGCATCGCATAGCTGCATGTGCGAAGTGTCGATTGTGGTGTGTGTGTCATACCCTGAGAAGTGAATATGCTGGGCGCAAACATTCACGCGATCCGTTCAGCACACGAGGATGGTTGTGGGTGGGAGTCAGATGTTGATGGAGGCGGTGACGGTAAAAGGGAGAATTCAGTAGTGAGGTAGTGGTCAGCTTCCCACGAGTGAAATGGGCGGCAGGCGAGGTAGTTCCGTGAACGATGGAGCTTCTGTGGAGGGCGGTGGAGTGGGTGTCCAGGTAGCGAGAGAAGTTTTCGAAAGATAGTCTATGCAAACCCTGAGCCGACGTCGCCGAGCTTCCAGACGGGCCAATAGGACGACAGCAATAGGCTTGGATGAAAATTCGCACTTTTCTGGGAATGCTGATGACGCAGGGAAGCAGCACTTTGCTATGGACATGTGACAGTGCCCGTCTTTGCCCGCCGTCGTCAACAAAGACGATCTCACTCTGCTCCTAATCGACCTCACCTCACCTCACCTCATCGTCTCTTCGCCGCCGCCGCCTCCTCCCCATGTCCCCCCTCCTCCCCCTCCATGTCTGCTAGGTCTCGCCCAGAGAGACAGAGTACCTCCTAGCGCCTGAGCTGTACCGCATGCACGGCAGCACGCCATTACTGCTAGTAGGTAATGCACTCTACCTCCTAGATCTCCGACTCCGGGGATTCTGTCTGTGCCATCAACCTTCTTTCGCACTAGAGAGCTGTGGTCGGGCGATTTCATGTTCCAATCGCCCGCCGTATCTATCAGATACATGTATGTTGCAGTCCGCGATTGAATCTTGCTCACAAAGAGGCAATTTGTGACAGTAGAGGATAGATCGCAGACATAGTCCTACTCACTGCTGTCCTACAAACGGCCTCGCACCTCCTCCGTTGAATAACATGCGCAGGCACAAGGAGCCAGCATCCTGAAAATACCGACTCTTGGGGACATGGCCAAGTGGGATAAATCACCGAGGAAACCACGATTTCCAACAAAAAGAAACGTCGAATTTGAGAGCAACACAATTCACGATATGGAGCAGACGCCTACAAGAAGCCCCCAAGAACAGCCTAAGCTAGAAATACGAAGCCCTCGAGGATGATTATGTGGTCGAGGAGTTAGGTGAATGGACGAAGGTAGCTGACGAGCGGTATAGATTTTCGAGTCGTGCGAGGTCGCGACCTCGAAAGAGTGTATCTCCTCGAGGAAGCTCGCCCTCCTAAGACCTGTAGGTATATATAAGGCTCCTGGCCTGCCCCGATTCTCCTTTGCTTCTCTTTCGCTTCTCTTTTCGCACCTTTCCCACCTTTCGCACAGACCAGCGCTGCTGAACGACCTTATGAAACCTGCATGCTTCATTGTCATCCTACAGCCATGCATCGCCCTCCGCAGGATTTCAGGCAACAATGCAAGCAGCTACCACTGCGATCCAATTGCGACGCGACTCCTCCATCTGCAAATCCCACCAGGTCGTGGAGTGGCTTACGTATTGTAATAGAGCATCTACATGTCGCCACATCTGTTTGCCCGCAAGGCTGGACTGCAACGTCACATTGAGACTCATGCCAACGGCTAGTATCCATGTATTGTCGCTGGATGTGATCAGGCTGATATCAAGCTCTTCAAGCACGAGGAGAATTGACGTAATTACCTGAAGAAGCTCTTTTGAACTCGATCAAACTATTTTCGAGATGATACTTGATAGAGGTGGAGTAGAATGGTGTGTGGTGAAGTTCTGGAGAAGTTCTGAGGATGGAAATCGCAAATTTTCACCATGTCGATGGTATATGATTTCCTTTTGTTTCCTGAGACGTGATATATGTAGCTTTGCAATTGGAATCCCGATGAGGTTCAATTCGTTGTCGTCGATGTCCACATCTAATCATCATTCTCGGGGGAGTGTGCGGCAAGTTCGGGATCGGTACGGGACGACTATGCGTGAAGTGAATGTTTCTCCACAACTTTCATTTGGTTACACTTCCAATGGAGTTTGTACACCTCCCACCACCTCTTCGGCGCTCCCTCCTGAGCAACTCCGCCATCAAGCAGAATCTCATTCGCCATGTCTCCACTACAACAGCAACAGCGACCCCATCTACATCAGTCAGCGCCGATTCAGCTGGCCCACTCCTCCTCAAACTATCCCCCTCGACTCTGAATGACTACACCGTTTCCCTGCCCCCCTCACCCTCATCCGACCTCCCCAAAGCGCGCTCGTTCTTCACCAAACACCAACCCCCACTCCTCTTTACCGCCGCTCATTTCCGCCAACTCCCCCCATCGCCCTACCCCGAAGTCGCCTTCCTCGGCCGTTCCAACGTAGGAAAGTCCAGCTTCCTTAACGCCATCTTCGGGCGTCCTCGCAGCGACATCGCCCGCGTATCTCGCAAACCAGGTAAAACCCGTACCATCAATGGGTTCGGCGTGGGAGGCGAAGGACTCGTGGGAGAACAAGCGAAAAAGCCGGCGAGGGATGGGACAGGGCAGGAAATTAGCACCAAAGGCGAAATCTGGAAAAGATGGGGAAGAGGTGGGTTAGTGGTGGTTGATATGCCCGGTTATGGATCTGGGTCGAGAGAGGAGTGGGGAGGGGAGATCATGAAGTATTTGGAAGGGAGGAAACAGTTGAGAAGGACTTATGTTCTGGTTGATACGCAGCATGGGCTGAAGAGGACAGATGTGCAGTTGTTGGTGCATTTGAGGAAGCAGGGTATTCCGCATCAGGTGGTTTTGTCCAAAGTGGATAAATTGTTGTTTCCCGATGCCAAGTTTCCCAGTGCGTTGAAGATACATAATGGGTTGGTCAAGTTGAAGGGGATTCGAAAGGAGGTTAGAGAGAAATTGGACAAGGCGTGTGCGGAGGTGGGTGTAAGGGGGAAGATGGGAGATTTGATGTGCTGTAGCTCGGAGAAGAGTTTGGATGTCAGTAGCAAGACGAAGAGAATTGGGGTGGATGAGTTGAGATGGTCAGTGTTGACGGCTTGTGGGCTAGAGAACTCTATGAATTTGAGACGAGCGTCGCAGGTGAAGCTGTTAGGAGAGGAAGATGAGCCAGAGGAAGATGAGCCAGAAGAACGGACACAGTATGCTCCGATATGAGGCTCGGATGGCCTACAGCATTAGAGCTTTTTATGTTATATGAGAGCTGGAAGCACGAGTGGTGACCTTCTACTCACTTCAAACCTCCTCCCCCCACCCATCACCTATCAAAGCCAGCTCGAGACGAACCAATCAATCGAACCCTTACGTGCACCAGAATTGCAACCAGCAAAGACACATATACTGGTTCTGCTATGGTTGGAACTTAAGCCTTCCAACCCTCCTTGTGATCGCCACAAGCGGAACGCTAAGGCTGAAAAGACGAGTGAGCCGGGCTGGTCGACGCCATTATCTGTCTTCTCATCAAGCCTGGGATAAGCTGGAACCCCTGCTACACCGATTAATGGATTGGTGGAACCAATTTTGATAGCGGGTGGTTTATTTCCATACCAACATCCGAGGCGTGCTGCATGCTGAATCTGAGAGTATGGAGGTTGTACATAAACTTAACGATACGACGGACGGTGCCACGAGTTTGGAGTCAAGATGAAGCTTGGGTTGATCCAAGGGCATGGCCTCACTACTCCTTTTAAATTGGTTGGTATTACAAGTTTGAAGTGACCCTCTACACGTCCTTTCAGCGCTACAATCGGTCTTTCTGACTCGACCAAGTTGGCCAGACTAAATACAAAAACAATCGTCTAATTCTCACAGATTTATTGAATTTGTGGCAAAGTCATTCTCCCCGCGTGCTGCTATCGAAGACTACATACACAAGCAATCCGATGTGATATCATCATTCCAAGCCGCACCTATAGCAAGACGGCAGCAGGATGGATACGGCATGAGGTTGGAACGACAACGAATTACGCACGATCTGGAGGACGGATGAATGATATGACTTGAGCCTGGGAGACTTTCGCTTCGACCAAAGAGTTTCCTTTCCTCACATGTCATTGAGGACAAAGTACCATATTCTCGGTGCAATTGACTCTTCATTCAGATTCAAGCGCCAATCTCCAAACGGAGCTCCGCGATGTGAATTTTTTATCCGCCGCCCAAGAAGACAATGAGACTTCACTCTCGACCTGAGCGCCTCTTTTAATTCATCAATTCCACATATACGACCATCTCATCGACGAACATCAATCCAAAGCCTGCCCTTCCAGCTTCCACCCTCCCACTCCCGTTCGGAATCCATGCTTGGTAGCAAACGTCTCGACCGCATCCCAACTCCGACATTTATGCTCCACTCCCCATCCATCCACGGCCAGTTCAATTTTCCCCTGTTCGTCAATTCGAGCTTTCTCCAACGACATGTCCGCCGAACACATGACGGCTTGTCGAAGATAGTCGAAGCAGTGATTGAGATGTTTGCCTTCTTTGGAAGTGAGATTGACTGGAGTCGAAGAGGAGAAGGATTGTTTCAACATGATCTACAAACATCAGTTAATAAACAACAGACGTCAGTGAGTGCGAAAAAAAAAACAAGATACCAGTAGTGAAGGCAAGGTTAACATATAACGTGAAGGTAATGTAAGGTAGGTAACGTAGAAAACTCACCAAACAATGAATCTGATGCATCACCGACAAACAATACGCCTCAGCCTCCTCTCCCGGCTGCCTCTCAACCCTCTTCCCCCTCTCATCCAAAACCACACTCCCACGCAGCGGATACCCGCCTCGCAATCCAAATTGTGCCGGATGCGAAACTTGCACAAATCCAATATCGTGGCCTAATAATGCATCCCAATGTTGCATCCAATTCTCGTCTGTGACGTACTGATCTTGTTGATTCCAGATTTTGATCGTGTTGAAAGGGAGATTGGGGAGGAAATCTTTTTTTCGAAGAGGTGAGAGGGGAGAAGAAGAATGATAATAAATCATGGAGAGAAGGAGGAGAAATGCGAGGGTTCCGAAAAAGGTTCCACAGGCGACGAGGATGAGATCGCGGAGGTCGAAATTCTTGCCGCGACGTTGTTGTTGTTGGTGGTGGTGGGCTTTATCGGTATAGATATTGCTGTTGTTGCTGTAGTGGTTCCATCCTCGATACCAGGACTTACTTTGTGATGAACCCATGATTTTACATCTATTCGCTCGATTCGTTCCGTTTCGTTTCGTCCGTCCGTTCAATAGACGATGAATCAAGTTCATCAACAAAAATCGAACATGAAAATACCTATAACCACCCCCAAAAAAGATAAGAGTAAAGCAAACTTCACAATCGTGTTACACTCATTAAAAAAAGGTGTATCTCGGCGAAAGCGTAAGAGTGAGTATGTAGGTATCTATGGAAGAAGAAACCAACCAACAAACAAATAAACAAAAAAAAAGAGCCGAACGGATTCACTCCCACCCCCAAAAGAAGAAAGAGCAAGAATCAGGTACAAAGAAAATCAGATATGCTCGATCCATGTCTCAATAGGAGTTGCCATTATCGTAATAGGGGGCTGTAATAGTGCTGTTACAAGGACGAATTTGAAGGTCGAAATGTACGTACCTCGATGTATATATATATACCAAGCTTCATGGACAGCACATGCCGCCATCCAATATCAGATTCGAACTGGAGTGCAGTCGGGAAGATAGACTCACCGAGCAGTAGTCGACTGAGAGAGAGACACTTGCATACATCAACCATGTTTGAATTCTAGTCCATGCTAGATATGCAAAATGCTAAGAAAGCATAGCAAGAGAGGATCATCTCTTCCCATTCCCACGTGCATGATGTGAGAGGTCCCCATCCAAGACCCCATCCATCCGATATTACGCACCTATTCCGTGTTCATGTCTGTCTTAACAAACCGTACCACCACTCCAGAGATACAGGGCAGCGCACATGCTGCCATCATGTTGCAAACAAACCAACGCCGCCACCTGATGCTGGTAGTGCGATATTCAAAACAACACCACTTCTGACTCGCTCGCTTGCTGGCTCAAACAACACAATACACTGAAATGCACACTCAACAGCCGGATCCGGCCACGATAGAGCCCTCCGACGCCCACGATATCATCGAAATGCTCCTGTCCGGTCACGCATTATAAGATGATGGTTGACTGTCGGTTTTGCTGCCGGGTACAACATCGCCATTGCTGATTTCGAGACATCGTCGCGCGAGTGCCACCACTTCGCCCTCGCCATCTTCGCTACCTTCACCTTCGTCTTCAGATTCGACTTGCTTTTCACTAATCTCGCGAACCATGCTCATGACATCCTCCGATTTCGCAATCACGTCGGTCAGCTTTTGATCACCAGATTCCAGTAGTTGGAGCAGGGTCCAAATAGCAATGTGCTGGAAGGTGGGGTCGCCGGACGCCAGGAATCGGTTCAGGTAGCCGTGAATGCCACCCTGCGGCTCTTTCCACGAGGAGAGGAATAAAGAGTAGTCACCCACTACATCATGTCAGTGTACATCTCATCGAGCAAAGAATGTCAGAACCCACCTTTGCTGCTCAGGTTGCCTAAAGCGGCTGCGCTGTTCCCTTGAACCTCGATACTCTCGCTCTCTGTCAGCGGAATGAGCACGTCAAACACCCCAAGATCCAAGAGCTGCGGCTTCAAATCATCGGAAAGTGCCAGCACGGCAATCGCAGCAGTCATCTCAGATTGCACGCTCAAGGGTACCTCCAGGACCAGCTCTTTGCATTTCTGCACAGCGCCAGCCTGTAGTACGAGTTGCTTGTTACGATCCGAAGAGGCTGCCAGATTCCGTAATGTGGAGATGGCATGGCATTGAATCTCTTCGTTGTCAGTGGAGCCAAGTAGGTCGACCAGTGGCTTCAGGAAGCCGGCGTCGATGATGGGCGATTCATTCATGGGGTGAATGCTGATGTTTCGTATGCATGCCACTGCTGATAGAATCAAGGGTAGATAACTGCTTTGTAGCAATCCAAGTAATGGTGGTAGTCCCCCGGCTCGTACGATCTCCAATTGATACTTTTCATCACTGGCCAGATTCCTGAGAGCAAGCGCTGCCTGACACTGTACTTTTGGCGCCTGACCTTTCATCAGATGCACCAAGCTCTGCACCAGTTTCGTCTCAGTCTGCGCAAGTCGTTTGCGGTTGGTGCTGTCCACGGCGATGTTGCTGAGCGCTGTGGTGCAGTAGTACTGGACATCGGTATCCGTGCTGCTCAGCAAGCTGACGAGGACGGGGATCGCACCTGCCGAAACCAGCTGTTGTCGATTGTCGTCGGAATGGGTCATGTTGAGCAGAGCGCCTGTCGCATTGCGTTGCACGCGCATGTCTTTGCTCTTTGCCAGCCGTGTGAGGGGTGCGAGGGCACCAGACCGCGCTATGCGCGCCTTGTTCTCCTCATGTGTAGCCAGGTTTGTTATGCAGCCGACTGCATTGCATTGCACTTCCACATTGGGACTGTTCATCTGTCGTATCAGTGGGGTCAGGCCACCTAGCGAGACGATCAACGTCTTGTTCTGGCCTGGTAGCTGGAGTCAGCATCGCTCGTGTGTTCTGCTCTTGCGATATGGTGGGTGGGACGGAGCGCACCATCTACAGCCAAGTTACCCAGTGCAGCCGAGGCGGCGCGTTGCACCTCGATGTCAGGGCTTTCGAGGAGGAAGAGAATGGGCTCGAGAGTCGATCTGTCCACGGGCCGCACATCTGCAGGAGTATATCAAGTCAGCGCATTATCCTCTTCTCCTCCGTCCGTCCGTCCGCCCGCCCTCTCTCCATTGTGACATGCCTCTTTCAGTGATTTCGGCAAACGTCAAACTGGCACTCCGCTGCAGGTCGATGTTTTGGCTGTAGACGAGGGTGGAGAGGGCTTTGAGAGGTTCGCCCGTGAAGAAATCGGTCTCAGCTCTCTGTTCACGTTGTCTATTAGCACGCGCATACCAAGTGCAGCAGGACAGCACGAGGCATGGGAGAGGGATCTCGTACGTTCTCGAGGTAGCTGAGCAGGTCGGCGACTGCATCTCGTTCCGAGTCGGCGAGAACGTTGTCGTAGTCGACTTTCGATCGGCCTAGATGGTGCGCGCTTAGATCAGTCGTTGCCGTGGAGCAGCAGGCGGCGGCGGCGGTGGTGGTGGTGGTGGTGGTCACGGGGGAGGGCAGAGCACGTACCGCCGCAACACGAGAAGATCTTGCGACACATATCGGCCATGCTGCATCAGCTCCAGCGGCCGCAGCTGGCCGAGATGGAGAATAGCAGGCTCTGGCTGGATAGCTGAAGAGCTGGTTCGGGGGTGAGCGTGGTGTGGTCTGGGTGTGGTCTGGTTGAGCAGAGCTGAGCTATGGCAGCAGGTCCACGCCAGTGCTGTTCGTCATGTGAAAGGGCCGGCCGGTCGGACGGTCGGGGCGAGGCGAGTCGAGGCGAGGCGAGTGGAATGGATGGGCTGCTATTGGTGGTGGTGGTGGTGAGAATGGCCAACGGCGTCGGTGGTTGTCGTCTGTCTGTAGAACTACAGTACGGTATGCAAGGCTGCGTGAGTAGTACGGGTAAGGGATGTGGGATGCACTGAGTCGCTTCCGTTCTCTGACAATGCTTAGTAGCACATGTCCACGGGGTGCCTTACTCGACAGCAGCAGCAGCAGCAGCAGCAACGTGCAAGTGCGCAACACGTCGGCGTCGGAAGTGGCCCGCCATCGAGCATCCAGCAAGCAACAAGCAACAACCTTAGCGACAAGCAAGCAGGCCAGCAAGCGAGTGCGAGTGCGAGTGGAAACTGTCAGTGCACGCGCCACCTGTTTCCTGATGCGTCCAATACCCATTCTCCATGGAGTAGGTATGGTATGTTACCTACTATGTATGTACTTGCACGTTGATACCAATATCAACAGAGGTACATGTATGTAAGTTGTCGCCGCCGACGGCACGCCTCTCCATCATGATGGCCGTGCCCGCCCTTCCACGTTCGCGCAGCATCTTCCATGGTACTACGTGCTCGAATTTGCACCTCGTCTCTCTGCAACAAATACCTCAATCCTCCTGACAGCATGCGTGCTGTGTGCTCCACTGCGTGATTTCCTGCCAACTGCTTCTCTAAATGATGCAGCCACGAGCCGGCTCACAGAGTAAGGTAGCGGTAATGTAGCTTCTCCGCCGTCTGCACGGGGGATCTGCGCAGCGGACGTGAGACCGACTAAGAGCTCTCCCTCTTCCAGTTTCCTTCTCGTCATCATCATCGGCCTCTGGTCAGGCTCAAGTCCTGTCAATCCGAAGAAGCAGATGTGCGCGCCATTTTCTGCCACCTCGAACCGCGTGCATATTGAACATGCTGTGTGACTACGCTGTGCAGAAGAATCCCACGACATGGACTTGGCTCGCGGCGTCCCCACGCACGTCACTCACCTCATACCACGTCCTGTTTGCGACCTACGGCATCGCAAGGCCATTTGCGCCCTTGGCCGCAGATGGAGCTAAAATAGAGCCCGATGGAGGCTGGTGAGAGCTCGAGCTCAAAGTTGCAGCAGCATCTCGTTACCCACCTCACGCATCACTCACTCAGATAGCCCCTAGCATGTGACAGTTGCCGAGAGGACCGACAGTTGTGAGACGTGTCGGTGGAGACACTACTACATTACTACTACTCGGTCACCGCTGTCAATCATAAAACAGCACCCATCATTCCTGGTGCCCCAGCACAGCTCCAGGCACGCATAGAACTTGATAGAAGTACCTCCGGTAGTTGTGCTATCCCGTCACCACGACCAAGCATTACGGTACACCGAAAATGAGACTCTGTTTCGCCGGCTCTTTCCCCAAAGTTTACACACATATGGAGCATGATGCGAAATGATGGCACAGCCGGCCACCGTGGCACGACGTCGTAGGCCTGCCCGGCTGGCATCGTGAATTGCGAGCAGACCAGGCGTGGTGTGCCGCGGGCAGGTGGAAGACGGGCAATCGACGTCTCCCTACCCCCCGCTGCAGAAGGCGGAGACTAGCTGATCGCTGTGTGCGTGCGCACTGAGGCCAAGGTGTGCTGTGCTGTGCTGTGCTGTGCTGTGCTGCGCTGTGCTGTGCTATGAGGTGTTTTTTTTTTCAACTCTGCGGTTCCTTGACCATCGCAAGAGCAGGAAGTCCGGGCGGTTCAGGAACTTCAGGGACAAGGCAGGTGACGTTTGGATTAGTGCAGTTCGGGACGACATTCCTCAGGGATAGACGGTCCATCTTGGAGCTACAGGGACGAGCCAGGCGTTTCCAGCGAATGGCGAGCTGCAGTGAACAGGTTACCTTTATGGAAGCTTTGTGGAGAAACAGTCAGATCGACGAAAGTCTAGAATAATGCCGGTCTTTGTTGAAGTCACACTTGGTCTCAGGAGGCAGTGCATTTCTTGACTACACTTGGCTCGAGCCTTGGCGGCCATCAAACCATACTACCTCTGATCGTTCCACCATGAGGATGCACCGATCTGCTCTCGTGTGCCACTGCCGCCCCTCCTTGAGTCGAGGCTGCCTGCTGCACCATCAAACCATCGTCGTCCGCCCGCCGAGCGGTATTTTGAAACCACTGTAGCATCCATCCATACATACATACCTGGTCCTGCTGCTGCTATTCCTCCATCGCCACCTCGCCCGTCTTCTGCCGCAGCATCACCACCGCCATCACCATAGGTTTACATTCACCCTCGTCCATCGGTACGGTACCAGATCCGGATATCGTGTCCGGTCGCACCTTCTTCACGGTTGTCGATGTTGCTTGAGGCCCACTGCGCCGCCCTTCCACCTCCGAATCAATAACAATTGCGGAAAGGCCGCCTTATATGGCCGCGTACGACATCAAGAAGCACTTCAGCGGCCTCCGAGTACAAACCGCACGTCGCAGAGGCCATAACCCCTTTGCGACTGGCTTCGAAGATGATAGCGACGACGACGACTTCCGGAAGAGCAGACCCAAGACCAAGGCACCGCCGGTGTCCAAGTCTGTCCCGGTAACTCCCTTCGTTCCTCCCACGAAAGCATCGCCCTTTGCACGTGCACGCTCCCTGTCGAAAGCCGCCACCGCCGACGACGACGACGACGACAACTTCCTGCTGGAGGTGCAGGCCTCAAAGAAAGCAGACCGCCGTCCGTCACCGGCGCCCGCAGTGTTGTCAATCGCTGCTCAGCGTGTGATTGACGAAGCTGCACGTCCGCGACGCGGCTCTCTACCCGGAGTGTTGTCGGATCAGAAAAAGGCTGCAGTACTCGCTGCTGGTCCACTGGCATATCTCGACGACAGCAGCGACGACGACGACTGGAACAGCGGTTCACGGCCCGGCAGACGTACCGCGCGCAACCGCAGTCCCTTGCCACGAGCAACATCTGCCTCGAACCTCCGCTCCAGCACCCCTAGTGGAGCTCGACTTGCAGTCTCGCAGCTACCGCCCGACAAGGCAGCGACCGCAACAGCCATTCCACTGCACACCGTTGCTTCCCCATTCGCTGGCACTGTGAGTCGTGCCACCCCTCACGTGATATGGAGAACCCTGTACTAATCCGAACCCTCCCCAGAAATACCTGCAAGACAGCGACTCCGATTCCGACGAAGAAGCTGTTGCATCCCGAAAAGGCAGCGCCGAAGATATTGCTGCGATCGCGCCTGACAACAAGAAGCATCACGAGGTGCCGCGGGTGGACAAGGGCAAGCTGCAAAATGGGGGCGGTGTATCCTGGCGAGCCTTCTCAGCTGGCAGAGCAGAGCAGCGCAACGCCGAGCTCGACGCTCTCGCATCGAGTCTCAGAAGGCGAGGAAGGAGCATACAGTTCTGTCCCGTTGTCAGGACCGATGATGGACGACAGATCTCCCTCGCACCCACACTCGAGCGCAATGGACCAACACTTGGCGGCAAAAGATTTGGGCAAAACAGAGCCAAGTCGCCCCCAAGACGTGCCGCGGACACAAAGCCCATCCTCGAGGAAGACGAGTTGGCTGATCGGGAGTTTGGAGGACCAGTCGGACGACTTGAGGATGCAGGATCGAAGACGGACCCCTTCAGTGGTGAGTGGACCGCGTAAAAAGGTAGAGCGAAGGTCATACCAACATGTGATATGTAGGAGAACTTATTCGACGGACGACGAGCAATGGCGACTTCAAGCGACCCGACTTCGCAAGCCAATGCCTCCCTGATATCCGCATCGACGACATCTCCAAGCTATGACGTGGGCACACAGTCGCCGCTCACCTCGCCCAACAGCAGCAGTAGAATGCTCTCCTCCATCGACTCCATGTCGAAATTGACAGTCTCACCTCAGACCATTCCCGAAGGCAAAACAATAGATCACGCCATGCTGGACTCGCCGACCATGTCGCCGTCTGCTAGTGACTACGACCCCTTGAGCCGGAACTCTAGCCTGCGTTCCATTCGGTCACGCCGCATACCAACAACATCGAGGCGTCCATCGCGGCGCTCTACTTCTGCCACCACCTCGCTGAGCCCAGCGCACGCGTTCCTCGCGAATTGGGGCAAGGGTGATGCTGAAGAGATGCCACCAGAGCCGAAGCCCGATGACGAAGGACAGGCCATCGGACTCAACTGCGAATATATCATCGGTCGCCTGATCAGTCGAGGTGGCTTTGGCGTCGTGAAGGAAGTGCACTCGTTAGACGATCATGGAAATCGCATAGTGAAGGCGGTCAAGGTTGTGTATAAAGCAATCAGCGGCGCGACCGAAGCGGAGAACGACAAAGCCCAGCAGGACATAGAGCATGAGGTGTCGATCTGGCGCTATTTGAACCACCGCCACGTCTTGCCACTGCATGCGGTGTACGAGACGGATTATGCCACTTTCTGTATCATGGACCTCAACGTCGGTGGTACCTTGTATGATCTGGTAAGAAAGTCTCGGCTCAGTGCGAAGACCAGTAACGCGGGCCGCAAGGGTTTGTCGCCTCATCTTGCTAAGAGCTATGCATACCAACTCGCGTGCGCCTTGCGTTATTTACACGAAGATATTCGTGTCTGTCATCGAGATGTGAAACTGGAGAATTGCCTCATCGACATGTCAGCACCGGAATCCGATGCCGAAGGTGGCAACCTGCGACTGTGCGACTTTGGACTGGCGGATTTCCTGCACAGCGAGAGCATCGACGAAGGAAGTGGAACGCCGCAGCGGATTTCTTCGCAACGCTCCCTATCGAACGAAATGCCCTTGCCGTTAGCCTCGTCCATCATTGGCACACTGGAATATGCCTCGCCGAAGGGCTTGTCCGTGAATCGAAAACTGTTCGAGACCGCTGGAGACGTATGGGCTTTCGGCGTCATCATCTATGCACTGTGCACCGGACATCTCCCTTTTCGGCATACTCTGCCCAGCAAGACTGTGGAGCTCATTCTGAGGGCAGACTGGGATGAGGACGCTCTGAGACATGCTGCTGCCGGAGGAGCAGAAGTGATTGATCTTGTTAGAGGCTGTCTGGAGAAAGACATTGATCTGAGATTCACCATTAGCGAAGCATTACGAAGTCCTTGGTTTGATGAGTGCCGCGAGGGAGCCGAAGACGAGGCGACGTCGCCGTGGCGATGATTCGACCTGCTACCTGTGCGATGCGAGCTGTCTGACATGATTCAGATGACCTCTTGTGTTGCACATATTTTTTTGACGACACTTATGACTAGCGAGAAAAGGGAAAACATGAAATGGAAGACGGCACAATGCCGTTATGGAGCTATGGTGGTGTTGGAGCACGCTGCTATCGACTACTGTTCGCATTCTGCACTGCATGGATGGAAGCATTGTACCGCATTTGACAGCGACAGACAGTCGAGGCGTGGACAGACCACGTATATGAAATAGGATACCCCCCCAAAGCAGTGGTTGGATCACTCTTCTCAATTCTAAACTCAATCATATGATACCTACCGGACCCTTTTCAAATCTCTTCTCTGCTGATCTCTCTTCTTGGATTGACTGACTGGTTGCTTTGAGAGTCTATATGACCTTTTTCCGCAAAAACACAACCAGATGGTTTGGTTCAGATGTCGGATGCCGGACCAAGTCTTTTTCTTTTTCTTTCTTTCTTTTTGGTCAAATTTCCTTTTTTTTTGTTGGTTACCTCCTAAATTGATACATCCGGTAGTGTCAAGTTCAAGTTCAAGTCATACTTAGATACCTTGGATCCCTTAGATAGGTAGATAGGTAGATAAGACGGACTTCTCGGGCGGACACTTTTTTTCCTAATGGTTTACTTTTATATATATATTCGATTTACCTCTTTTTTTGTTTTTTGGTAGGTTGAAAGTGTAGATAGATAGACAGATCCAGAGGTGGGCGGAGCTGAGAGTGCGTTAGGGTTGTTGTCTACAGGTTAGGTAGGTATCTTTGTGTGTATGGATGTGTATGGATGGATGGGTGGGTGGGTATCTAGTTGTACCGACTTTACATTTACATTTACATTTACATTACCTGTACTCTCCTCTTCTTTTTCTTCTTTCTTATTCTACTTGTTCCTCTTCTTCTCTAGTCTATTCTTTTAGGTACCATCTTCAAGGAAAGTCCTCTTATAATCTCGCAAAGAAAAATTTCCGGAAAAGCGACAAAATTTCCTGAGGTGTGGTCTTGGGAGTGTTACATTACCTACCTAGTGAGTTCCATTTTGTATTCCCGGTCGTAAATACAGGTACCTTGGTGGTCACAAAGAGGAGGAGGATGAGGAGGGAAAGAAAAAAAAATCGGAGGAGTTTCAATTTACTGACATGTTGATAGATAGGGATTTGGTCTCTACTACATCATCGTCACACAAGAATGGCTCCGTATCCTCCTCCTCCTCCTCCTCCTCCTCCAGAGGAGCAGTTCCAAAGCACGCAGGAAGGAAGGCATCATATTATCCTGGATGAGGATAATGATAAGATGCAAGCCGATGGCCCAAAGCCGACACGAACACCGGCACCTACCAGCAACGACGCCCTAGTCGCCGCTAAAGAAGCAGTCGGTGCTCCTGTGAGCGGTGTCCTGAAAAATGTTCATAGCGCAGCAGCTCACGCCGGACAAGATTTGTTCAAAACTGCAGCAACTCTGAAGGTCGCGTTCGTCAAGGCTTACGAGGTTGTGAAGGGAAAGCTCAATTCCACTGCTGCCAGTATCCGGAAGCCTTTTGCGGTGGGAAAGATCGATGATGATTTGACTGTAAAGCTCCAAGAGGGAGCTCCGGCGTCTCCGGATGGGACGGATTCAAAGTTTTCCAAGGAGAGCAGGCTACCAGAGTCTTGCGATGGTTGTGCTTGGAAGCGTGGTGGTGTGGACAATTTTGATCCTGGCGCTGTCGCTATCGCGGCCGAACAGCCTGAAGTTATCAAACTCGTGGCTGGAAACCCTGCGATGTTGGAGGTTTTGAAGACGCATCCTGGGATTGTTAAGGCCGCGTCTGAGCATCCCGAGGTGTTGGAGGAGTTCATGAAGCATCACGACGTGGTCAACAGGATTCTAGAAACCCCAGATGTGTCGGAGCTCTTAATGAAATCCCCATCCGCTATTCATGGTGCCGCTCCAGCTTCGATTGAAGCCCAAGACGAGGACCATCAATTGAGCAAGAGAGACGTCGAGTTCGCGACTGGGCTTGCGGCGGAGCAAGAGATGTTGACGAGGCCCACCGTCTTGTCCGTGGCCCCATTTCATGGCTTTAGAGGCAATGTGCAGCTGGTCCCGAGAACCATCATTTCCGACCCAACGGACAATAAGTGCTATACTTTGTTTGTCGTCGGCGGTTTGGCGATTGCGATTACCATCCTCGGAATCGCCAGCATTGTCAATTCATGTAAATTCTGGAAGAACAGGGTGCAGCGTGCCAGTGGTGCCAGCGTTGAGCCATACGGACAAGAAAAGACCAAGGAAGAGACTTGGTAAGGGGAGATCAGTTGGATGAATAGATTCTGGTCGTGAAAGATCGCAGACATGCACCTTGTGCGAGCTCGTACAATTGACTCACTCAGGCACAGGGCCCGCGCGCTTAGTGCCACGAGGTCCCCATTTAGCGACATTTAGTAAACGCACGGATTAGCAATTGGAGGCGGATGATCCAGTTGTAGAGCTGATCTTTGGGATAGTAGATCGATGTATCGCACACGTTAGTCATGCAAGTCTCGTTCCAATATCACATCGGGCTTGTCGATGCGATAGAGCGTTTTTGCCGTGTTGAAATAGGCCTCGTACTCGATCTCCTCGGCAACACCCTCCCCCGGCGGGAGGTCGTAATGATAGTGGCCTCCACGATCCCCCTCTGTGGAAAAGCAGTGCGTATGCTCCATTCGAAGATCGAGCTTCTTGCCCGGATCTGCAGAGTGGAATACGGTCAAGCAGACAATCGGGGCCTCAAATGTGTGGTACGTTAACCACTCGTTCAACTGCTTTGCATCCTTGAAGGGAGGTCCGTTCTTCGCGGGAAAGTCTGGCATGACATGGAAGTACGCATGGCCTTGCTTGATGAGAAACATGCCTCCCATACTGATCGGCTGTGCGTCCCCGTACGTCTCGGCCAAGGTGCGTCGAATGCACTCCGTGAAGCTCTTGTGTTCGCCTTTTCGGGCTCGGGCGGTGATCTTGAGTACATCCCCCGGGAGTCCAGAGGATCCGAAGAGGTTCATCATGAAGGCACAGTCCGATGTGGGACTGCGCTCACAACTGGCAGCGTGCTTGCCATTGGTCCCATCATACTTGGTGTAGTAGGTCAGATTCTTGACGTTCTCAAAGCTGCCTTCCCAGCTGAGGTTGGGCGATAGCTCAGAGTTGACTCCAATACGGTGGAATGGTCCGGCGCCTGCACCCAGCAGCTGTCCTTGGTGTGGACTCATATCCATTGCCTTTGCAATGTCGAGGAGAGAGTATTTGCAGTCCAAGCGAGGCTCGGGAAACAAGTTGGGCTGGCCGCCGATATCTGCGACAGTCTCGCCACCACATAGTCCTTCGGTGGCGAGATGGTACGGAGGCTTTCGCAGATCTGGACATGGCTCGACCTGGACGTGGGCATGCTCGAAATTGGCCTGCAAAGCTGGTGTGAGGACATCTGCCAGCTCGGCCAGGGATGGCGGTGACAGGTGGTGCTTGGTAATGTTCATGGTTGAAGCGCTTATATGCTTGGCGGATGATGGTGATGAATGAAGCCAGATCGAAACCAGATCTGGTGGTGATGGATGCTGTTGCCTGTTGCCTGTTGCTAGCTCACGAATTAATTGGATAATGGATATCGGAGATTCGCCGACTAGTGCAGCAAGCCGCACCACCAGTCTAGGAGGTGAAGTGGTTGAGCTCGCGGTACGGAGGTACCTCCTAAGCGCGCAGTGAAACGTGCTCGCTAACTGAATTACCTCTACCTCCACCTCCAACCTCTCAACTCTGGTGAATTTGTGCAATGCAGTTGATGCATCGTTGGCCTATGGAATGCGAGTCTCATGATGAGAATGCCAAGTCATACTACATCACAGACATGGTGTAGGAGCTAGGAGCTACCTCCCACGACGACTGGACACAGATCCTCGGATTTATCACCACGCGCTCTCCTCGCTCCTTGTACTGTCATCCGAGAGCAATGGCTCGACGCGCTCAGTCGGCGCCTACAACCCACCGTATGTATATATTATCACGACCCCGTACTTCTACGTTGACACGCAATCGAGTTACCACAACAGACCCCTCGAAGACCACAGCAGACCTCGTCGGCCTGGGTCACCTTCCATCTCCCAGGAGCGACGTCTTCAACGAAAGCACGAAGAGGAAATGGCCACAAGATCTCCATGATCTCCCGCCTTGTGAGCCGGTATCAAAGAAGGCGTGCCTGTTATCGAGCACGATACGAACTCCGTACTACGAGTTCGAAAATAGCAACAGCGAGTTCGGTGCGGATATCTGTTGGGGTGACTACTTTGGTCAGTGGCCACCGATGGAGGCACCCAGAGGCCGTTCTAGTCTATTGGGCAAGAAGCGACCGTTTCCACAGTTAAGGTCGAACAGCTATAGTCAGAGTGTAAGAGACGGGGAATCTCCACAAGCCTGGACACGGCAGCACGATGAGGAGATGGAAGAAGCTGGACTGGTTATGGACGAATATCAGACTCAGTCCGCCATTACTAGCGCCTGCCAGCGTCTCTGCGACGACCTGAAGGAGAGAGACTATTCTCCTCCTCGCGGTCCTTCATTCGGGAGAGACCGGCTTCTGAAGATGCGCAACTTAGTCCGGTTCCGAAATAAGGCTCGAGTGGTCAGAGACATTACGCCCCTTATCGTACCTTCTCCGGAATTGCTTAGTATTGACGGCTATCCTGGTATGGATCAGATGAGCGAGGCAATAAATGCCGAGTGGACACAGTGTGACACGATTTATGGTCCGCGGCCGAAGCCCGACTTCGCTATTGGCATATCGTCCTCCGCCTTTACCAGAGATGAGGAGGAGAAGCTTATGTTAAGCCATACGAGCGCTTGCCCGAATCTCTGGCCCGAGAACATGTATTACCCATTCCTAATATGCGAAGTCAGAGATAGCGACGGGCTAATACAAGAAGCGGAGCGACAGTGTATGCACAGCGCTAGCATCGCCGTTCGAGCCGTCGTCCAGCTATACCAAAATATCTCTGCTGCCAATGAGGTTGACCGGAAGATCCTCGCGTTCTCGGTTGCGCACAATGACACTACAGTCAATATCTTCGGCCACTTTGCCACAGTCGAAGAGCAGAAGCTGACGTTCTTTCGTTGCCGTTTGTATTATGGTGATCTCCCCGCCGATTTTGCCAAGCCGTATAATATCATTCGCGCAATTTACGACGTGTTTTTCCCTCGGCACCTAGCGAGAATCAAAAGCGCCCTGGACAGAATGCGAGTTCGGGCACTGGAGTCCTTCACTTCGCAGCTTGACATCGACGAGGACTCTCAGGAAATTGCCGCCAGTCAGCCTTCTTCGCAGGAGCAAGGAAAATTCAAGAGGCCCTCACTTCCCTCGACGGACAGGATACAGCAAGAGAACGATAGATTGCGAGATCAAATTTCTGTCGTGCTACGTGAGAAGCAGCAAGAAAGGGAAGATTTCATGAAAGAGTTACGGGAGCGGAGGGAGGAAATGGAGCGTCAGTTGGCCCGGCGGGAGGAGGAGTCACGCGAGCGGAGGGAGCAAATGGTGCGTGAGCAGCAGCTTCGAAGGGAAGATCACATGAAAGAGTTACGGGAGCGGAGGGAGCAAATGGAGCGTCAGTTGGCCCAGCAGAGGGAGCAAATGGAGCGTCAGTTGGCCCAGCAGATTGAGGAGTCACGCGAGCAAAACACCATGATGGAGGAGTCACTGGCCCAGCAGACTGAGATCATCACGCTCTTGAAAGAAAGCATAGCAAAGTAATATGTTGCCTGACTACTACGTAGCATGAATGCTAAGATACGTGTTAAATCCCACCTTTTGAACTCAGCGAACTCGTCAAACATCTCACTGTCCTGTTATGTACCATGAATGCCAATACGTATGCAGGATAAGAGTGCGGGCCATCTTGGGTAGGTAGGTAAGCGATCTTCAGCCTCCACAGATGAGGTGATTCAGATTCCGGGGAAAGTGGCTACTGTTCAGCACCTTTTGAGACGTTTAAGGACCAGAAACTGCTTCGAACATGTCAGCATTAGGCCGGAAGGCGGTTGGCGTAGAATAATCATAAACTGTGTACCTTAGTAATGTACCTCCTACCTTATCTGTCTGGGCAAGACAGCCGCCTCGCTACCTCTACCTACCTACAGAAAGAGCTGCAGGGTGGACGAGTGGTTTATGAGGTGCCTTACCTTGGGCATGTATGAAATGTTGCCGTGTGGACGAATACTTGAGGTGCCCGGGTAGGTACATGTATGCTATGCTATGCTATGCTATGCTACCTTACTTACTTGAAACGCACCTACGCGACTGTTTCGAGAGCTTGATAGGAGGAGGAGGAGGAGGGCAAGAAGGAAGGGAATTGGCAAATATGAGGTCAGGTACCTACCGTAGGTAGTATGGATGCAAGAGGGGGGGAATTCACTAAGGTACCTTAAGGTACTTTACCTACCTAGCATTATGAGTTACTAGAGGCTCCTGGACAATGACGCCAAAACTTCTACCCAACCTCAGGTACAGACTATTGGGGTCACGGCACGTTTTGTAGTAAGGTAAGGTAAGGTAAGGTACCTAGGTAAGGTCCGAGAAATCTTCATCAGTTTTTGCCCTTGCTGTTTAGATTAGGACCAGAATATGCGCCTCCTTAACATTTGTAGATTAGGTCCTAGATAGTAGTAAAGATAAAACATCTACCTCTTCTTGTACCTATCGCTCTAAGTTCTAGGTCGTTTCAAAAGTTCCTCTATGTAAGGAGAGTATTGGTCTATTATCTTCTACCAATTCCCTCGGAAGAAACAGTCAGGTACTTAGGTATCTACTCTTCAAAAACAGACTATATTAATCCCGGCGAACTGAGAGCCAATTGTTTGACTACCTATAGTAACTGTTTCCAGTTTGAGGATCGACTGACTTCTATTCGACAAGCGAGCATTCGTTTATCCTACAAGCTAAGTGCCCTAGAAGCACCTTCGGGCGTTACGCTCAGCGGGCGTGTATGCATGCACGCAGGATGAGATATATCACATCTCTTGCTGGGACGCGGCGGCTAAATGTGATACGTATGTACCTGATATGCGCGTATCTCGGTCGTTAAGTTACTTCCTAGGAGGTACATGTACCGGACCGGTGCTTGCTCCACTACCCGATCGAAGTCAGCTGTGTCGCTTCGTTTGCGATGCGAGGTTGGATTCTCTTTTTTCGGCTGGGTACGTGTAGCCTTGGGCATCGCTGTCTTCTTTCGTTTCGTTGTTTATGCTCGCTTGTTTGCGTAAGGCTCGAGCGTGTACTAGATTTTAAAGGACGGGAGTCCTAGTGCGGACGTACCTGCTGTCGGATCAGGTATAGATTCTCTGTCAGCTGCGTCAATTTGTTGATCTTGTTACGAGGCTGGAGATGGCGGAGGATCATCAGGGACTGACTGCTAGCTTGTGAAGGCAGGTTTCGGCAAACGCAATGAATTCATCAAAGGGCTCTCGCTGCGGTATGGGATTTCGCGTAAGGCGTCTTGAACCGTGGATCCCATCAAACGGATGCAGCTTTAGTCAAATGAAGCATAACAGCACGTGCGGATAGGCCATCAGAAACGAATTTGCCAACCTCCATACTACATAGTAGCTCTAGAGGGAGTGAGGTAACACCCGTTGACAGCTGCGGTCCCAACAACCGCAAGAACGCCACCGATCCAAGATCTCCACGGTCCGGACTCCCATCTCATCGTCAGGCGGGTTGTCAGCCTCGGACCGTGGGCGGCGCGCTTTTGATATTGGGGGAACGCCACATGGATCGCGGAGAGGGAATGTTAGGACGTGGTAGGAAGATGGATGTGCGGAAGAAGAAGAAATTTTCTCCAGTCCTTCACGATGGGGATGTGATTCGCTTCTTTCTCATCGTTGCTGTCCACGTCGCTGTTCTCGTCGTTGTCAGTCTCCAAGTCCAGATCTTCGTCCTGTCGGGATAGCAGCAGCGCGCCAGCGGTCCGTAACGGCCCGGAAGCAACATCCTGCGACGGTCCGATCGCGAGGCGCCGAGAAGGTCCGGACGGCGGACGACGGAAGCATTCCTTCCCTTCGCAGCGGTCCGGCGACAATGCCTCGCGACGGCCCGTGAACCGTAGTCGATCCATAAGCTTCCTTCTCATTCTCACTGGTGTTACCTCCTTGTATATACCTATCAGGTACATATACCTGACCTTTCTCCTTCTCTCCACCACTACCTCGCTCACTACACCATCTAAGCTACCTACTCCCGTGCTTGATTCACATCGCAACCGTCACAATGAGCAACTTGCCCGGCGGCAACCTGCGCTCGCAGTGGATCCTACAGCGAGTGTGGTGGACTCAGGGACACGTTCTAGCGCTATCACACACAGCTCGCGATTGTTAAGCGACGACAAGATGGAGGGTACTCCGGCTTATTGGCTTGCACATGGGTACATGTATCTTAGCGCTGTGCAGTTCAGTTTTCAGCTTTCAGCCTTGCCATTCAGGTCTTGGGCCACAAGCAGATGGATTCTCTTTTTGAGGTTCAAGTACCACCGTGCGAACTTCAATGTTGCTATCATCAATCCCGTTATTCTCTCCTTCTGACGGATCAGACCAAACATGCGCCTCCTCAACATTCGGACCCTGGAATTTCGCGAGTTCCGCAGCAACGAACAACCCAAGTACGTGATCGCCTCGCACCGATGGGTCGAGGGATGCGAAGTAACGCTTCAAGACGTTCGTAACGGGTGCAATCTGGAGAAGAGCGGGTATCAGAAGATTGCAGCGTTTGCATACTTTGTACAGCAGCGTGTTCCTTCAGTGCAGTGGTTGTGGATTGATACCTGCTGCATTGATAAGCAGAGTTCTGCAGAACTGTCCAAGTCGCTCAACTTGATGTTTGATTGGTATCGAAACGCTGTGTTGTGCATTGCGTATCTCGCAGACGTCGACACTACAAACGATCACGCGTGGGAGGGCAGCGACTGGTTCAAGAGGGGCTGGACTCTGCAAGAGCTGCTTGCTCCACATCTAGTTCTCTTTGTCACAAACACATGGAAAGTCATTGGTCATAAGGGGGATTCTGCCTGTGTTGATTTCGGGCTTGTCTGTGGGCCCAATCTGGAGGAGGATCTTGCCGCGAGAACGGGCATACCACATCGAATACTGCATGATTACGCGGCCAGCTCTGATATCAGCTGGAAGGAGAAGCTGAAGTGGATGGAGGGCCGGGAAACTGCAGAACCTGAAGACATGTGGTACGCTCTATACGGCATACTCGACGTAACTCTAGGGGCCAATTACGGAGAAAAGTATGATGGAGCTCGGCGACGTCTGATGGACAAAGTACATGAGCGGGACGAAGCGCCTATTCAACAAGCTGAGCAGCGTAGAAATATTACTGCTTGGCTCTCGCCGCCTGACCCGTGGACGAACCATGAGGCGGCACGACAGTTACGTGAGCCTGGGACTGGAGACTGGCTGATTCAGTCAAAAAAATATAGGCTGTGGAAGGATGGTTCGGTCCGTCATTTGTGGATGTACGGGAAAGCAGGGTGTGGGAAGACGATTCTCTGCTCTACAGCTATCGAGGACGTGAAAGCGTACTGCAACGACCATCCCAACGCCGGCTTTGCCGTCTTCTACTTTTCCTTTTCGGACGATCAGAAGCAGCGCCATTCCGACCTTCTCCGTTCACTCGTTGTGCAGTTGGGCCGCAAGGACCCAGGTTTTTCGATGCTCAAACAGGCATACGACAACCGGAATCAAAGTCTGCCCGGGCAGGATGAGATTGAGAATATTCTCTCTTCCTGCTTCAATTCCTACGAAAAGGTATTCCTCCTGATCGACGCGCTTGACGAGTGTCCCGACGAGGGTGACGCCCGGCTCAACATGTTCAAATGCGTAGACAGACTGTCGAAACAGGCACGCAATGTCCAAATATTGGCAACGAGCCGCGATGTTACAGACATACGGGACTCAATGAAGACACTGGATGCAAAGTTCGTGCATATTGCCAAACGTCATGTGGATAAGGACATTCAACGATACCTTTCATCGCAGCTCTCGGGTGGTTCTCATTCTCCGCTGTTACGACTGGAGGCGAGCGGTTTGATTGAAAAGACTCTTTTTGAAAAGGCAGACGGGATGTGAGTTTCCTTTTCCTTTTCCTTTTTCTTTTTGATCTTCTTACCAATTGTGGACTATTGCTGCAAAAGCTAATATTCTGTTTTCTCCTTAGGTTTCGTTGGACGTATTGCCAAGTGCAGGAGCTGAGAAGTATCAAGGCGGTTAAGCAAAAAGATATCCAGGACATATTAGACAACGTTCCTCCTACCCTCGATGCCACCTACGCACGCATCCTAGGCAAAATCGACTACCGTTCTCGGAAGGTAGCTACCACTTACCTCCAATGGTTGGCGTATGCGAAGGGGCCTCCTACCCTTGGCGAGCTAGCTGAGGCTTCTAGGGTCGACCCAACAGCACAACAAGTGTCGAACGAGCGCGCGATGCTCGACGGCCCGCTAGTGATCCTCCCCGGGCTTGTCGCTACCAAAAATAGCGAATTCGAATCTCTGGTCAGCGACGGTTCTTTTCGCGCATCTGTCAGGGAAGACACGATGAGAGGGGAAGACACGATGAGAGGGGAAGACACGAGAATCAGGCTGGCACATCTGTCAGTAAAAGAATATCTCGAAACGAAGCGCATGCTCCAATGCGAGGAAAAGGATTTCCACCTCGAGAGCAGTCTAGGACATCAGTTCCTTGCTCAAAGCTGCCTCGTCTATCTTCATTTTTACAGCAGCAGCAGTCAGAAACAGTCTAAGAAGCAAGATTTCACGACATTCCCATTGCTCACATACGCAGCAAAGTCGTGGTTCTACCATTCAGCACTTCAACAAGCAACTGAGCCTGTTTACGAGCTCGAACTACTACTACGTAACCCAAGGACATTGCGCGACTGGCTACTAGTGTGCCAGTTAGAGGCTACATGGAGACGTCCGTTTAGCGACATTGGAAATCTGAAATCGAGCCTATACTACGCTAGCTACATTGGGCTAGAGCAGGTAGTAAGAAAACTTCTCAAGGATCCGGAATATATTGATGCTCCGCAAAAGTGCTACTCGGAAGCGCTGTGGGCAGCAGAACGTCAGCGCCACGAGAAGGTAGCCAAGTTGCTGAGAGCTGCGGGAGCGCATGTCCACGCACGTCAAGTAGATCACGATTACGAAATGCACGCAGCATCAATATAAGGAAGGTCATGAGTGAATGCCCCGGGAGAGGGAGTTCTGGCATTGCGTTGCAGGCGGCGTTATATAGAGGCCACGTGAGTGTGTACACTAGGAGTGAGCGTAACGGGAGTACTAGGTCGTAGTAGCAGTTTCTCTGAATTCACGGGTTATGTTTTCTTTTTTCCTGCCTACAGGCTACAACCGCCAACCTCCCTGCTACAATCCCTCTTCTTGTATTTACTAATAGCAGCGGATCTCACACGAACAAAAAAAGGGAGATAGATGGACAGACAAATACGCGACACGCTAGCAGAAAGAAAAAGAAGAAAAAAACAACTACCTTAGAAAAAAGACAACAAAAACGCAAAAAAGAATCTCAGACATATGCTGTGTCCGTGAATCGACTACATCATCCATTAGTCACAAATTCAACTCCCATATTGATTGCATTGCATGAAGTGATCATGAAGTGAGTAGAAACTTACACACGGGGCCCGCGCAATCTGCTCGCCTGATGGCAAGCGCGGATTTTACCACTAAACCAACACAGCTTTGCTTGAGGGTCTGACGTCAGCCGGATTGATGGAGGAGAAATGGGGAGGGTTTAATATATATTTTGGTTTTATATGGAGGGTGCGAGAAGGAGATGGAGGGAGTGGGATACCTGAGGTAGGGATCTGGTAGGAGGTTGTTTGAGAGGGAGGGGAGATACTAGTTTTTTTATCATTTGTTTATTCTGTCTGTCTATCCTATCCTATCCTATCCTCTTCTAGATAGGTATCTATCTCTTCTATTTCCAACACTCCTCCCTCCAATACTTGACAAATTTCGCTACCAGAATCTCATCAATCACACAATTTTTCGCCATGGCCGAGGAAATTTTCTTTGCTCGCGCAGTTTCGAAGCGGGGAAGATTTTCTTTCTTTCTTTCTTTTTCTTTTTCTTCCTCTTTTTCTTTTCCTTCCTCTTTTCCTTGAGAGTTTGTTGTTGTCGTCGATGCATCATACTTGTGTTTGAAAAAATCAAACAATTTCACAGCAGGTTCATCCTGTATTGAAGAATACTTCTCCAACTTCTTTACCCAATCTTTTCCAGAAATGATTTCAAACGAGAGACCTGCACGTTGTAAAAAGGGCAGGAAGTCCTGATTCCAGAACAATGGAAAAGTCGAATTGACGAGGTTGAAAACTTGCAAAAGACGAGATTCTTCTCCATCATCATCTTCATCTTCATCTTCATAAACCGCCACATCAACAATCGCCTGCCCAGCCACATCGGCAGGTAACCACTGCAACTCTTCTTCCTCCTCACCAGGGAGCACACCCTGCGTAACAGCAGTTCTCACAATCGTCGGAATAGCCTCTGCAGGATTCCACAATCCCTCGACCGAATCCCCACAAACCTGGCCCAATCGCGCAATTCGCACAGGAATTTCCGCTGTAGCGGCTGCTGACGCGAGAAGTTGTTCTGCGACCCATTTACTCTGCGCGTAGCCCATTCGCTCTTCCACGTATGACCAGGGAACTAGATCTTCTGCGACGGAGGTAGGGGCGGCGAGAGCGGTTGCGATGCTGGAGATGAAGGTGAGAGAAGGTTTTTGTTTTTGTTTCTTGTTGGGAGGGAGGAGGCGGGTGGGAGAAGTAGCGGCGAGATTTAGGAGAAAATGTGTGGAAGAGATACAGCCGCGGTCGAAACTTCGGAGGGATTGGTTGAAATTGACGGACCAGGCGTTGTGGATGATGTGGGTGATTGTGGAGCGGAAGAGATGGAGAGTTTCGGGTTGTAAGCCCAAATTATCTTCTACGTTGTTGAAGTCGCAGGAGAATGCCGATAGCTTCTGGGTGAGGAGTTGGTGGAGATGGGATGTTTGTCCTTTGAGGAGACGATGCTTGTGCAGGGTATCGTGGATGCGGGTGAGTGCTTGAGCATCATCTGAGGCGCGGATGAGACAGTAGATTTTGGAGATGGTGTCGTTTTGGAGGAGATGATGGAGAATGTGGACTCCCACGACACCTGTTGCCCCTGTGAGAAGCTGATGAACTGTTAGCACAAGACCTCCCTTGCTAATCAATGGCAAGGGGCGGTATAGAAGGAGAAAGAAATCTTACCACTACGCGAGAAGAAGATGTCCCAGCAATTATAGCAGGGTCACAAGTGTCAAATTGCGAGTATTTGAGCACCAGAGCACGAGCAATCTCTTCCGCATCATCCTTGACAACAACATCTCCCTTTCGAAGGTTGAGAAGATGTTCCGTCAACAGAGCCACGGTCGGATACTCAAAGACGACATTCGTCGCCAGTTTATTCTTCCCACCACCACCACCGCCGAGGTAGATGGAACGCAGAATTTTCGATCGTACTTGCGAAGCTTTAAGGCTGTCCATTCCCAACGTGAAAAAGTCGGACATATCATCCATATGAGGTATCGTCTTCTCCTCGGACTGGGCCTCCTTAAAACCAAGAACATCGCAAACTATCGCCCGGACCAAATCCAAAACTTCCCCATCACTCATCACAACATCCTCGTGCACCAGCAGAGATTTCGCACCCTCCATTTCCGTATAATGCGCTTCAATATCTTTCGCAAACTGTTTCAGAAACAGCGATCTCTTGACCGTCGCTTTATCCGTCACAGGAAACGGCGTTCCCGCAGGCTTGATCATGACCTGTTCAAGAGAAATTCTAGCATATGCAGGCACTCGAGAATTTCCCGCTGCGAGATCAGGCGAAATACTCGCGAGGACTTCAGCTGCACTCAAGTGCGCTGCAGAGTCGGATGCGATGACGATTAAACCCAGAGAGTCCCTTTCCGCGCCGAATGCCACCGCTACGGAGACGTGAGGGTTGTGGGCGACGGAATCTTCAATGGGGATGGGGTCTGCCTTTTCGCCATTGATGAGCACGATGATGTCGTCTTGTCGGGTGGCGAATTTCCACTTGTTGGGGTCTTCAGGGTGTCGATAGAAGAGATCTTTGGTCGCGTAGGACCCATCTGAACTGCTGGAATAGGCTTTGGCTTTGAGGCCTGGGAGGACCGTGAGGTGATAGAGACCATCATCGCCCACGGGGTCGAATTGCAGAAATGGCTTCGCATGCGGTAAGGGTGTCACCCAGCGAAAGTCATCGGGCGTGGGCTCCATCAGAGCCCCCGCTTCAGTCAGGCCATACAAGTGAAAGATGTGGACTTGATGTTTTCGCAACTCGGCAGCCAAGTCATCTGGTATAGTCGAACCCGCAGCAACGACTTGATCCAACAGCGCAAGGCGTTGCAAGCCGCCCTCGGCTTCCGCAAAGAACTTGAGCACATATGGAACCGTGACGACAGCGCGAGAATGAGTGAGTTGGAGAGACGACTCCACAATAGACGCAGTGACGGGGCGGCCTGCATCGAGAAGCGAAAGTCTCTTGCCGTTGATCAAACAGCGGAGTAAAGTCGCCAAGCCAAAGCTATGGAACAGCGGTAAGGTGGACAGGGTGTCCACGCGAGGCATACGTGCAGCAATATCGGCAGCTTGAGCCAGCCATGTGACGGGGTTGATACACACGGGCTTCGGTAGCCCTGTCGTACCGCCACTATGGATAACAATCTCGTGACCACGCCCGGGCTCACGGAGTTCCAAGGGGGGGCGTCGATCGATGCTGGATGATGATGACCATGATGCTGATGCTGATGCCACGCGATCTTCTGCTGCAATACGAGAAATCTCCACGAGGGGAACCCGAGTCAAACCCAACGAGTACATCTGATCCACGCTCTCCAGAACATTCTGTGAAGACTCTGCAACAATGACTGCAGAACACTTCGTCGTAGTAAGAAGATGCGCGAAACCTTCCATTGCCAGTCTCGGCGAAATCAAAATCGTCGTCCAGCCCAATCGTTGCACAGCAAGAAACGTAATGTAGTAATCTATACTGGACGTTCCAATCAACGCAATCCGGGGGACTTCTCCCACGACATCGTTGTCGTTTGTCGACGACGACGACGACGCTGTATAGTGGGAGAAGCCCACAGCGGCCGCATAGTGAGAAGCGACCGCACGCGTGAGAAATTCCACGTCTGTTCCCGTATAGTCTGTAAAGTGTTTCCCATCACTGCTGGGATAGGACAACAGTGGGTCTTGAGAGTGCGTCTGAGCTCGTTGCTTGATGAGTTGGTCCAAGCTGTCGTATCGCTCTGCAATCATTGGGCCTCCCATGGCAGCAGCAACAGCAGGCAAGCAAGCAAGCAGGCAGTCCAAAAAGCAACTGCTTCCTCTCGTTGGTTGGTTGGTTGGTTTGGTTTGGTTTGACTGTATCAGAAAATCCTTCCTGCAGCTGCAAAGGGAAAAAAAAAATCAGGACACCCCCACCCCCTTTTTTTTTCTCTCCTCAAGCTTGAACAATAACTTTATTGTTTTTTATTCTTTTTCGATAGTTCTTCGGTACGTGAGCGGAATTTGGTTTCTTTTTCTGATCTCCGCAGCAGCCAGCAAGCCAGCAAGCCAGCCCAGCTCAAACCCCTTGATATCTTGTGTGAGAAAGCAAAGCCAAAAAAAAAAAAAGTCCGAATTTCTTGCAGAGTTTTTTGAAAATGATCGATCCCCGGAGCAAATTTCCAAATTCGACTCTAAGGCGCTGCTGCTGCTGATTGAACAACAACCAAAAAATGTGTGTAGTTTTTGAGTTCAATCAGTCAGCATATAGCAGCAGTAGTGGAGTCCATTTGGTCCGCGTATGTACTGTACCGTACCACATCGGAGTGTGACATGCATAACAACCATGGGGGGGCAGCCCCGGTGGCCACACGGCGGTTCATCATCATCAAGGTCGTATTCTTCCCCGAAACAGATGTGCATTGATGTGCATTGATAAGCATGATGATGATGTACAGGTCAGGCCTCCGCACGCGAAGATCAACCAGGTTCGGGCGCCGATGGGGAATACGAAGCGACGGACGACAGATACCCTAGCTAGCTAGCAAGCAATGGGAGGGGGGAGAATGATGATGAATCCATAATAGATTGATAAGTGATAAAAGTGATATGAGAGAGACAGACAAGACAAGACAGGACCGACCGAATGTCCGACTAGTGTTTGCTATCGGGCAATGTAGTCTGGTCTGGTCTAACAGCCGAATTGAGCCAAAGCGTGGGTAGTAGTAGTAGTACTGTAGTGGTGGCACATCTAGTTGGCCACTAGGAGGTAGTTTGAGATACACTTTTAAGTCACTTTTTTTTTTTCAAAAAATTCGTTATAGATCGATCGAGAAAATACTCCGATTTTTGATAAAAATGTGATTATCGATGGCTTGCTGACCTTGTTACTTGCTCATCGAGGATTTCTTTTTGATTTTGTGCTCAAACAAGCATACATACATATAGCAGGGACGAGAAGGGTAAGGTAGTATACCTACCTTTACGCTACGGATTCTGCTTCCAGGGGTTCGGTCCTTCGGTACCTACCTACAGTAGGTATATACCGTACCTGAGCGAAGATCAATACTGCAAACACATACATGTACCCCAAGTACATCCATTAACCATTCGGCCATTTATCTATATTATTATATAGCCAGTATTATTAATAGTCTCCCCCCCCCTCTTTTCCCTCTAAAAAATAATTCTCCTATATTACAGATCTACAGCAGCTATTCCTCCGCTACAGAACTACTAAACTAAACTAAATACCTAACCTGGCCTAGGAGGTAGTTCAAGGGTACAATGCTGTACGTATCCACCTCACCTGCATACATAGTGCGTAATCGACCTCAAGGATTTAGGGATCAGGGGTCAGGGGTCAGGGGTCAGGGGGTCAAGGATTACAATCAAAAGCAACCCCCTTCAAGTTTCTACATAGTCGATCATTTTTCTGTCTGGCCTTATCCAGTATAAATGATGACAAACGAGCTACTGTAGCTTACGGAGAATGTTAGCCGGAGAAGATAGGCTAGGCTGGGTTGGGGCTGGTAGGGGCTGGTATGGGCTGGAATGTATCTGGTCTGTGCTGTCTGTGGTATATCTACGTAAAGGTACTGATTGTATGGAAAGAAAGCTGTTGGATTCTGTCTGTCTGGGTAGCAAAACTCCAGGGTGAAGGTAGGTAAGGGAGGTAGGTAGGTAAATATCGACAGAGGAAATTCGCGTCGAAAAGTTCCTCCTTTTCTCTCTCTCGTAGATCATCTCTATGAACGTCCCCTCGTGAAAACCTGTAGGGAAAAAATTCCACAAAAGACATGATGATGCGCAACCATTCCAACCCCCAGGGCTACGCTACATACATCCATTCGACTCGGACCCAACAAACGAAGCTTTTTTTCAAAGAGCCTCGTATAACATGCTGGGAGATGAAAACGAAGGGAGTACAAGAAGTAATCATCATCATCATCCATCATCTCAAAAGTCTATCAGATAACCAGACAACAAGATAAGATTGTCTCATGGCAACCCAGTTCCCCCCCACCCCAACCCCTAACCTCACCCCTAAACCTAGAAGGTACAGTATGTGCGGCTCGCAGAGTCCTGGCACATACTCGAACCCGAATAAACCCCGCTGTCCGATCGTTCGATTTTAGGAGTGACAGAATTGACGGGGGCACGAGGACGACCCGTCTGACAAAAAGCTTTAATATTCGCCAAACATTCGATTTCCGCACGTTCGAAAGACCCTTCGGTGAGGCCTCCGAGATGAGGTTGTACAATAACCTTGTCGCTGGTGAAAAAGTACGGATCAATCCCCGCGGGTTCGTTTTCGAAGACGTCGAGGCCTGCGCCGGCGAGTTGATGCGATTCGAGGGCGGAGATGAGGGCGTTGCTGTCGAGGATTCCGCCGCGGGAGGTGTTGATGAGGTAGGCGTCGGGTTTCATTTGGGCGAGTTCGGCTTCGCCGATCATGTGATGGGTGTCTTTGGTGAGGGGGCAGTGCAAGGAGACGACGTCGGAAGTCTGGAGAAGTTGTTGGAGAGACTCGCATGCCAGAGCTCCTTCAGGCGCGCGGGAAGAGATGCCACCGTTTCGCGCAAAATATTGTACTTGCATGCCCAGCGCTGTAGCTTTGCGAGCCAGAGCACTACCGATGCATCCCATACCGACGATTCCCAATTTGAGACGATCGAGATCTCGCGAGAGAGGAAGTCCGCCTCGCCATTGACCTGCTCGGAAGCTTTTTTCGGCGCGTCTCGAGTTGCGCAGGTTCGCGAGCATGAGGAACATGGCCATATCTGCCGTGGCATTGCTGGTGGCGTTGCGAGTGTTGGCAAACCAAATGTGCTGTCGGGTCATCCAGTCGACATGGAAATCGTCGTATCCGCTCTGTGCGGAGACGACGACTTGCAGCTGCGGAAGCAACGGTGCGAGCAGCTCAGCATCGAACGGTTCAAAGGGCTGTGGTCCGAGTCGACAGACCACAGCTGTATAGGGTCCTCGCGATGCGACGAGTGGAGCCAACTGATCGATCAGTTCTGCTCGTGTCGACACATCCAGTATCTACGCAACTTTGTTTTAGTCTTTGTTTTTTCCCTTCCCTTTGCTTCCTGATCCCACGAAGACCGACGGAGATGCATGCCCTCCACTCACATCGATGTCGAAACTCTCTGCATACTCGTTCCGTATGCTGCGAGATGTATGCTTCGGGGCACCTAGATAAAGGACCCGTGGCTTGGTCTGATGGTCGTACGTGTCGTGCATCGTATCCAGCGGAGGAGCGAAAAAAAAAGACTCTTGAATGCTCCGAGCGACGTCCATCGAGCTCAATGCTCAACAAGTACGATCCGTGGAGCATTGGCCGTCGCCCGTCGAGCGTCAATCGAAAGGCAGGCGGATATGCCAAACCCGGAAGAACCCTTGCATGATTGCCCTCGCGGTGTGCGAATCGATAGCACGTGTGGCTATCGCTCTTTAGTGGCCTGGTCGACTGCCTAGTCTCCTATTGTCCGGTCCGTTGCCTTGGTTGTCCGGCAGTTCATCAAGACTTTGCCACATGGTGTGCATACATCCAGCACACGAAATGAAAGTGTCGCAGTCCGGCGCCATTGCTAGTACTATGCCACTGTGTCCGAGGACCCGCCGGGGAACAAATGCCATATCTAGACTTGAAATATCTCTCGCACGCTAGCGGGTCTCCATATCGTTGGGCCCCGAATCCATATTACGCCTCCAACTTGTCGTCGTCGTCGTCTTCTTGTTCTTGTTCATCATACCTCGGAGTTTGGTTTTGCTTGAGTTCTGATTGAACCACTGAGACCCACGCGATCAGCGGCGATCAGACTGTACATATAGTACATACTAGGATACGTGCCCCATGTGGTCTCAATCTGAAGCCAGCTAGTGGAGCCCGACTCCGAAGCACGGAGACTTCTCTTGTATTCGGTTTTCGAAGGGTGCAAGTGGACTTCTTGGGCCTCGTACTCGTAGACAGAAACTCCGATCCCAGTGTCGTGTACATAAAGGTACATAAGTAAGACCAACATATGCCGATTGTTGCCTTGTTCCTTGTTGATGAGTAAGATTTGTACTTGTATACAGCACTGACCACAAGTTAGACGATATCGCACACGACTATCCCCGACTGCTTCGTTGGCGGTAGTCGTTTTACAACACGAGTATAGGGGATGGGGATCAGGGCCTTTCTTCGCACCTCATTGAGACCGAGCCCAACAAGCCTACGCCCAAGCCCAAGCCCGAAGCTTGTACTCACTCGTAGCGCGGTGGCTCGCCTGTGGGGTTGGTGCGGATGTATATAGGCGCAGTAGTTCTGGCTGCCAATGCGGAAAATTAATGATAGGCGCAGTAGTTCACTGCTACTACGCCTGCGTGTGTGGGGGCTCCGATGCAGTTGGAATAGCGCCGAATGAAGTATTGTACCAATACATGTAGGTAACAAAATGTCTTCTTCCTTTTTGAGAAAATTCACGACATGAAAGAGATATGCCCCATATGCCCCAAGACCGGAAGAATTGATGATTTGGGATGGAATGTGGATGCCCACCTATCGACTGAACGTATGGAGGTTGTCTGAATTAGGTGAGAAAGACGTCCAAGCCTATTATGTAATCATGCTGAACGAGATCAATGGAGACGGAACATGACATGAAATTCTCCATGGAAAGGGGAGGGGGGGAGTGGGGGAATACCTCACTTCTCAGAGTGTGAAAGAGAGGAGAAGAGAGGAGAAGAGCGAGTCTAGGCTCCTGATGCTCTCCAGCTGGGGACCTTATTCCATGGAAAAACAAAGGGTGGCATCAGCCATCAGCAACAGCACATGGTCAGCAAGGGTCAAGTACACAATAATCTCGGCAGTTCATTCCGACAGCGGTCTATCTACTAATTCACTTTGAGACCGGCATGTTTTGGCGTCTTCACACTGGGCTGATGATCGGGCCTACTGCTGAAGCTGGCTTGGGTTGCACACCTGTAGCCCTCAGAGCACATGGAACTCTTTCGGCATCGTGGAACGAACGTTATTTAATACTGGACTGCCATGTCACGAAGTAGCAGCTCTCATCACACACACAACTCCCTCACTTTGTTCTTCTCCCACTTTCTTTGTGGTAAAAAATGCGTCTGGTATACAGCTGCCTTTTGGCGATAGTGCCATCGGTGTTTGCAGCCACTGCCTGGCAGCAACGAGAGTACAACAACACGGTACCAGTCACTCCACTCACGACGATTGGAAATGCCAACTTCACAAGCAAGAGCGATGCTCTTTCGGCGCTGGGCAAAACTTTGAGCAATGCAACGATCGCATACCCTGGAGATATGCAGTATGGCACTTCCCTTGGGCGCATCTGGACCGAGAATCGCAAAATCTTTCCCGAAGCCATCTTGTTCCCCAAAACGCCCGAGGATGTCAGCATCATTCTGCAATTCTACTCGGGCGTGCATGCTCTCTGGACCGATGGGTTCGCCATCCTGGGCGGAGGCCACGCGGACATTGGAGGTGGTCAGACTCCGAGTGTCGTAATTGACTTGAGGGAAATTGGGTCAACGGAGATTGTCGAAGAGCCCGCGAGTGGCTCTGACAAATGGGCAGTGCTGAAGATCGGTGGTGGCTCCGAGGCCGGTTCCGTCTACAGCGCACTCGACGGCACGGGATGGGCATTCCTAGGCCCTCGAGCTGCGTCGATTGGCGTGGGAGGCTTCTTGCTCGGCGGCGGTATCGCATTCCAGACGAATCGATATGGTGTGGCTGTCGACAGCCTTCTCGGCATTGAAGTTGTGCTCATTGATGGCAAAATCGTCTATGCGAATCCATACAATGAGTACAGTGACCTCTTCTGGGCAGCCACTGGCGGAGGCTGGCTGGGCTTTGGTGTCGTCACGCACTTTTACGTCCAAGCATATCCTGATCCAGGAGAGGTTTTTGTCGGCACAATCGTGTGGGGCGAGGACAAGTCGGCCGAAGTGTTCAACAAGACAGCCGCATGGTTCGAGAGCAACACGGACGCGGATGCATTTCCAGCACTGCTGTACTACTTCAAAGATCCATCTAACCCGGGCGCGCTGGTTCCAATCCTCGAACGTCAATTCACTTTCCAGCTGAACGCCATCTACTTTGGAGGGTCCTGGGCAAAGTTCAACGAGTCGTTTAGCAGCTTTTACGAAAAAGCAGACTCCGTCTCGCTGCAAACCTTCTCGATCAAGACCCTCGACCAGTACCTGTTAACAAACTATCCGTACGGATACAATCGACTGTTCTATGGCAAGAGCCACACCAACTCGACCATCGAATTCTACGAGAAGACCTTTGCCAGCTACCAGGAGACCATCAACGGACTGATGCGCAGGGGAGAAGACCCGGGTCACACCTTGTGGGTCGATGAGTGTGAGTAGTAGTGGCGCCATGCGTGATCTCGATCCATGAACCATGTGCTGACGTTCTTCAGATGTGCTTCCAGGCTGGAACGGTGCCGGACCGGCTAAAGATTCCGATACTGCTTGGCCTCACTCCACCTCGTCTCACATCACCCTCACATCGGGAGAGTGGTCCAGCGACAACTCCACTGAGTTCTTGTACACCCAGGACCGCGACGGCATGATGTCGTATCTTCGGGACTTCCAGAACGAACTGGGGGAACCTGCGATTTACGATTATCCCAACTATGTGTAAGTCCCGCCCACCCTTTTCCGTGCATCAACCAGCGCACATCTAATCGGAAGCAGTGCACCTTACTCCAAAGCCGAGGAGGTCTGGGGCGTGGATAACTTCAACCGACTGGTGCAGATTAAAGAGAAGTACGATCCTCTGTGCCTATTCAACAGAGGCCGCGTGCTCGCATCTCAGGCGTGTATTAGCAAGGGCCTTGCCACGACTTATCTGGGATAAGACGTTGTACAGTATATGAGACCCTATTGTATGTGTGGATGCTGTCTGCATTCTGTACCAGTACCTAAAATGTAGAAAGTGTCAATGTATCAGAATAACGGCTGAAATCAAAGATACCTTACCTATGAACCCCGGGCAACACTTCGATTTGCTGCAATTATTGGGAAAGCATTAGTGATGGTGATGATGGTGGAGAGGACGAGGATGCCGATGCAGGTTGGCGATCTCGAAAACATGAGCTGACGCCAAGAAACAAGCCCGCTAAGGCTGGTCACATGCAGACGTAAGGATTCCAGGTCCACACTTCGTATAGACCTAGGAGAAAATTGAAGCACGACTCCTGACAACCACAAATATTACTACAGGTATTATTCTGCACAACGAACCTGTCTCCGAGACGCGGACCTGACATATGTCGTCCGAACAGTGCGGACGCAGAGATGTCGACTTACGGTCCGAATGAGTTCGGGCCCCTCCATCTCTCGTCCAGCCTGATCTGCTGCTCTCTCACGCCAAATTCCCCCTTCGGCGCTGCAGCTCGCCAGGTTTCCCAATAACCACGCTGGACCTTCAAATTCATGTTGGAATCTTGATCATACATGGCCAGATTCAAGACCAGTTTGCCATCAGCTCCGTGGTCATTCCCATTCTGGCTCTTGTTCGCAGGCCAGGGCTGGAAGTATGCCGGATCAGGGTGTCGGTCTAGCAATTCGGTGAATGAAAGAGACATGATTGCGCTCTCGACGCCGGCGTAGATGTATGGCGAGTGTGCTGATGGTGATGCAAGCGAGTAGACACTTGATTCAAGGGCTCGGGCGTGATCATTGCGATTCCACCGACTGCCACGCACGGTGAAGGCAGGACTGCTAGATCGGAGGAAGATGTTGTAGTCCCCGTCGGCGCTCTCAGCGCTGGAGCCGCCTGGTCTGGGCTGAGTGATATCTAAATAGTTGTAGCACCTGGCTCCAAGCCGCAAGTCGAATACTTTGCACAGGTTATGACGGCTTGAACCGACAAGCATTTTCTCTTGGCCTCGCGGTAAGATGGTGTATACAGCGCTATCATCAGCCGGATCGACGTAAGCTTGCTCGACATCGCGATTTGAGCGCAGGTCGTGCAAACGTACAACGCCATCGTACGCACCGGACAAGAAGACATTTCCACTTCCCGAAGCGCCATTGTCGGCACATAATGGAACCATGGTATACACATTGGATGTAGATCTTTTACCATCAAGGCCATCGGGGTCATTTTGGAGCCCAAGCTTCCTCACACCTTCTCGCGATAGACCACTCTCGGTGATCGGGTATACGTGGATGGGCTTCTCGGAAGGACCTGCACCAATGGCCAAAGATGTCCGCGATAGAAAGTTCGTAGACCATGCTCGGTGATTTGGCGAGGGATTGCCGTCTGGCCGCAAAATCGGCTTGAGATCGAATTGGCTCGATGCGCAAATCTTGGACTGCTCCGAGTCAACATTGTAGAGAGCAATCCTGGAGTCTCCCAGATTCGTGGCCAGTAATGTGGGTTGAGACTGCTCTTGTAACAAGCTACTTGATCTCACAGGCATTCCCTGCGTTGCAAAGTATGTCGTTCTTACGTCCTGGTCATATGGGTCGTCCAGAGGCATACCGAGCAGGCGCAAGTCCCCTCTGGCGGTGCCAGTGATGACATGCTGCCTTTGGTCGCCCAGTGAATCATCTGGACGAAGCAGATGCATCGTCGTGATATCGTCCTGGCCTTCACGTGCTGCCAGAGGTCTATAAGTCGCCCATTTCACGTCCGATCCGCCGCCGCCGCCACGTGTGGTGTGGCGAATGCATATCTGAGCTCCAGCGCTGAAGGCAAGGGTCTCCGTCCTGTGTTGCCAGTTCTCCTCAATGTCTTCATACACGTCTATCAGGGGCGTGAAGCCAATGGTCTGCCCGTGTGGACTCTCCCATGTGGTGGCCTTTTTGGAGCCGGGAAATACGGTGATATCATGGCTGGGCTCGACGTAGGTGGCGATGAATGCTCGTCTATCCCAGGCCTTCGACAGACTGGTCAGAGTACGTGCCGCATGCTTGGAGAGAGGCACATCTGGCGCGCATAGTGTTGGGAAATGGGTCCTGGCAAAGGACTTCCAGGCGTCCTTTTCGACAAAGGCGTAGAGGCTCTTGTTGGTACGGGAAAGAGCCGAGACGGCACTGGCAGTAGGGAGATAGGTAGCGATATGGTCCCAGAGTTCGGGTGGCAGGTCGGTGAAGGTTGCGTACCGCTTCGACGTGGTCGTCGTCAGCGTAGGTTGTGCCATGAAAGTCCGTCGATGTTTCTGGCAGATATTCTGGTCTGGCCGTGTTATAGAATACGTTATGATGAGTCAGCAAGTACATCCCGCTCTTGCCAACGAAACCGACGACACTACAGTTCAGGCACATTACCCATCACAACTCGCAGATACGGCGCTACAGCAGACTTCCAAGTCATGCTATACCACGTCGCGTAAGGATGTCTGTCAAGTCCATAGAGGTGTTCAAAACAAGGCAATGTCCATAGCATTTTATTCAATATATCAGGTATATATACCTTATATACCACACATAGCAGGTAGATCTGGGTTTCTTTTTCTCTCTAAATAAACCTGTAGGGAGGTAACCTTCACAGCGCCTTGCTCATCATCATAGCAGCCAAGCAGGTAGATCTGTAATCTGTCGATCCACACACGGGGGTATCATAAATAAAGAGAAAAAATCTCCAGCGCCTTGCTCAAAAAAAGGGAACAGAAATCCAAAAAGAAAAAAAAAAATCAGAAAGCAAAAAACAAAAGCCTCCCCCATTCAAAACCTTCCACGCAACGTCTGGTAATCATGACCCCTACAGCAACGGTCCAAGAGGCTCTTCACTCGCAGCCAAATTGCACTGCCGGAAAATCCTTACTTCCTCGGGCAAAAACGAGCCGGTGACAGAGTGCAACACACCATGATTGTTAAACAAGGCCAAATCGCCAGCCTCCCAATCCACAGCATAGATCAACTCGGGAGCAATACCCGGTCTCTGGAGACGATGAACAGTCTCCCTCACCTGCTCGAGATCATCCATGACGGTGCCATCTTTCAGATGCAATTTCTGTACAGCCGAAGGATGGACTTGCAACGCCAGTTTGCCCGTCACTGGGTTTCTCCAACACATGGGAAGAATCTTAATCTTGGACTCATCGATTTCGGGGAGTTGCGAGGGGGAAAGTTCGAGCCCCTCGGAGACGAGACCGAGACCATCACTTTTGCTCTTGGCCGGGGACATCCAGACGTAGGGATGAGGGGCATATTGGACTTTGGTCGTGCGCACAAACTCTTTGTCTTCTTCGGAAAGGAGATCGTACATGGTGTAAGAGCTTGCGAATACGGTGCTTCCACGGGGCACGCTCAGCTTGTCGCCGGTGCCATCGTCATAGCGAAGCGTTTGTTGCTCGGTCTTGGGGACGCTGACGGCCATCAAGCTCGTGACACGAGGAGCGTTCAGGTCGTATAGGGCTGCATCGATGTGCCAGCGGTAGAAGCGGGTGTTGTCTCGGTCATCCTCGGGCGAGATGACATCCTTGTGGAAGGTCTTGTGATGAGGATGTTTGAGAGTGATGTTTTTGAGGCCCTGGAATTCGGCGACCGGCCCGTTACCGATCACTTGAACTTGGGGTTGATGGGGGATCGTCTTCAGGTCTGGATGAAGGATCGAGCGTTTGGCGTCGATCGTTTTGCCGTGGCCATAGGATTGTGCTTCGGGATCGAAGAGTTGTGTGAGCTCATATTGCGCCCGTGGAGAAAGATCTTGCTGATTCTTGAAGAGGACAACTTGATTCTCGTACAGAGCCTTGCGAATAACATCAAAGTCAACCGGAGTGAGGTTGTCCAAGTCCGCCCCGCGGATCTCAGCGCCAATGTCGTATTTTGCGCCTGCAGGAGGGGTGATTTTGTGAACAGTGATCTTGCTGGTGATGGCCATGGTATGTGGAGAAGGTAGTGGTGTGTTGTGTGATGATGTGGTTGATTGAGGTTTGTCGTACAAAAACCACCCTTGAACAACAGCTCGCAGTTAATATACCGCAAGTGGCAAGCCCGAGCGGGCTCCACCGGAGGGCCTATCAATTCGGCGCCGGCAATCCGGGATGCAAGCATCGGAGCTGGGCGATGCAACGATGGTGGGCAGTTTTCAGACCAGGGTCTTGGGTCTGGACTCTTGGGATATTGTGTGTGTGTGGGTGTGTGTGTGTGTGTTTGTGTGTTTGTGTGTGCTGATTGCTGATTGCTGAGCTGCGCATTTCCGCTATTTGCTGTAGAGACAACTTCTCCGAGATACTGTGAGAAGAAACGTCAGTATGCTGCTGCTGCTGCAAGTGTCACGTTATCATCTCCATGCCAATCCAGGGTATCAACGCTGCCAACGCTCATCAGAAGTTTGGTATGTAGCTAGGAAGTGACATATGGACAACCGAATTACTTCTTTCTCATTTGTGCGTACTCAAAAACGACACTGGGTATCTTTACGACCAAAATGCCTTACCCCAAACCCAGAGTGATAGGTATTACATGTTTCGTGGTCTCGTCAGCATGTTATGAGCGAACCTGCGTTTGCTCGCTCGCTCTTCGATCCCTCATCATCCGTGCAGCATTCGATGCCATGAATGACTCTCCCAATGAACCAGCAACAAACGATGCTTGTGGCCGTATCGTTGACCCATACATCTGCTGCACTGATGCGTTGTGCTCTACCAGTGCAGTATCCGATCCTTTGTACACAGGATCAGTTGTCACTGAAGGACGTCGATACCCTGGACTATTCGTTCGTTGTACCGAGCCTGGGTGGAATTCGATATGCTCAGCATGATCGTCGACCTCGCCGCTCTGCTGATGCATCGGTCCTTCACTGGACTCATACGCCTCGTCATCGTCATTGTCTCGTCTCACTCGCCCCGTGATCCCATCATCGCTATCTTGGGAGAAGTTTGCGGCTTCATTGCCATTGGCACTCATGTCATCGTCGTCTAGTCCAAAATCGAGATCACCGTCTGCATTAATTTTCTTGGCAGATAGAGCAGCAGCAAGAGTGTTTGGTGTCGGAGATGTTGCAGGTTGCTTCCCCTTACTGTCACTGCTGGGGGGAAGCTGACTTGTCATGCTTGCTGGACCTAGTGATGAAAATGATGCAGGCGTTGTTGCCATCGATGGCTCTTCCTCCTGTGCCTGTGGGGACTGTGGCGAATCTTTGGGCGAAGAGTTGTTGGGAGATCGAGTTCGTGAGTGCGAGGGCGTGCTATTGTTCGATCCCAGAGTCGAGGGTACATTATCCGAGGGCGCCACAATGGTATTGCCCACCGCCAATGACACTCGCTTCCTCTTGGGACGAGGATGGGTGGGTGATTTCAGTGCCGAAGTCAGCCTACTGTGCCCATTCCCATCTGCTGATGAGCCCGACGACGATGTCCGACTCGCCAACTGTAGCTGTATCGGTCTCTTCTGCTTCGCCTGCAGCACCGAGTCGGAGTCTGCGCGGTGTATGTCTGAGTCGATTGACGGCGCGACGACTTGTGCCTGTCCCGGCGTTTCCACTACCGGCGGCGCAGAGTCTGCCCGTTTGCTGCCACCACTGCCATTTTCCAGCGCGGGCAGATATGTGGGCGTGAAGACTCCAATGAACTCCTTCTCCCTCTCTTTGCTGCCTCTCCGGTCTGTCAAGCCAGCCAGAGATGATCGCACCTCCAATGTTGGAGTCGCGCCTCTCTCGCCCACCATCGCTATCGAGTGCGGCTGGCCAATATTCTCCCTTCGCAGCCCCGCTGACAGCAACGCATCCACGACATTTTGCTGTTGTTCCTCCTGTTGCTCCCGCTTTTCTCGCGCCCGCGGCGGCGATGCGAGTGTGTCTGGAGTGGATTTCGCGTCATTGGACGCGTGGCCAAGGCGTTGGATGATGTCCTTCTCGAAACTCCGATATTCTCGTTCCTTGGCAGCAATATATTTGTGAATGGACTCGTCCAGCTGCCTGCGCTTCTGTTCCAATCGCTCCAGGGCGTCATCAGCCAAGCCTGCCTCGGCCAGTGAGCGTCGAAAGGACTGTCGCCGGGAGGTGATGGCGCGGTCACGGAATGCCCACTCCGCCATCAGTGAAGGTACCTGGAGTAGGTACAGTGGCTATGCCTGACTGCCTGGCCGCACTGTCTGGGCACTTTCTTTGTCAGCGCAATGGTCAATGGCCATGTGAGCGTAGAGGCCCCGACGGGAGAGAGAGGATGCAATGGCGGGCTGGTGGGGTGCGGTGTGGTGTGGTATGGTATAGGGTGGTGGTAGTCTTGTATGCGCGCGGAAGGTAGAAGGCAGAGGGCGGAGGGCGGAGAGCGGAGAACAGAGAGAGAAGAGAGAAGATGAGGTGGTGGCAGCATCAGGACAAAGAGAACGGCAACGGCATACCGGGAGTCAGAAGGGCTGGCACTGACTACCTCCTACAGGTACCTGCTACTACCGGCGACACCACCGCAGCGCCAGCAGCACGACTACCGTACAACGTGAACCCGACCAACGTGATCATGTGAGACGCAAAAACGAGGCGCTGACTCACAGGACGGTATAGAGGGAGAGATAAGCTCCAACCTAACCTGAAGCGTTAGGCCTGGACAGACCACACAAGTCCACAGCTGCTGCCTTTGCCTCTGACCTTCCTACCTGACCTTCCCGCTCCGCTTCACCCACCCACCGCTACTCCGTGAGACTTGCGATTTGCGAATACATACCAACTACAGGTAACTTATTTAGGTAATGATATCGATAACCTAGCTATTCCTAATTCACACGACCTCCTCTACTCTCGCCTGTCTCTCTTTCTATACCATTCCTCAATCCCCCCTATCCTCTCATCACCCACCCAACCACACATCCACCCTCGTCGTAAAAGAAGAAAAAAAAAATAAAAAACTCACAAGAAAAGGACCGATGCCGGCCGCGCGCGCTATTTATTTTTTCTTTCCTTCCAGGTTCTCTCAAATCTCGCTTCCATAAGGTTCTCTCTCTCTCGGTCTCTCTCTCACACACACCCCCTGTCAATTCGAGATCATATGGCTACCGGCAACGCAGCGGCATTTATACCTTATTTTGCTTTTGCCAAACCCGGCCGAAGATCGTTTCTAATATATAAGGCTGTGGAAAGGCTCGCCCGACAATATGGTTCCTAACACTACATACGGTACTACCGTAAAAGGGTACTGTACATGTTGCATGTTACAATGTTACTTGCCAAGTTGCCAGTTGCCATGCACGGGTGACGGGGTTCTTCTATACTACCTAGGTAAGGCAGGTAGATAAAGTATGGAACGTACAGGAGGTAGGTCTGGAAAAGATGTGAGTAATAAGGTACATGTACCTACCTGATAGAAGAGATCAATTGGAATGCCCAGGTGATTGTATATTACGTTGCGCACTTGACAGACTCTTTTCTTTTTTGTTTTCCTTCCCTTCCCTTCCTTTTCGGCACATGCATATGCATGCACAGTCAGTCAGTCACTTGCTTCCAGCGTCCAGCTTGCCTTGCCGCAGCGCTTGCTGCAGCGCTGCTGCAGTGCTAATGATGATGATGATGATAATGATGCTGCTGCTGCTGCTGCTGCTGCTGCTGCTGCTGCAGTGCTAATGATGATGATGCTGATGCTGCTGCTGCAGTGCTAATGATGATGATGATGCTGCTAATGATGTTAATAATCGTCTGCTGATGCCGGTACATTGATACATGAGGTACCTTACTAACTGTACCTACACACAGTACACACCTACCTCCTACATGTACTTTTTTGCTGCATGTGTTGTCCCCGTCTTCATCGCTTACATGTTACCCGCCGCTCGCTCCTTCAAAAAAGAAAAAGAAAAAAACCGCCCCCCGGAGCAGTACTACTCCATATGTACAGTGCACTACTTCGGTAGTCTCCTACTGTCATACCGGGGGGAGGAAGGGCTCTTGTGGCGCAGTAACATGGTACCTACCTCCTACATACCTTGCACCTACAATAGGAGGTATGTAGCATGTAAAGTCGCGAACAACAACCGGAACGTAACCCGCCGACAAACGGTGGAAAATGCATACAGGTATGTAAAAGGTAAGGTAAGGTAAGGTAAGGTAAGGTTGAATGTGTTCACTCGTGCCACTCCGACTCCGATGCCGACCCCCTCGTATCGTATCGTAATTCCTTCCTTCCTTCCTTCGTGTGTTAGGTTCCCTTCCTATTCCTCTATTCCTATTCCTTCCCAGACAAAAAGCCATGCCATTTTCCAAGCCTATCCCATCTATCGTGGGGTTTCTTTTTTCTTTTTTCTTTTTCCTTTTTCCAATTTTATGGGTGTGGTTCTTTTCCGCATCGTTCGTGCGCCAAGTACCTAATAACATTGTTACCTCCTAGGAGGTAGGTACCTCTTTGGGCAGGTCTTGTCTGGTCTTCACATGTGCATGATGATGTTATTTTTTCTTTTCTTCTTTGCCTCAAAGTTCAAGACAGTTTGAGGGCGTTTTACCCTTGTTTTCATCAATCATACCGTACTTTCCTTCACACAGGTAACATACCTAATCTTTTTTGGGTTTCCCCTCCCCCAGATCACGATGGAGGATGCACGGTTGAGACATGTTGACGACGACGATGATAATGATAATGATGGATTGATGGATCGGGATGATTAACTTGCTCAAAAGGCATGATCGCGCGAGGCTTGTTCACAAAACTGACATCACCCGTGACCCGCCACATCTTTTTGATTGCTTGTTCGGCCATGCTCGAATCTGGAACTGATAGCGAAATCCTTCTGCGGATATCCATTACAATACTGCACTGCTCCGTCGCTCCTTCCTATTTCTACACATCTCAACATGCAAAACCGGCATGGAGGTTCTCAACATAATGCTCTGCCAACCTATTACTCTCTGGGGCTTTGGGGTATCTTTTTCGAAAACAACAACCACAATAACAGAGCCATTCTCCTGTGTACTTTTGATATGCCTTGTGCTCCTCAAAGCCTGATGGCCATGCCGGCAACCAATCCCGCCATCACAATCACGGCCTGAGTGAGTGACAGGCTGCTGTCTCTGCTTGCGACATGCCTCACTGCACCTCCACTGGACGTTGGTGTTCCAGTAGCCGTGTAAACTCCCGTTAGGGGTACCGTGGTCCCACTGGTGCTCGCTGAAATCCCGCTGCTAGTCGTCGTCGTCGTCATGGGTTTGCCAGGTACACCGGCCATCACCGTCGTCTTGGGCAGAGTGATATCTTTGGACTCCTGGTAGTAGATTCCGTGCTGTACAATTCCTTTTCCTGTCTTCATGGCATCAATCTCGTCGTCTGTGCACGAGCTGTTAAAGTTGCGAACCCAGCAGGTGGATTCTGGTGCATCCGGAACATTGTTCGTATGGGTGGAATTCGTCGTCCCATTCGACATGAAGAACTCAAGGTCAATGTCTTCACCAGTGGATAGGTCGTTGCCCAAGATAATCCTGGCGAAGATCTGAAAGGCTGTCTCGGGCTGGTAAAACGGCACGAAATGGCCAGCGTCGTAGATACGGCTAAAGCTCAAATTCGCATACTGACGAACCGCACCGCCCACGTAGGAGTCATTCACGACAATCTGGGCGAATCCGGCTTGATTGAAGCCACTCGCGTAGCTGGGCGGTATCGGAGATCCTGTAAGCGATACGCCAGTGGGCACTGGATATGAAGGTACAGCGTCGGCCACTGCAAAGGCTACAGCTTGCCCGCCGAGCCAATTGCACACAAAGTCGGCGTCGCCATAGATGAACGCCACTCGCACACCAAGCTTGAGCAGGTTGGCCAGATCTTGAATGGCATCTCCACGGATCGTATCGCCTGTAGAGATGAAGCCGGCTTGCACATAAGGGCTACTCTCGGTGTAGTTGACGCGGGCTCCAATCGATTCCAAGACAGAGCCGTTGTTGAGATACTCGACGTACGCAGTGGGTGGATCTGGACTGGGCAATTTCTGGCGAATGTCGTAAGGATTATATCCAGCACCCAAGGCAAGCGCTGTCAGATTGTTGCACGTATACTGTGCACTCTCGCACAAGTCGTTCGTCGCGTCATTGTCTCCGTACGGATCCGAGGTGGCGGTGCGACATGCCTGAATGGCTGGTACACACAGGCGTGTGAAATTACTAAATGCGTTCAGTTGAGTAGTCTGGCCGATCAGTGGCGTTTTGTAAGTGTTGTTGTATGCGAACGCTGGGTAGTAGTAGTCTTGAACAAGATCGTCAACAAGGCCATTCATAATGCCCAGGGACTGCAGCTTGATCGGCAAGGTATTTGTAGAAGATAGCTGTCCATTCTGTATTTTCGCGTTCTGTTCCTCAAAGTACGACGCGAAGACTGGCCCATACTTGCCGCCGTATGACTCCGTGAAGAGATTGATACCAGCAGGCTGGTCCGAGTTGGGAGTGGTGACATTGGGTCGAGTCGCCGGATTGTACTGGGAAAATGTCGAGAGCCAGGTCTGGAGGAAGTGCCAGGTTGCTGCCGCTGCAATCTCGCTCGTATTCGCACTCGTGACGTGTGATGTGGGCGAGTTCTCGTTCGCAGACCCGAATGTGCCGTTGAGATACATGAAGCTTGGGAGCGAGGGGTCAGGAGAAGTGGGAGGCTCAAAGATTTCGTTGGTGAACAGATTGAGAGAGGCGTTCGTCGCAGTATCGTAGGATAGACCGACCTGATTGGGCTGATCGATGAAGAGGACATTCGATATGCGATCCCACCCAAAGGTCCGCATTTGTGTTCCATATGACCCGTCTGCCATCTGCACCACTTCACAAGGCCCAATCTCGTTGAAAAAGCCAAACAGGCTGCTCGATCCTGGCCCCCCATTGAGCCAAATGGTCAACGGGGCTGACTCTGGCGTTTGCCGTGCTTCCACGAACCAGAAGAAGGTGTTGATGGAATAATTTTGCTGTATGGGTGCAAGTGTATAAGGAGGCAGCCCAATGTAGCCGGTATACTGCTTTTGCGTCGTGAAGGCGGTGGTACAGGTGCCATTGGCAGGCTGTTTGTAGGCGACCGTCACCTCGGGGTCGACAGGCGACAGGAGGATGTTATCGTACGATGCTGGAGGTGGGTACTGGGCGTGCGCCGGCAGAGGGGCAGCGAGGATGAAGGCGAGAAGCGCTGGCGGCAGGGCAAACAGCTGCGCGCGAGAAATCATAGTTAGCAATGCACTTTCGCACTCCTCCCGTCGTCTTCCCTCCCAACAGGAGAGGATGTAGCTGAGCGCGCTGTGTGGTGTGTAAGTACCTGCTTCCACATGGTGAGGAGTCGTCGTCGTCGTCGTCCTGTCCTGTCCTGTCCTCGATCTGGTCCCGGAATAGAATCACCGATCCATGTAATGGGTTCGAAGCAGGAAGAGCAACATCAAGGATGATGAATCGTACATGTGGGGATGAAGGAAAGTGGAAGCAGAAGAGAAAGACCGACGTGTGGACGGGGACGAGAAAGAAGGAGAAGGACAGCGTTGAGCACTGTGCACACCTCACGCAGCACGCTCGATTGCATGGCTGGTGGGAGTTGCGCGTTCTCGTGGGGCCCCTTCCCTCTGTGAAGCTCTGTGGCTGACGACGCCTCCATGCAGGTACAGCGCTAGTACCGTGCAGTACCTCACTCCCTGTACTCCATCAAAGTGGGCAATCAATATTTCATTCAACCTCAATCAAGGTCAATTTGGACTTGCACTTCATCCAAGGTAAGGTACCTAGCTTCCTTTCCTCACTAGCCAATGCCTGCGCGTATCAATCGCCCCGTCAACGTAGCCATGTCACAGGCAGTTTCCTTACTCACATCAAAAGGGGGAAGAAAGACGGAAAAGTAGTGAGATGCCGTACGGACTTGTACGCGGTACCACGTCCGGCTCCACGATCAACCACGGAAATTCAAGGACTCCAGCATTGGGTGCCCGTGGTCCAGGGTTGGGACATCCAGAAACACCTGTTGTCACAAGAAACACGAAAGCTAGGGCGATCTCACGGGATCATGTATTTCCTCACATCGCACATGTCAACGAGACGTCATGTAAGTGTGGTATCATGGAGTGCTCCCACGATGCACATGATAATGCATGGCGATATGGAGCTTTTTTCAGAGGAGTGTTTCACCTGCGAGACTTGGGGTGCAGATTGAGACGACCAAATCGTAAAGAGAGAGACAGGGTGCATTGGGGACCTGGGGTAGTCAATTTTGGTGTCCTATCACTATACCAGTATACCTCTAGGCTCTAGCCGCTCTATGTACCTAAGGTAGTTTTATACCTGGTAGGTACATGTATGTAGATGGCGCATGACCCCCCTAGCGGTCCTAATGGGGAAGGCAATCCGCTCAACCCATCTATGCCATCACCACCCGCCTTCGATCATCACCCACCATCTACAGATCACCAATACCTCCTGCAAATTCATCCACAACAAGGCCCCGCAGCAGTGAAGTACAGACCGACCCTCGACAAAACACGCAATACACAATACCGCCATGCCAGCCACCTGCACAGACATACGTATGCCACTGTCCATTCCTTCTCATCATTTCTATCATCAGCCAGTACTAACACCACTCGGTCTACCAGGAGCCGCACTTGCGCAATGTCTCCAAAACAGCGACTGCGTGATGATCCATCGTAATACTCCTGCCGATTGCCTCCGACCTCCGCTTGTGGACACTCTACCTACGCAATGCCAACAACTGAAACACGGATACGGTCAATGCAAACGCGGCATGATTGATATGCGGAAACGCTTCAGAGGCAACAGGCCCATTTCAACGAGTACGGAGCTGGAAGGTTCGGGCAAGGCGCCGATGCTGTACGCTGGCAAGGGCACTTTTGATGAGACGGAGAAGAAGAAGATTGAGGAGGGCACCGAGTATGAGGTCTTCACGAGAAATGATGGCAGTGAAGATTTGCGGAAGAAGTAGGGATATGCTGCGCGTTTTGCACATGGAGATACCTTTTATATGGCCATCAGGATCACATCCTCAAGACGACCTAGGAGCTCAGAAGGCTTTCCCACGCCCACCATACGCCTTCGAGAGCAGCATTTCACTCCACCGCCGACTCACGAGCCACTATCAACCCGTCAGCCTCGATACTTGTCGATCAAGTATGGCGCAGCTCTTGTGCTCATCGAGAACTCTACCGCATGTCCAGGATTCCAGTCGTGAGACCACGCCGAAACTGTACCACCGCCTAGAGACTGCGAGTGCGCATACTCGTTCAGCAATGCCATCGTCGTCGTCTTCTTGGTGATCTCAGGTGACGATCTGTGGAAGCACTCTTCAGCATCATAAGTACGACATGTGCCATGGATACCTGTAGGGTCCCTACGCCTCCACAGAGCCGCACTTGATGTTGCCTTCAAAGTGCCAATCGCGATCGGAGCTGATGTAGCTGGAATGCCTGCAGGAGTGATGGACATGATCAGTGGGACGTCCCAACATGTCAGACTTCATATCTGTTTGGTCTTACCAGGTTCTTCCATCGCATTCGGGCACTGCTTTGGTGGCCTCTTCAACGAAGTCGCCCATCTTGATCCCACCATCCCTGATAATTGCTGGCTTCAATCCCTTCTGCCATCGCCGAACGAGATACAAATCTGCACAAGGCGGTTGGCAAAGGTACATCTGCCGCCAGCTAGCTTCAGGATATTCCACAGCTTCAGGGACAGAAGGCTTATCGTCAGCAGGGAATGAAATACAGACATCCCAGCTCCAGTGTTCGTTCCTCCTCTTTCTCTCGCCACTATCCGCATCTGGACTTGAAGTGTCGTGACCAGCCCGGACTCCAGTACTGTCGCTCATAATGACCAGCGTGATTGTTGGATAGCATCCCGGGAATGCGCGAAGTAGAAGTCGATTGTTCTCTGGTTTGCAGCTCGGTCTCTTCACACTACCGTGAGATGTCTCGTGAGAATTGAAGAGTCTACCTTCCAGCTTCAGGTCGGGCTCGAGGAACAGCTTTCTGCGAAGGGTAATTGAGCCTTGGGTCGTCGCGTGGAAGCAGCGTGCTGTTCGTTGACTGAGGAGTAGATCCTTTGAGCTCAATTGTACGAGGACCGTTTCCAGAAGCTCGACAGTTTCGAAGACGCGTTTTACTGCGCTTGGTGGGGTCGTTGAAGTAGTCATGACTGCGGTGCAAGGGTGAAATAGTCTTTTGGACTACTACGTGTAGGATCACAAAAGCGTCGTAGGTACATGTACCAGTCAGTACTGAAAACCAGTGGAAGTGAGCCAAGATGCAGGTACTCTCATCTGCATTCCAAGCATCGATGCTGTGGGTGGGCAACCACAAGTTCGGCGGAAAGTGCCCCAGGCGAAGAGGACATGGCTTATCACTTGGGAAGAAGCAAGAAGCGAACGACAGCGGTTGCTGCCATGATGCACATTCTGGTACCTCCTAGGAGGTAGCTAGCTAGGCAATGGTATACCATCGACAGACCCGGATAGCTTGCATACCTAACCTCCCCCTCCCTTACCCCCCGTTATTATCACCCTCAACCCTCACCTTATTACTGTACTTGGTCTGTACTACGTCCACAGGCCAGGGTCTGATGTCAGCGGGGCATTTGGGGGAGAGCAGGGCCTGGCATCTCTCTGTTTTGGCTCTGGTCTCACACTATCCCGATTACTGCTAGACCCCTTTCCTTTTATACATTGTCAGGTACTTGTGAACGGTACTGTAGTAAGCCGTCGCGGAACGGAGCAAGCTTGATACATGCACAGGTGACACCAACAAAGTGTAAAACCGAGATCACGGTAGCGGTCAGATCATGGTTTCTAGCGTCTCGCACGGTGAGTAGAGGTTCCGGTCTCCCGTTATACATTTCTCAAATTCTGGGCGGTGCTGTAGAATCTCTTCTCATGTTCTTGCTGGTGATCTGGTCACAATGCTCTACAAAAGAATCGTCTAGGCCCCTTTCCGAGAGAGCAAAAGCTTATCAAGCTCGGAGGTATGTCATGCATAGCTGATGAAGCTTGCTGCATACAACCATATAGCGATATGCGCCGCAGGTTTAGACGCCAGTCGAGTTCTTGAAACGCCTCGTGAAGACATGTCATTCCTGGCGGCAACCATGGTCCATCGTTCTCCTACATGCATTCCACCAGTCTCAACACCCAGCCGTGGGTCTTTGGAACAACCATCACCAAGCGAATCCGATATGTCGACCTCCACTACGTGGGAAGACGAGATCACGCCGAGCGAGGGGAACATGGAAACGAAAAACGACGACGTTTCGATCGATCGAGCGTACCACGTAGCCAGCCTCGCTCGTGCTCGACTGCAGCGTGTCATCGAACGACCCGATCATGATCTCCGACTGTTGATAGGCCATGCCAACCTCCTGGATCACCTCATGGAGAAAATAGAGGAGATCGAGCCGGGGTTCACATTCGAACGTCTAGAGGAAATGCACCTGGAAGCTCTGACCCCGAGTCCATCATTACCCAACAAGCCTCTCCGCCGGAGCCCCATTGAAGATGTCCTGCAACGCATAGACTGGTCGGAAGATGACGACGAGGATGAATTTCTGGACGATGAAGTCTACGATGAGTCGGACGACGAGCTGGAAGAGCCGCAGAAAGAAGTCTTTGATGATGTGAAAGTGACAGTGACACCTGTGGTGCTGTGCCATGAGCGAGCGAAAGGCGTGGTGCGGAAGCCCAGAAAACATGATCCCTTTGGCCGTGTCATACCGTTCCTGGAAAGGCTCCTGAAGACATCTACCATTCTGTCCCAAAGCAGCTCCAATTGCCATCATCGCTGATGATGATATCGAGTAGCCTTCCTCGATCATCCATCATTGTCTGCCCAGGTCCAAGACAGAAGATCCAGCTGAACGTTACACGTCCAAGGCATCGGAGTCTAGGCACTCGAGAGAGTATCTTGACCTTACCGATCCGGTAACAACAAAAGCAAAAGAAGTGCCAAGAAGTAGACCTCAGACTAGTCTCTGCTGCTGCCAACAGCCCTCCCAAACCAGGAAAGTTTGAAACTGAGCGCCACTGTTCCGAACCAAGCACTCCCACCAGCGAAAAGCTACGAGAGCTTCCAAGGGCCTTCATCATCATCATCATCATCATCCACAACCTCTACGCAAGATCCCTTCTACAGGGGTGGCGGACGTATGGATTTTTTTTTCTCCTCCCCAAACGCAGGGCAAGATTCAATTCTGGTCAGATGGCAGGATGAATTGAAGCTGCTACAACTCTGCTACGACGTTGCAACGAAATATCGAGTTTGGGAAGGCGGCGGCAACAATAACAATAACACAAGATGATCATCTCTATCTCTACTTTACTACAAGTACCACATACAGGGCTTTTGCAAGGCTGAGGAAGCTCGAGACTCTCTGGCCTCTTGTCTCGTACACACACACACGAATCCTCGCGATTTCATTCCGTGACTTCGAACATCTACAGGGTGGGTGTATGTGCGTGTGATTCTCTCAGACAGGCCCAAAAAGTGTGATGGACTTCGTGAGCAACGAATTTCAACAAAGTCACGAGGGAAGCTTTTGTTGGAAAAAAGAAAAAAGAAAAAAGAAAATCTGTCAAGGGGGACTTTTTTTGGTTTGTTTTGTTTGTATATATCTCAGGTCTGTTATAGAACCTTGCTGAATGAGAGGGAGGGTTGGACACGTAAGTCAGGGCAGGTCAGGTCAGGGCTAGCAGGTCATGCGGTACCTACAGGTACCTACATAGGTACCTTACCTACCTTACTTGTTGCCTTACTTTTACATGTATATACTGGGTAGGTAGGTAGGTGGACAGGCGATGACGATTCCCTTATTTATTGGAAATACATAATAATATCCTACAGCCGCGAAGCGAGGATATCGAATCGGGGATGTTTGAAAAAAAAAAAAAGAAAAAAGAAAAAGAAAAAATCAAAATCTAGGGACGAGGTCTATGTAAAATCTCGCCCCTTCCTCTCTCTCTCTCTCTCTCTCTCTCTCTCTCTCTCTCT